CCCTCCTCCGCCCGGGACACAAGTCCCACCCATCGCAACCTCCTCCTGCCACGATCTTCTTCCTAACCTCCAAGTTGCCTCCTCCTCCTCCTCCTCCTCCTCCTCCACCCTTCTGCCCACCATACGTCCCACCCCTCGCAACCGCCTCTTCCCGATCACATCTACAGAACTGTCCCGTCACGTTCTACGAAGAACCTCCAAGTTTCTTGTCCTGTCACGTCACGGAATTCCCATCGTTCTCCTCCTCTGCATGCCCCCTGTATTCAAAGCGCAGATCGCTTCTTTTCTAGTAACTTCGTTGATTGTTTTTTTTAAAATTTCCTCCGGGATTCTTCCCCGAACGTGACGCCACACACTCACTATTGAAATTGGCCAAGCATCCCGCTGGAGCAAGGACCCTCGCGGCGAAACGTCGGACATCACGCTGATGTTTACGATGTGTTTGCCGGGTCGTCCGGGTTGTCCTACTGGACATTTGTGAATAAAAGAGCTTCACAGCTCATCGGATTGCTCAAGGATAAATGAACAGTCTGATTCCGATAACGCTCCACGTACTTAGCGCTTCTGGTTTTCAGTCCCTGGCGAGGCTCCCAAGACGTGGAGCGAAACGTCGGTCGCCATTCCGAAGGGCACGCGGTACGACCCACAAACCCAACGGAGAGATAGCCATCGGCGGCTGTCTCTTTATTGACAACTTTCGTGACCCATACCATGCCCGTCCATTGCTCGCCAAGCTGCATTGGATTCTGGTTGCCGAACGAATACATTGTTATACGGTCGCTCTCATTACACGCACAGAGTGCTTGCCAACAAATGAACCGCAAATACCTTGCTGCTGATATGATCAGGGACCATAAACCATCACGCGATTTCAGGGTCATCCTCACAAGCAGCGGCCTTTGACTAGCCATCGAACAGACGGTTACCGCATTGCGTGCTTTCAGATGCCCTTCAGTGGCCGTCTGGAACGCTCTTCCGATATTAGGAAGCCGCCGGAGCTACGCACTTTTAAAGCATCTCGATTGATAAACTAACTAGAACTGCTTTTTGTGTTTAGTTTGTTGGCCGTCTCCCGCACCTCCGATTGCCACGGTTGGCTACGCACGCTGCGAAAGGAGTGCAACGTACAAAGAGGGCACTGTCGCCAAGCGACGAAGTTTCGGAGGGATACGGCACGGATCTAACCGTCAACAAATGTTGATAATCAACAACAACAACAATCACAACAACAACAATACCAACAATGCAGCAACTCCATCCGTCACTGCTCCGCTCATCGTTGAGTGAGCCCCGTGGCCCCAGAGGCGAATGGCGTTGGGTTTTGTGTGAAAGCCCAGTTTCTTTTTTTATCATGGTCGCGTGCGTCCGTATAATGCCGTGCGAGATCAATAGTTGTCGCATTAGGGACTCCGACGGGGATGGTGTTTGACCGGAGGGAGGCCGCTCAGCATCAGCGGCATCAAGCGCGGCCGGATCGCCATCGCTACGCGCGCCGACATCATCAACATCATCATCAACATTATCATCAACATCATCAACATCATCAACATCATCATCAACATCATCAACATCATCATCAACATCATCATCAACATCATCAACATCATCATCAACAACATCATCAACATCATCAACATCACACAGACATCGCACCAACATCATCATCATCAACATCACGGCCAAGCAACTCGCTGGCACAGACATCGCACCAACATCATCATCAACAACAATGCCGCATATTCAGCAGTGTCCACATCGACGTGCGGTGGTTGTTTCTTTTCCGCTGCTGCTCCTGCGTCTATTCGCTCCACCGTTTTGCCCATCTGCTCAGCTGACTCCGTTCCTTCAAGTGCAGGATGCAGAACTTCCCTTTCTCTCTCCTCTGCCTCCTACGGCTGACCATTTTCATCCGTTCAGATGTTCCAATCAGCGCAGAAATCATCTCGCTCAACAAGCCCTCCACGATCTCCCAAAGTTTCCCAACTTAAATTCAGCCAAATACTCATCACCTTCACCCACAATCTAATCATGCACTTGTGATAACCATAACAATAAAATAGAATACGTATTTATTCACCCAGGAAAGGTCACACTCAGTCCAAGGATTCTCCTTCTTGAACAAATCCAGGCTCAACCATGCTTAGCTTAGCTTCCCATATCTGATGACATCGGGCGATTTGGTCAAACACGATTTGTCTCATAGGCACGTGCGTGTGCACTCTGTACAACATTGCAATCGCTAGATTATAATGAAGGGGCAGCGCAGGACCGAGGAGCTGTGATGGCGTGGGGAGGCCTTCATCCAACAGTGGCTAACTGGTGGCTACTCTTGCTGCTGCTTCGACTGATGATGATAATTGTAATCGCCGAACATTGCAGCGCAGCTGCGTGCAGCAGACGTGGTACCGTTTAACGTCACTTGCAGGCGGTTGGCAGGCTCGTACTCTACGTATGTTGAACTTCTCTCGCACCATACGCAGCCAACCGTGCTAAATCGCAGGCGCAGGCTTTCAGCAGCAGCAGCAGCAGCAACATCAGCAGGAGGTAAACACGCCTCTGTCTGCAAATGTGCGTGTCCCAGGCCTCCCCAATGTTCCCCCTTTGCCCTGCGCAGTGATGGTTAAGTCTAACACACGGATCGATGTGAACTGAAATACTCTCGATGCCCCACCCCACCTCTCTCGCACCCTCCTAAAGCCCGCTTACAAATATATAATAAATAAACAACAACAACAACAAATGCCGCCCTAAAAGGTTGTTGCCTGAAGGTTTTAAAGAGGGGCGAGCGTGATTGACTGGTGTGGGGTTGAGTGGGTTTGGGTGGGTGGGGGGGTGTTTTAGGTGGGTGGGTGGGTGGTGGTGGTGGGGGTGGTGCTTTCGGACTGGGGTCTGGGTTGTGTCAAGGTCACATTGCCGAGAAGTTGAGTGTGGCTTGATAGGAAACGTGGCGACTGCCAGCGCGTTCCTCATTTGGCTGTGGGTGCACACGCGCGCGCGCACACACACACAGAGACGCAACAAAGACAAAGACGCGTCGAAGAGTCCCTTTTTGGGATTGTTTTGGGCGGCAAGTGTCGTTAGCGAGCGCCTACGAAGGCCGGCGACTGCACACGAAGGGGTGGGTGGCCAGCACCACGCCCGACCGCCTTCGTCTCGTCAGTGGCGACGTTTACACACCGCACCAGGTACTCATTTGAGGCTCAGTTGACCTAAGGGAGGCCCAGGACCGGATTAAAATAATCGTCACTCCTGGTGGCCGTGAGCCGGAATCGAACCCAGGTGGACGGGTTCCTAGCGGAGCGTGCGAACCGCTACACCACAAAAACAAAGACCCCCGTATAGCCTTAACAGACTGCTGGGGCAAGTGCTATTAGCGATTAGCACCTGTGAAGGCCGGCACGGCACACGAGGGGCTGGGTGGGCAGCACCACGCCCGGCCACCTTCGTCTTGTTAGTGGCGATGTTTACACGCCGCACCAGATACTCATTTGAGGCTGAGTCGACCTAGGGGAGGCCCAGGACCGGTTCAGATAATCGTCACCGGTGTTGGCCGTGAGTGGGAGTTGAACCCGGGGCGCCAGGTTCGTAGCGCAGCGCGCTAACAGCTACACTGCCTCTCCCCACTACATGCATGCACACACTGTGTGTCTATGTAATAGATGCTCGCCAACAGCAATTATCCAAATGGTTTATAAGGCCAAATGTTTTTTTAACCATATGTCTGTGTTTGTGATGTGTGTCTGTGTTTAGATTTGTGCGTGTCTGTGTATGAGTGTCGTGGCCGGGTTCCACACCCGGCCACGGCTAACATCCGTGGCAATTAATTCATGAACTTTTCCTGGGTCTCCTCTGTGTCGACTTAGGCTGAAAGGAGTGTACCCGGTGCACTGCTAAAACGTAATCGTAGTGCACGTGTGGGGGGCTGCGGTGCTAGTGGTTCATCCGCTGCAGCGTTCACACAGTTCTCTGCCACGTCCATAAGAGGTTTTATTTTTGGGGGTTAGTCCACGTAAAAAATACCAACGTGTGGTTAAACCCGTCACCACCCCGACACGGCCGTTTGAGTGAGGTTTGTCAACTAAACAAAATGTGCGATTTAGTTACTACTTAGTTTACCACGTAGGCTTTCGCGACCAATATCCATAATAGAGGTTTTTTTTGTGTTAGATCGCTTAAATATGTAATGACATGATGACACCTGCTGGTTGGAAAAGGGAAGCACGGGTACGGGTATGTTCCACGAGAGGGCGTGGCCGGAGGCGGAGCCTAGCCGCGCCTGCGGCAATATAAGCGGGGGCGGAGCCTAGCCGCGCCTGCGACAATATAAGCGGGGGCGGAGTCTAGCCGCGCCTGCGGCAATATAAGTGGGGGCGGAGCCTAGCCACGCCTGCGGCAATATAAGCGGGGGCGGAGCCTAGCCACGCCTGCGGCTATATAAGCGGGGGGGCGGAGCCTAGCCGCGCCTGCGGCAATGTAAGCGGGGGCGGAGCCTAGCCGCGCCTGCGGCAATATAAGCGGGGGCGGAGGAGGACTCGTGGTTGGTGTGTGGAGCCATGGGTCCGGACTGCGTCGCTGCTCGCTGTCATCTCCCTCCGTCGTCCGGCCACGTGGCAGATCTCCCGCCGAGTTCCACCGCCCTTACCGGCACGCCATCAGCCAGCGGCGAGGCCCGGAGTGGACGGGTGGAACCGCGCCGGATGATCGATCGTGCGTGTAGCCTGTATGGAAGCTGACATCTAAGTGTTGTACTCGGAAAAGGAAGAAGATAGGGTTGTCCTGTGTTGTGCCCGTATGTGAAATAATGAAGCATAGTCCACTCTTCACGACGTGTCTCGGAAGTCACTCATTATAACTATATAAATGTCGTTAAAACGCGCCACCACCCGACAGCCAACTGGTAAGGGTTGTCACGTAAACAGAACGTGGCCAATGCGTAACTAGTACAGCACACCGGTGTGTTGGAGAGCCAAGCCACAACATTTACAATCTAAGTACGACGTTTCGGGTGGTGGTGGGTTTTAACGACACATTTATATATTTATGCGATCTAACCCCAACCCCCAAAAAAACCACTCTATTATGGATGATATTGGTCACGAAAGCCTACGTGTTAAACTCTCTTGCACGTGTCGTGACCGGGTTACTGCGAGATGAGTCCGATGCTCGCCGAGTTGCATTGGCTTCCTGTTGCCGAACGAATTTCAAGGTCGCACTCGTTAGACACACACAGAGCGCTCGCCACGAGTGAACCACAATTACCTTGCTGCTGATCTCGTCAAGGCGCATAAACCACCACTACGCGAACTGCCGTGGTCATCATCGCAGCAGCGGCATTTGTCTGCTAGCCATCGAACAAAAACGCGGTCACCGCATCGCGTGCTTTCAGATGCGCTTTTGTGGCCGTCTGGAATGCTCTTCCGTTCGATATTTGAAGCCACTGGGAGCTGTGCACTTTTAAATAATCATCGACATTGACACTCATTTCTTTTGAACTGATTTTGGTGTTAAGTTTGTTGTCCTCCCCGCCCCCGCACCTCCGATTTAGCACGGTTGGCTACGTTTGGTGCGAAATAAGTTCAACATCGGTACCCGCAGTCAAGAGGCAGGCTCCACGACTGTAACGCGACTCTCGTTCTATGGCGCCATCTGCTGCTTGCGCAGAGCCGCGGAGTGTGGCCGAGTGGCTTCGGATGATCGGAGACCCACGAGAGCTCTCGATGCTGGCGCCAATGAGCACCTGGAGGGGGGGGGGGGTGTATGGGGGTGGTGTATGGGGGGTGTATGGGGGGTCCGTACCCAGAGCGCTTAGAGCGGTGGTCTTCACGAATTTTCAAAGTGGTCCGGGCCACTGTCGCCGATGAGACATCGTCAGTGCGTCGTGGGCCGCCACGCTTTTGAAACCATTGCTGGGTTTGACAGCAGCACGACGACGACGATGATGATGATGATGATCGGGGGGGGGGGGGGGTGACTTCTCTCTTTGTGGATTGTCGGGTGGGCCCCACGTCAGGGGGCACAATAAAGGCCACCAGGGGCCGCCCAGTGACCCGTGGGGCCTTGCAATGAAGAACACTGACTTAGGGGTTTACACACCGGTGTGCTGAAGTAGCAACTGATGTGCACGCTTTGGGTACCTGACGACCCTTAATTGGCCATGTTGGGTGGTGGCGGGTTTAGCGACACATTTTATATTTACGCGATATAACCAACAGCAACAAAACAAACAACCTTTTTTCTCGTTGTAAACCTATATGTATGTATCGCCCCCGGCCAATCTTTCACTCGCAGCCGACGAATTGGCCGTCCACAATCTGTCGCAAGTCAAGGTCGGCCCTCTCGAGTAGAGAGGGGCCGGATTTTCGACCTGCAGGGATAGAAATCCGAGGAAGCTTTCCCGCGGAGGGTTCAGGTGGCTGCCGCAGATTTCTGCGAGAGGCTCTGGTCGTAGGTGTTGTCTTGTCTTGGTCCTCGTCCTTAGGTGGTGGTGGTGGGTGGTGGTGGTTACTTTGTGTTCCGCACAGCAGATTGGCCAGGTAGGACCCCGTAGTGCCGGCCAATGGTCCCTCTGAGTAACTGAACTCCTCCTGCGTGCGGGCAGAACATTAGCAACGTGTCAAGTCTGCATTAACATCACGTTCTTGTGGAAAAACATGCAAATAAACATGCCCTGATAGTATAATATGGCATTGACTCACCAGTGTTAGACCAGAGGACGCCAATGCAAGAATCAGAGCATTTATAGTTATTGATGCCTTGCACAAATATATCTATTTGTTGTTTGAACATCTTCATCGCCTCTTGTTATTTGCCAGAAACGGTAACAACCTACTCTTATATTTTCATAATTCTTGATACTGGCAAAAAGGTCTCATAGATATTAGCAACGTGGTTAAAAGTTACAGCTGCAGTGAGCGCCGTAGATTTGTACCAAGCGCTTTGCCTTGTTGGTACGTGATATTGCCTCCCAGCTGGAAGACTATTGCCACTCGCAGGACGGTGTTACGCTAACGGTGGTCTGCACAGGGTCCCCTAGGAAAGAAAAAAAAACTGCTGCGAGTGGTTCGTTGCATCATGGAGTCTTTGGCAACCCAGGTTCGATTCCTAGTCAAGGGCTAACATCAGTGGCACGTGTATGATGATGACGATTTAAAAGTGCATAGCTCCAGTGGCTTCCTAATATCGCAAGGCAGAGTGTTCCAGACGGCCGCAGACACGCATCCCAACGGGCGCGTGCGCGCGTTGCGGGTGACCCCCCCCCCCCCCCGAGGATCGCTAAAAACCCCGGCGGAATCCGTCAGGCGTCAACGCACCTGGGCCAACCTCCAGGCGACCTGCACCGCCGCATCTCTCTCGCGCTCCTCCGCGGCGCTCGCTCCTCCGAGAGCGCTCCCCAGGAACGGGTCTCGAGGTCGCCGCCGCGACGGGAGCCCGCGGGGCGAGGCGCCGTCCTCCCCGCTCGCCCGCTGGAGGCCACGGCAGAGGCGGCGGAGGGCGCGGGCGGACGAGCAGCGCACGGCGGCGCTGAGCGAGACTGGGGGCCCGGCTCCGTCGTCTGTGACGGCAGAAGCAGCAGCAGGGGATTGGAGAGGGGTGGGAGCGGTAAGAGTGACGGGCGATTTTTTTGCGCAGCGAGGTTCATTTGTCGCCGTAGAGCAACACCGTCAGCGATATCGACGGCTCGGACAAAGTCCTCGTCGTCGTCGTCCTCCTCAAAGTCATTGAAACCGAAGCTATCGTTAAAACCATCGCCATTGTTTTATGAACAATTCCAATGCCCAGCGCCATCCGCCAACTGAGTGACAGTGACGTCACCACGGCGCCTGTGCCAGGCCAGGTGCACTTGGAGGCCACGTGACGTGTCGAAGGCTCGCTGCCGGCAGGAGGTCTCGAGACAGACCCAGCAGGTGCCTTTGGTTGGCTGACTGAGATGACTGGCTGATGCACCACCAGCTGTAGTACCCCCTACTGTGCCAACTTGCTGTACTTTATCCGCCCGGCACTCCACTCGTTGTTGTGAGCATCGCTCCTCTGCCCCCCGTTCTTGCTGGAGGGCGACTGCCTCCAACTGCCCAGTAGCAGCAGCGTCCTTCGCGTGCCTCCTCCACAGAGGCCGATCTTGACACCGCTGGTACCAGTCGTTGGCAAGTCCACTCAACTCCACATCCTCCCGTACCACATCACCTCCATCTCTTCTCCAGCTCGCGTCATGCCCGTTTAGCTCCCTCTATGCGGCCCAACATCGACCGCTAACATCACCACCAACACCAGCGCCAAATATCACAACAGCCACCGTCATCGTCGCGACCCCGACCGCACAACACCACCACCGTGGCCACTGCATTGGCACCACATCACATCACCGTCATCATCCTGATCGTTACCGTGGTTGAGTTGTGTCAGCTGCAAGAGTCCACCGCCCTTTGGCCCCGATCCGGGCCCACAAGGTGCTAGGGCCTCGTCGGCTGAGCCCGCCTCGCCAACGAGGGCCCTCTTTCGGAGTTCGGCTGTGCGGCCGTGGAGGGCCACGTCGCTGAGTACGGAGGGGAAGATGCAGGACATCTGCCACGGCCACAGCCAGAGGAACGCGGCGGTGGCGGTAGCGGCGGCTCCGCTCTCACCGAGCCCCTGGACGCACGCCCGCAAAAAACGGATGGAGATCGCGTCGCGAGATGCCACCACATCCCCACTCTGGGGATAGACGGGAGTCACTCACCGCCCCGCAGGGCTTCTGAGGAGGGCGAGGAGTATACATCTTGGCGCGCATAGGCATCCCAGCTACTATTAGTCCCTTGTTTTCCTCCTTCCCCTATATGATGATAATAATAATAATAGCCGACGCTCCCGGCTGGTTATCCTCACGTGTGTGTGGGACAGTGAACCCAATCTCCTCCGCGTCGAATGGACCCAGGAGGATTGAGGCCCAGGGCCTCAGTCCACGGATTTTTTGTAACCCCCCTCCCCCCCCCCCCCCCCCCCCCCTTGCAGTCTGTGCTTTGTACTGGGCTCTTGTTTTGTTGCAAAAATCAACAACCATAACAAATATAAACAACAAAAGAGAAGCAAACCACACCTCGACATCGCTTCCTTCTTTCTGCCAGGACCCGCAGGTGTTGCGTGCTCGATGGCTGGTTGGCCAATTGGCTTCAAGATCCCGCTCCCGCCCGTCACATTATCTCAGCCATCTGGGCTCCCCTTCCTGCAGTCCTTCAAGGACTGCTCTTACATTATCACAAACATCAACAGTTAGGTTTTCCCGTCTACCTCTCTCTCAGTCCCTCCGTGTCTCACTAATTTTTTTAGGAACCCTCGTCTCTTCATCTCTCAATGACCTCCCCCTCGTGTCACCTTCGAGGCCCTGATTTGTATGTATGTGTATATATACGTGTGTGGAAGAGGCTCGTGAAGGACACTCCTGGGCAGTTGGAGGCAGTCGCCCTCCAGCAACAACGGAGGGCAGAGGATCGACGCTCACAACAACGAGTGGAGCGCCGGGTGGCTAAACCGCAGCAAGTTGGCACAGTAGGGGGCACAGGTGGTGCATCAACCAGTCATCTCAGTCTGTCGACCCGTGGCACCTGGGTCTGCCCCGTGACCTCCTGCCAGTGGGCGTTCGACACATCACGTGGCCTCAACGTGCACCTAGCCTGGCACAAGCATCGTGGTGACGCCACCGCCACTTAGTGGCGAATGGCGGTAGTCGTCGTTGTATGTTGAACTTCATTTGCACCGTACGTAGCCACACCGTGCCAAACAGGAGGTGCGGCTTTGCGTGATGTCCAAAGCCTGCTCGTGACATTGCTGCAACCTTATTCTTTGGTTCTTTCGGTAAAATCACGTAGATAGAAAGAGAATAAAAATAAAGTGAAAAAAAATCAAAAATAATACTGTAGCCTGGTTCTTAACTGGAGTGAGTATACTGGCAGTCTATAATGTAGACTGTAGCCTGGTTATTAGGTTTGGTGAATGTACTAGCTTAATAACCATTGCTACTGTCTACATCATAGACTGCCAGTACACTCACCAAACTTAATAACCAGGCTACAGTCTACATTATTGACTGCCAGTACACTCACCAAACTTAATAACCAGGCTACAGTCTACATTATTGACTGCCAGTACACTCACCAAACTTAATAACCAGGCTACTGTCTACATCATAGACTGCCAGTACACTCACCAAACTTAATAACCAGGCTACTGTCTACATCATAGACTGCCAGTACACTCACCAAACTTAATAACCAGGCTACTGTCTACATCATAGACTGCCAGTACACTCACCAAACTTAATAACCAGGCTACAGTTTACATTATAGACTGCCAGTACACTCACCAAACTTAATAACCAGGCTACAGTCTACATTATAGACTGCCAGTACACTCACCAAACTTAATAACCAGGCTACAGTCTACATTATAGACTGCCAGTACACTCACCAAACTTAAAAACCAGGCTAAAGTTTACATTATAGACTGCCAGTACACTCACAAAACTTAAAAAACAGACTAGAGTTTACATTATAGACTGCCAGTACACTCACCAAACTTAATAACCAGGCTACAGTTTACATTATAGACTGCCAGTACACTCCGATTAAGAACAAGGCTACAGCATAATATTTATTCGCTACTATTTTTATTCACTTTATTTTCACCATTCTTTTTTCTATCCACGTGAATTTACCGAAAGAACCAAAGAACATGAATTCCTTGCGGTCACGAACGGTTCAAGTCACACTTGCAGCAACCGTCCCCTTGTCGCCACGTGATGCCGCTTCTGGGAAGTCCTCACCCCGGGGTAAGGCGGCACACCGGCGAAGCTCTGCTGCAGCTCCCGAAGGATGAAGGTCGCCCCGTTGGCTGCCGCGTCGCCCAGAACGAGGAGTCCCACCGCTCCCTGAGTCCTGCGGCGCGCGCGTGCACCCCCCCCCCCCACCCCTCTCGATTAGAACTTACCGCAAGGAGGGAAACTGCCGTCCGCGATGGGGAAATATGCAGCTGCACGGAAGCAGCATGAGAAGGTTTAATTATACCGAAGGAATCCGATGAGCTATGGAGCGATTTTTTTTGTTTTACAGATGCCCAGGAGAATCTGGCAAAGTGGAAGCGGCCAATGACTTGATGAGTCCGAATAAGATAATAGTTTGGAGAAACGCCTCGAGTCAGTACATCTTGCTGCCTTGTTTACTTTAAGTTTCAGACGAGTCAGCATTAATGTGGGTAGGTGAAACCATTTTCACGTGCAGTTTTCTCCACGTATCGAGCCGCCTGTCTCTGTACGGGATTTCAAAAGTGTCCCCGTGACCTCGTCTTCCTCATATCATCTTAACGTCATTCTTACAACCCCTTGAACAATTCCCTTTACAGAGAATTAAGAACGGTACAGCGGCAACAACGCGAGTATGAATGTAATGGTGGAGATGAGGTGAGTTATATAGATGAGAAGAAGCAATTGGGGGGGGGGGCGGGGGCGAATCTGTGATGCGTCAATTCGGTGCAAGCGAAATTGATGACCGTAAATGACGCTGAATGTATTCAATGAATGGGGAATGAGCCATTCATGAATTATCTGACGCAGGGTGGTGCGCCGCTCACTGCAGAGTTTGCGAATCGCAATGCCCCCTCCGCCTCGTAGCACACGTGGAACAAAAGTGCGAAATGACAACGCACCACTCATCTTCGCGGATAAACTGGGCACTGTTGAGTGCGTGTCCAAGTAGCAGCTGCTGCTGCTGCTGCTGGTGGTGGTGGTCGCTGTGACGATTCCGATCCCGCACGCAAAGCCACAGCATCAGAGACCGTCGGAGGAATTGACCGGACGCGCTCTCGGGGAGAAATTTCGACTCCGCGACGCTGGCGGCGACGATGATGTTGACCGAGAGGCGAGCGCACGGGACGAGCGAGTAAGCGTCTTCCAGTTCAACGAGTCCTGTCGATGGGGGAAACGTGGGGGGGGGGGGGGGGGTGGATGTGGAATAAAAAGTATTTTACACATGGAAAAAAAGTTTACAGGGCGGAGCGGTGGGACAGCGGCCGACGCGCGTTCGATCGCAGCCCTCCGCTAGCGTCGGCACAGGGCAGTGCTGTGTAGGCTTGGCGCGGCTGCGCTTGCACGGTTATCCGACGCGTGCACTGGACACTAAAAAAAAAGAATTAAGGGATCATAACGCACGCAACGTGCCTGCTTCCACGTCTGCTGTAAGGTGCGCGTTAAAAGCCCCCCCCCCCCCCCCCCCCCCCACCGTGAGTCGTTTCACGACAATGTGCCACGGTGCGCCCGTCTCTCGCTGTCGCACAAATCCTACATCGCGCGTGTGCTCCTCTTTGTCAATCCACTGCTGGATAAGGGTCTCGTCATGCCACGCGAGGTCGTGGGGATTATTTGACCATACTTCACCACGCTGGTCAGAGTGGGTTGGTGAAGGCGGGGAAGTACACATACGGGGGCATAGAATTCAACAATGGATGTTGATATACTGCCCTCTGTTGCCCACAGTGTAGTCCTGCAACCTGTAGCACCTGGCACGCAAGGCGATCATTCATCCAAGCTCAATCCTGAAGAGTTTTTGAGAGTCTGATGAGATCGGGGGACAGCCTGGGTGATGTGGTCATAGCCGGAATAATAATAATGATACTTCGCCAACATTTGAATAAAAAAAAAATCTAGTTCAATAATATTTAGAAATAAACACTTACCGTGCATGTATTCCTCAAAGGCGTTGTTTTCGGGAATGGCTCCTGTGAGCTTTAGGCAGTAGAGTCTCAAACAAACACATTCACACAGCTGCAGACAAAGCGACAATGGAGAATCATCACGACGCTGGTTCAGACTGTCGATATAAATACATATTTTAAAAGTTTATTGCCACTTAATTTATCTCCACTGATGACTCCGAGGCAGTTGAGCAAAATCCCAGGTTTGTTATTTTCACCAAAGTCAGTGGAAAACCACGTTGATATGGCAGAGCTTTTGTTTATTACAATTGTAGTGATATTATTTGGGTCTTTCGGTAAAGTCACGTAGATAGGTTCAAAGAACATTTTAAAAAAAAATCTTATTTTTTTCTTATTTACTTTGAACTTATCCACGTGACTTACCGAAAGACCCAAAGAATATGAATTCCTGCAGTCACGAAAGCTTTAAGTCAATTGTCGTGATGTATATTGAGTCACTATGGCGTCTAGCGCCAGCTATTGGAAGAAGAGTGGTACTGTGCATGTTCGCGTCTCTCTCTGGCACCAGAGTGTTGCATGGCGTAGAAGCGGGCCCTAGGGGGCATGCTTCTGGTGACGGCGAGAGAGAGGGCACTTCAGGACACGATAGTCTGGGTGAACCCGAGAGGGCACGTGACCAGGAGAGGGTAGCGAGGGGGGCCAAGGGGTGGCTAGAGGGACACGTGACGTAAGGCCCAGAACCTTCTAGTAGGATCTAGAAGGGGGCGTGGCCTAGGGCGTGGCCTAGGCCACGCTCAAGGGCATAAAAGGGAAGTCCCGAGCACCGATCCGGGCTGTCTTCTGGAATCAACGCGCCGTGTTAAGTCTCCTCGATCTTCGGTCTTACTGACCTGACCCGGTTATGTAGTTGCCCGTTGTGGTTTAGTCGCTAGTGGAAGTTAGCTACCACCTATGTCGTTATCCCGTACGTTTCTGGAGTTACCCTGTCAGGGTGTTGTAATAAAGTGTTGCCTCCAAGTTCTAGTGTGTGTCTCCATGGATGCCACTACACAATTATTGGTGACCATGAGGCTGATATTATAAAAAAAATTAATAGGTTTTACCCTTTCTGGCAATGAAACAGGTGTTATGATGTTCAAACACCAAACATATACATTTTGCAAAGAATAAAGTCCGCATTGACCACACGTACTTGTGGTGAACATGCAAACAAACATGCTCTGATAATATATGCATTGTCTTTGCAACTGATTGGCCTACACCAGAGGCAGCATTCTTTATGGCCTAGTCTCACAAGTGTCAGACCAGAGAACGCCAAAAGGCCCTGCTGCAGCACGACATTGTGATCAAAGGGCCTTGCAGTAACATCCATCGTGCTGTACTGCATTATGCTGGCAACAACTCTGTTTCCCGCCTGTACCAACCCGCATTGACTAGTGTGGTGAAGCATGGTCAAATATCCAAACAATGACCTGCAGAACATGGGGGGGGGGCATCTCCCGGCAGTGGATTGACAAAACCACTCCGCGCGAAGGTCTTCCAAACATGACGTCACCGTCACCTCAATAGGCCGTCATCCTGCAGTGGATTAGCAAAATGGCCGTCTGTGCACGTGCGTACAGCCGGGAAGGACAATCGGAATGAAAAACTAACTTCTTTAGAACTGTCTTTGTGTGTGTGTGTATTTTAGTTTCTGTCCTTCCTCTCTGCGATCAGCACGGTTGGCTAAGCATGGCGGCAAAGAAGTTGAACGCACACAACGATTCGCACGCATTGCACAACGTCACCCGTAGGAGCGTGAGGTGACTCAGGGCCGTGTTGGCCGCGAACACGGGAAGACCTTGCAATCTCGCCCCGTCGGCGAGCAGGTGGGCGACGGCCCACTTAGCCAGAGCCAGCAGGGGAGACGCAACAGTCGGCTTCAGCTCGGTCTGCTCAGCGGAAGTGCACAGAATTTGCAAAGCCTCTGTAAAAACACAACACATGGGAGACGGGAGTGTCGTTTTTTTTACGAACACTTGAAATTCCATCATGAGGCCTCCTTTGCCAGTACCAAAATATAATAATAGGGTTTTTGTTCCCCTTTTTTCTGGCGACAAAACTGAAACCTTTTGCAGGGAATCATGTTTACATTAACCACAATACTTGCAGTCAGAATGCAAAGAAATACAAAAAAACACCACTCATACCGTATGAGACTAGGCTCTAAGGAAAGCTGTCTCTGGTGTGGACCAATCAGTTTCAAGGACAATGCATACATTTTCAGAGTGTTGTTTTTCTGTTTGCATTCTGACTGCAAGTATTGTGGTTAATGTAAGCATGATACCTTGCAAAAAGTTTCAGTTTTGTCTCCAGAAAAAAAGGGGACAAACCCAATTATTATTATACTTGAAATTCCAACTGCGTATTAGAAGCTATAAAATCATCATCATAATCCGCCATGGTTACTCCGCTAATTCTACTCGCGTAGGTGTCCGCGGTCGTGCCGCATCTTCGGATTTGCATCGCGTGCTTGCTGCGCGCGGTGTCCGACGTTAACGCCGTACGGCACGCGCAGGATTTTTGTTGTTGTCGGGCGCGTTCTGTTCCTGAAGTAGCTGCCGGGAGAGGGCGCGCGAGGAGCGGATCGCGTCGGGCGGCCGCGCCGAGGAGAAACTCGCGGGTTGGACGAACGTGCCAATCACTCCGGCGGGGACTCCGCCGTTGCGGGTTTACCGATCCCTGTGGGTCCGCTGCATTGAGAAAGGACGGAAAGCTCCAGCCAGGCACTTGGCAAATTCACGTGGGGGCCGCGTCCTCTCATGAAGATCCCCGCTCGCCGCTGAAATTAAGGAAACGTATCGATCGTCACAAAGTGCGGGCGACATCTGTGGAAAAATAGTTTCATAGCTCAACCGGATCCTCCCCCCCCCCCCGTGTGAATGAATATTTCTGATTCTGACAAGGTTAGAAACCAGGATCTCGGCAGCGCGAGCTTCGGGCTCGGATCTCTTGCGCCACTCGGCCGCCTCTCAACCCGATAGTTGAAGTCTCAAAGCTAGAATTCAGCCCAATGAAGAGCCACCTTGTTTCATGCGGCGTTTTGAGATGCGAATGAAGCCTGCTCAATACATTAAACTGACGTTGTGTGGTGTACACATGTACATGTGGGTCGATTCAGCCTTAAATAAGTAGCTGGTGTGGGTGTTTAAACATCACCACTGGATAGACAAAGGCGTCCGGGCATTGTACTGTTCTGGTCACTCGTTCCCTCGTGTGCCGAACAGCACTTGCCCCAACAGCCTGTTAAAGGCTGCACGGGGGATATTTGTCTTTGTGTGTTTGTCTTGCATCAAACTCACTCGACAGCGGGCCAGCATCGCTTGTGCTGTGTTGTTCAGCCTCTCTCTGTCCTGCGCCGAATGCTGATGTGAGTTGAAGCCATGAACAAACTCCTCCGTCACAAGCAGTGGATCGCTACTCACACACGTGTGTGATGTGTGTGTGTGTTACAACACAAGAAGACCACAGGCAAACCGATGAAATAAATTGTTATTACTGTATATCATTAGACGATTAAAATATGTATCAGTAATCTTAACGTGAAGAAGGGCCATTGCTTGAAACGTCACATATTTGTAAGAATACAACGGCTGATTTACGGTTTAAAAAATTACATGTCAAAACTTGGAGGTGGTTGGGTGGCTCAGAGGTCAAAGCACTGAGCTGGCACCGCCGAGAGCCTGGGTTCGCATCCAGGCAGCTGCCTGTAATAAAACTGCGCTCGTAAGTCTTGTGAGTTGATGCCATCAGCCAGGTCGGCAATGACCGCAAACAACAAAAACCGCCCCATTACTTTCAATTTGGCTACGCGCTGACTCAATTCCAGCTCCGAGAACGATGACTCTTGGGCTACACCCATTTCAAACCTTTTAAAACAGTCTGCCTCAGCAGCAGATCATGCTTTCCCACCTGATGACGGGCGCTTGTGTTGCGCCCGAAACGTCGTGATTTAGTTTATTTTATACCTACCACGTGACTTTACCGAAAGAACCAAAGAGTATGGATTCCTGCAGTCGCGAAAGCTTCAAATCAAGACTGATATCAGCTTCACTGTCCCGCGACGGACGTTGCTCTCGTGTGGCACAGCGGGTAAAAAACAGCTGCTTGCCCTCTTCAGTGTGGACCAGGCTAGTAACTGGACGGTATCTCAGAAGCAGTTATCAGATGTCCGTTTCACGCGGGCCGTGTCTCTAATTCGAAGGGTTGCACCACTCTGCGAGACATCAAAATGGATTATTTGTCTCGCGACATGACGCCGATGACATTGGAGAGAACACGTTGTGTGAATGATTTGTGTTTGTTTTTAAACGCCGTCATGAACTTGCATTTCAGCCTGCGTGGTCATGTCCACAATCGGATGATGAATGGCCTGCAATCCCCACTCTCTCTCTCGCTTTGTCCTCTGTACCAGCGTGGACGGCACCCCACGTGTTCACCTTCTGAAGCGCTCGCTCGTCACCGTGGCGTGCGCGGTGACCACCACGTGACTTTTCTTTCGTGTTGTGCGCGGTGCATTTGGCGCCACAGCGCGTGGATTTATATTATTTGTGTTGCTGGTGACTTTGTGTATTTCATATTGGAATCGCCTCCAGTGCTGTTGCTGGTGGCGGCAATAAAAGTTGTTTAAAAGTCAAAGTCTCTTTGCCTTGTCCAAACGTGCACCATTGTGCACTCTTGTATCCGCTCAATATCTGTTGTTGTTGTTGATATGTGCGTGAACTCACGGATGAGTGCTGCGATGAGTCAGACTTCGCTCGGCCCTGCTCTCCGCCTCCTTGCACGCTCGCTGTATGAGGAGCTGCCTTTGAGCCTCGCACACGATCCCAAACCGCGGTACCTTGGATGAAATCGTCCTTGGTTTGCCACGCCCGGCCATAGTAGCCAGTCGCTCTGAGAGTTGGTAAACAGGTCGGTCTGTAATTGGGTTACTTGACCGTCACACGTTGGTGAAGGAAGAATACCTTTGGCTATATAAAGGCAAAATAAATGTAAGAGCACACGTTGGAGGTGGTACACAAAAAAATTCATCATCGCACGAACAATTGCAGTAAATTGGTACTGGTAGGAACCTCCTGGCTACACCACCAGCCCACAGGGGATTATTGTGTCCGTCCGTCGTGCATCCAAAAATGGGAGGGGTGGGGCTGAATGGAGAGGGGAGGGTGGGGAGGGGCTGGGTGGGGAGGGTGGGGCTGGGTGGGGAGGGTGGGAGGGGCTGGGTGGGGAGGGAGGGGCTGGGTGGGGAGGGAGGGGCTGGGTGGGGAGGGTGTGGAGGGTGGGGAGGGGCTGGGTGGGGAGGGTGGGGCTGGGTGGGGGGTGGAAGGGGTGGGGCTGAGTGGGGAGGGGCTGGTCACCCCGTGGTGCCCTTACAAAACTCAACGTTTAACCTACTCACGCCGGCTTGTGCCCGCCCTCACAGTCGGGCATATTTGCAGAATACACCACGTGCCGCCGTTGACCCTGGCCATTGACCAGCTCCCTCCGCAGGAATGTGTTAAAAGTGCAATGCGCTGTGAGCTTATTTCCAAAAACAGCACGCGTTATTGAATTCGTTAAACAAATAAAATGCAAGACCCTCATAATAAAGGTCGTGAGAATCCGTGAAGCTTTCCTGGAGAGAGAAATATTATTACTTTATATTGTTATTATATTATTACTTTGTATTGTTATTATAGTATTACTTTAAATTATTACTTTACATTGTTATTATATTACTTTATATTGTTATTATATTATTACTTTATATTGTTACTTAATATTGTTATTATATTATTACTTTATATTGTTATTATAATATTACTTTATATTATTACTTTGTATTGTTATTATATAATTACTATTCTTGTTTATTTCGGTAAAGTCACGTAAGAAGGGAAACAATAAAATAATACAAATATAAAACTATAAAATTCTCACGACGTTTCGACTGCAACACAAGCAATCATCATCAGGTGTGAAAACCACAGCAAGAAAATTTGAAAAAAGTGGCGGTTATTTTTTTATCGTCAGCACCACGGAAAGCGATTTGACAGTTTGTTCGGATGGACGAGTCCATCTATGTTCGGAAAAGAGGTGGGGGGACACGAAAATTATGGATGCGGTCTGAAAGCCACCATAAGCGTGAACAATCAATTAAGACCCGAAATGGTTTATCAAATCCTTCCAATGATTGCTAAGCCAGAATCCATCTTCTCGGTTGAAATTGTCTCTGTGTTTGTATATGTGGATAGCCTCATGAACGAATCTCTCATGGTAGCCAGATGGCTTGCAAAGAATCTCTGTCTTTGAGAAGTCAATGTCATGTGAGCCTACTGAATTATAACAGTGATCTGCCACGGCCGAGGTGTTGGTCCTACCGTGTTTTAGGTCTGCTTTGTGTTCACGAATGCGGTCCGAGACATGTCGTTTGGTTTCTCCAATGTATCTACTACCACAGAGGCAACTTAGTTTGTAGACGTCAGTAGGCCCGCGAATGATGTAATAAAAATCCAAATGGCCCTTGGCAGAAAAAAAGGTTCCCCACCCCTGTCCTAGAGGATGTCCACCGAGGGGACGGAGCTATGGACTTGTAGTTGTAGATGCCATGTCACCACAGCATCTTCATATATCACAGTGTTTAAAGGCCCAAAACTGGAACGTTCCATTTCCAACTACAAGCAAAGCTATATCATGGGACCTTTTTTGCCAGTATCAAAGTATGAAATATAAGAATAGGTTTTACCCTTTTTGCCAATAAAACATGTGTTAAGATGTTCAAACTCCAAATAGATACCTTTTGTAAGGAATTATGCATTAACCACACGTACTCGTGGTGAACCAGCAAACAAACATGCTGTGATAATAACACATTCCTGTGGATGGAGCTGGTAGGAACGTTGGATTGCTCAGTCAATGGCCAGGGTCAACGGCGGCGTGGTGTATTCCGCATATATGCCCGACTGTGAGGGCGGGCACAAGCCGGCGTGAGTAGGTTAAACGTTGAGTTTTATAAGGGCACCACGGGGTGACCAGCCCCTCCCCACCCAGCCCTACCCCTCCCACTCCCCACCCAGCCCCACCCTCCCCACCCAGCCCCTCCCCACCCTCCCCACCCAGCCCCTCCCCACCCTCCCCTCTCCACCCAGCCCCTCCCCACCCTCCCCTCCCCACCCAGCTCCTCCCTCCCCACCCTCCCCTCTCCACCCAGCCCCACCCCTCCCATTTTTTAATGCACGACGGACGGACGGACACAATAATCCCCTGTGGGCTGGTGTAACCAGGAGGTTCCTACCAGTATATGCATTGGCAGAGACAGCCTTCTTCATGACCTTGTCTCACCACCAGTGTCAGACCAGAGAACGCCAAACGGCAAACAGTACAAATACAAACTTGATTTGAAGATTTCGTGACTGCAGGAATTACACTTTGGTTCTTTCGGTAAAGTCACGTAGAAAGACATGTGTCTTTCTGTGTGTCTGTGTTGTCTGTGTTGTTTCCCTCTCTGCTTGTGTATCTGTCTGTGTGTCTCCGTGTCTGTGTTTCGTCTCTCTCTGAAATGTAGTTCTGCCTGATGACGGTTGCTTGTGTTGCAATCGAAACGTCGTATTCTATTATTTAATTTATTTTCTTTCTACGTTACTTTACCGAAAGAACCAAAGAGTACAAACACAATGCACATGTCAGAGAATTTATAGCTCGGGGTGAGCAACTATATCATGGGACCCCCTATACTCCGAAAAAGGTCCAATAGATAAAATCATTATTATCAGTGGGTGTTTGAGTGGTAACTTACGTGAATTAAGACGTGTTATGATCGCATCTCGAATACAGACCGCAACCAAATCACGCAGAATGTACGAAATTAATTGGCACGTGTCGCGACGGGTACTGCAAGATCCGACCATGTCCGTCTGGTGCTCGCCGAGTTGCATTGGCTTCCGGTTGCCAAACGAATGCATTCTGAGGTCGCACTCATTAGACACACACAGAGTGCTTGCCACAAATCAACCACAATTACTTTGCTGCTGATCTCGTCAAGGCGCATAAACCACCATTACGCGAACTGCCGTGGTCATCATCGCAGCAGCGGCTTTTGTCTGCTAGCCATCGAACAAAGGCGGTCACCGCATCGCGCGCTTTCAGATGCGCTTCTGCGGCCGTCTGGAACGCTCTTCCGTCCGATATTAGAAAGCCGTTGGAGCTATGCACCTTTAAATCATCTAGTTTGAAAACCCATTTCTTAGGAAGTTGCTTTTTGTGTTTAGTTTGTTGTCCTTCCCCCGCACCTCCGCTTAGCTCGATTGGCTAAGTACGGTGCGAAAGAAGTTCAACACACATACATTTCTCTGATGTTAAGCAGCAATTTAGGCTGGATAGAGCCTGGGAAGGCTCATGCCCAACGGGTTTGCTATCGGCTCTGCGTGGCTGCATGGTGGACAGCAGAGGGTAGTGCAATGTGTTGGTGTCGCCCGACTTGTACACTCCCATGTCTAATGCAGCTCACTGTCACCATCCCGTACTGTCCAGGGCAGTGAAGTATGGTCAAATAACCCCCGCGAGGCCCTCATCCAGCAGCGGATTGATAAAGGACTGGACATGTATTGATGTCTCTAACAGAAAACATCACGGTAAATGTACACGCCCAGGAAGCATTATCAAGCCACAATGGCCTTAACCGCCGGTGGAAATTCCACGTTGTTATGTCAAGGGGCAATCTCTCCGTAGAAGGAGAACCAACCTTTGGCTCCCCACATGAAGCGATGCCACTCTCATCCCTATCCCTGAGCCAGTCGCAAAGTACAAGCGTGCTGTCGACTTCTCGCAAAGTTGTATACCGCTTTATCGCCCCCTAGAGAGATGATGATGATGATGGTGGTGCTGCTGTTGAATTGATCCCCGATATTTACACTAGCTACTTTTCAGCTCGTGTTTCGACAACCCCAACCACTGCGCCACCCAGCCTCATCTCAAACGTTCTACCAGATCGTCGCGTGTTCAGCTTACCTTTAAAAAAATCGCCGTCTTTGTTGTTTTAACTGCGGACAGCTGTAAGTCGGAACCCAGGATAACGACGGATGAAACATTCCTGCATGTTTAATATGTTACACAGAACGAGCTCTAAGATCGGCTCTGTCTGTCCACTTAGTGGCAGAGTCTATAGGCAGGGCTTGAGAAAGAGGCTGGCGTCCTTTGTCGCTATGGTAACATTCAGCTTAAGGCTCTCAGCCATGCAGAGAGCATATTAACACAACGCTGGCTTGCGGTTGCCACGATATGGCGATGTTACCGCGATATATCGTGCGATAAAATATCCACGATAATCGCATCACCCCCTTTGAAAGACATCAATCGTACGGTGACTATCGTTACAATTTTTGTTTCAATTGATGGAACGAAAAACGCAATCGTTAAAGTTATTGGGGTGACCATCATCCGGCAGTGGATGGATCATGGCTGATGGGAATGATGATGAATGAAATGGTATTTGTTTATGTTACATATATATTTTTTTTACCGACACGTAAGTAACCATAATCTAATTACATTCTGAAATAAAGAGTGCTGTGATGATACCGGATTACTGGTAACGAGCCTTTTTTTGTAATCTGATCACAGCACCCCGTTACTTTGTAACCAGGGCTTAACCTCTCACGGAATACTTTTCCAGAATTGATGGCAAACTGAAGAAAAGCACGCGACGAAGTGTCCACGGCAGCGTTTTTCACTAATTTGGTGGTGGTGGTGGGGCGGGAGGGCCACTATCGCCGATGAGACATCGTCAGTGCGGGGGCCGCCACGCGTTTGAAAGCCATTGCTGGGTTTGACAGCAGCACGATGATGATGGGCGCGTGGGGGGGGTGGGTGACTAAAAGGCCACCAGGGGCCGCCCAGTGGCCCGCGGGATCGTGCAATGAAGCAACGCTGATCCACGGCCATAGCGATATGGATACTGGATGTGGTGTGCCGTGCGCGGAGATATTGTTCTGGGTTGCTGACCCAGAGAGACCCGGCTGAAATGAAGCACTGCTTGTAACTATGCTAACTATGCTATAGTATACGATACTGTAGTATATATATGCTGTATCAGATAATGCCATTTATTAAACACATCATCCCTCGCCTGCGGTCGATAAAATTTGTACCATTTTATGGGAACTTGACCGTGGTTGTTCTATGCATGCGGGCTGGGTGCGACGAATCAAATGGCTGTGGGTGGCTATTGCGGCACCAGTAAATGCTGGTGAGCGCACTCCACTATGAAATCCCGTGACACAGATTTTGATTCCCGGGCCCCAGCTAACATCGCTGGTGAGAACTATATCTGAAAGGATCCTGCAACCTCCCTTAGCGAACCCGCACCGAGCAGCGGGGTGTAGAAAGTCTGGTAAAAAATGTAAACAACGCGGAATTGGGAATCCTTCATCCCGCAGTGGATAATTGACGTGAAGTTCGTAAGAAAGGGGACAAAAATGATGCATTAGCATCGCAATTAAAGTGTATGATGATGGAATTAAAAAGTTGCATTTGAGTGTGTTTTGAATTGTTCTCCAGTTTGGCAACGCACTCATTTCTATGCATTTTCTTTACTCGTTTCAATGCTGGGCACTCTGTCACTGCAAAAGACACGTGTTGGCTCAATGAGCCATCAATCGATGATCGCACACATCGATCCAACTGCATTCGATTTTTACATCCGATTACTCCATCGACTCGCGCGTTTCAATATAAACAAACGCAAGCCACTCGGCGGAGTCTGTAGTCGAACTCCGGGGGTGACGTCCATCGAGAATCGAACGAAGGACAACGTTAAATAAGGCAGTTGAATCGATTCTATTGTTACGCGGCGAAGTAATCGGAATCGTCTATTTGCAATACAGCACAGATTAAATGATCACTCGCCATGTCTGATCGGTGGGGAATGACTTATGATGAAAATGATGATGAAGACGACGACGAGGAGGAGGAGGAAGAGCAAAGGGGAGTAGTACGACGAGGAGGAGGAGAAGACGACGTCCTCGCCATACAGCAGAGGATATTAGCAGAGGTGCAGGCGGAGAGGCGGGCGAGGGGACCCGTTCGGCCGAGGAGCCTCGCCGGGTTCTCCTCGCCTTCTGCGGTAGGACAGCTAGGCCACAGCCCAGGGTCCTTCGCGGCCTACAAGGGGGAGAGCTTTACATCGGAAGGAGCTTCCAAAGGTAAAGATTACACTTTTGTAAATGTTTACGAGCATTGTTCTTCTACATCTGACGAGACGTGTGGGAAAGTTATTGTTTTTGGTTGTGGCCTGGTTTGGTGTTGTGCCGGTGTTCGGCGTGACCTTTGAATGCCGGTGTCGTCTTTGCTTGTTAATTCACTCTAGATCGTTAATTGACGTTGCAATCACGATTGTCATTAGCTAAGCGGTTCGCTCTGTACAAGCGTCAACTGATGAACACAACACCCAAGAAATCGTAGGAGCGGCGTAGCTTCTGGCGCTTATTGCCACAGCACACGTAAATGGCCTAAAGGTGCCTTTTTAACCTGGTGGGGGCATTAACGCCGTAGTGTCATTGACAAACCGTGACCGACACAGTTGCAGTGGTGTCAATAGCAAGTATTTTTTTTACACGCTTTTTATTAACTCACTCTGTTGTATCCTCAAATCTTGTAACTAAAATTTTAACCCACTTCCCAATGTGGTATCGACTGCAAACTCTGTATACTTGTGTCATACTGATGACAATACTATATTCTATCATAAACAAAAAAATAAAGAAAACACATTTTAAAACATTATTTTTTATAAGTTATGTTTCGGCTTGGGTCTAATTGTCCACGCTCAACTGACGTTGCCTGTAAATCACCACGATCCCCTTACGTTGTGGCAAGCTTCGGGGTCACTTCCTGAAGTCGTGCAGTTCTTCCATTACCAGTACGGTACATTTCATTAAAGCGTGTTTAAAAAAAAAAGTTGTTTTAAATATTACTTATTTTGTACACATTAAGGACGCAATTATAAAGATACAATTCAAGTGGAACGCGCTGTGTGCTTGATTACAAACACATCTCTCATGAAGGAACTGGCCAAACATCCAATTTTCAGGGCCCTCAAAAATATCTGGAGATTCCGAGGTAGAGTTTCTTGAACCGTGAAGCAATGTGATTACATTGACATTACCTTACAACGAATGGGGGACATCAATCCAGTTCTCTGCCATATCTCGGTCAGGTGTTTTTTCATGTTTTCGTATACTTTAGTTTCCCCCATGAGCTCAAATGCACAACAGTAGCGTGACAATAGCGTATACGGTGTATGTAATTGGCACAAATTGTAAATACTGCAATTGTCATGCTTTATTCTATGCATGAACTTGAGAATCGATTTTAATTGATTCATCCATGCAGCTTTACGTGCTGATGACTGTGTAATGTCAGTGGAGATTTGTTTTGTCACTTGGCTGATTATAGATGCCTTTTTGTTTGTTTGTTTCCTTACAGAAAACCTGCAAAGATTTGCTGGCTTTGGCATTGGTATGACGAGGTAATGTCATCCAATAATGCTATCGGTGTCGTGAGATTAAAAAAGTCTCCCTTCGGTTCGCTTGTAGAGAAGTGCAACCCCACCGTGTTTGAGAACCCCCCCGTGAAAATAGATATCATAGAGCTACCTCTGACATCCCTCGATGCGACGTCTGGTACACACAGTAGGGGCAGCACTTTCTCGCGTTCCCAACCACGGGAAGTAATTCATGTTCATGGCATGACAGTCAAACTGACATTTGTAATTTTTAGAATTGGAATTTATTTAAAGGAAGTGTTAAACCAAATGTATTATTAATAATATGTGTGCGTTTATTGGTTACCTGGGCGGAGGCCATCAACTGACTACCCTTGAGAACCTGGTTTGATCACTATTTCTAATTTTAGCACGCTCAGTCACTTCTTGAAAGTCCCATTCGGCCCTTGGTAAGGAACATATTCCACATCCCTGCTGTACGCATGTTAAAATGCTCACAAATTGTAATAGCTTGTGAATTTGCACTTTCCCATGTCTTTACAGTCTCTTTATTGAAAACGTGTTGGCTCATCCATGCATTGTGATCCGGAGACAATGCCAGGTGAAGTTTTACAAAACAAATACTTCTCGTTACTATGAAGTCACAAGGTCCCTCTGCTCTAACAAGTGTATGACAGCACTCTCTCCATTAGAGGCTCTGAGCCAGTCGAAGAAATTCCACATTCCAAATTAATACTTTAGTTTATGGAAATACAGTTAACACCACCACCACCACATTCATTTGATACACAAATAAAACGTTGATTAAAGTCTTCCCATGTCGTCCAGATCGTGGGTGAGGTTTGACTATACTTGACCTGTTGGTAATGGCAGGGAACATAATATGGGGTATAGAAGTACAGTACAACATATTTTTCTTCACTGCCCTATTTGGCATTCTGGGTCATAATAATCTAAATGGACACTTTATTTTCGTGATTTATGTAATATTCCTCTGTTCACTTCCATTGGTTGCACATTCAATAGATGAATGACAGTCTTAAACAAATTGGTTGTCATTGTATGTAATTTTATAACATTTTTTGCAGATAAATTACCATGCCAAGAAATACCACCTAACACCCTTCTCTGTCATCAGGATAATGTATTCCTTCACAAGATCACAGGTGAGGAATAAATGACTGGAAATTAAAGTAAAAAAGTCAAAGCATCAATTAGACTGTAGATATGATAAGGCTAAACATGTTGCACTGGGTAGGATGTATGCAGGATTGAGGAGGACTGGTCAGAGGTGTGATGTCTTTGGTATGGTACTCATCAAAGAGCTGGACTTTAACAACTAGAAATATACTCTAGCTTTTAGAAGGAAGCTATACATTGCATTGCAGTGTAGGTTAAGCAACTTGAAGGTTCAAATGTAATTGGTCAGGAAAACATAGTAGACGTGAAAAGGAATAGGATGTTGTGAGAGGTGGGAATGGAGGAGGGCAGGTTATTGAGACCGGCATTGCCGTGGTACCCAGAGGTTGGTGACCAAGAGTAAAACCTAATGTCATAAGGCGGTGATGATGACACTCTACATGGAGAGTCCTGGATGTAACAAGGGGTGTGCTAAATTCAGATTATGGCGGCGGTGGTGATAAGATTTTAAGATGGAACCGTATTTCAGAAGTTAACTTCACAGCTGCTACGGTACCCAGCAGAAGGAAGGAAGCAATGGCAAGATGTGTTGGCGTCAATAGCATTGGTCTTGATGATTTGTTTGATTATCATGACAGATGTTTTTTTTGTTCCTTCTCTGAACCAGGGCATCCGAGCTTTATGGAAAGGCATGGGCAGTACCTTCATAGTGCAAGGCATCAGCCTGGGTGTTGAAGGAATAGTTGGAGAGTTCACACAACTACCCAGGTACCCGGCGCACATTGTACCAAGTGGAAGAATGAAATCCAAAAAAATGTTATTGGTCGCAATTTTATTATTTTGATTTATTTAATTTACAGCCCTGTGTAAATCCACTGTTGCCTTATAAGTACTGGGGGCTGTTTGACCATATTTTATCATGCTGGTCCGTGCAAGCCGGAGAAGATGGATAATCCAGATTTGCATCAGATATCACTCGTCAGTTGTTTACCATGGGCAGGATCGAGCTGAGACTCGCCGGGTTCGTAGCTTGTTGTGCTGACAACTGTGCTACTACTGCACCTATTCCTACTTCTCGAAAACAACATCGATCCACAGCAATCAATCAATCAATCGAACTCCGCTTCTGTACATTCAGAAATTCCAAATCATGTCTATTATTACACTACGGAAAGTATTGCCCTTTGGGTGATGTTTTTCCTTTAGGTAAGGCAGGAGAGGCATATCTTTCGGCCACATGCAATATTAATCTGTCACTGCAAGCTACTTAGTCGCACTAATCAGGCACGAGGGGGGAGTAGATTGAACCTGGCAACACCGTATGTGACTTTAGCATGCTCGGTAACTTCCGTAAGTGGAAGAGCCTCTTGTAATGACAGGAGTGGCCCAGGTGTGTTAATTTGTTGTCCCAAAACTTTTTTGAACCTCATATTCGGTCCTCTGTAAGGAAACATTTCCCACCCCCTATCCTGGAGGGATGATGATGATGCATTGGCAGCAATAGTTATGGTGTATTACATGTGGCTGCTTCTGCAGCTGCTGCCAAAGATGATGATGAAAATGGTCTGAGTTGACATGCGACCAGGATTTGAACTCAAAGCCTCAACTGATTTATCCACTAAAACCTCAACTGAGCCTCAAGATGCTTTGTCGAGAGGATCCAGCTTGGCATGATTATTGGCATTTTGAGAAGCATCCTGAGTACCCAGATAAAAGCCACACATACAAGGGGATAACTCTTAATCAGTATGTACAAATAGACCAACGACATACTTGTTCTACCGTGTTGCACATTAATATTCGTCACGATTCTTATCTTCACTTTGCGTGGGCCCTACCCTTGGTTGACAACCTAAAATTGAGCACCTGACACAGTGCAATCATGAACATCAGCACTGGGGAGACAAAGGTGGCTAGGCGTGTGAGCGTAGTACTGACCATATCACTAATTCCACATGCCGTATTGACCTTAATAGGTGTTTGCTAACAAAGGTTTCCCCTAAGTAGATGAGGTGAATCGTCATGGCAGCGTTTGTGTGAATGATTGTTTAATGCAATTCTCTTTTGCAAGGGAGGTTTCACAGAATTGGAACTTCAAGCAGCTCGGAGGCCACATGCTCCTGAAGGGGTGAGCCGCATCATCATGTGACACCGCAACAGCTAATCGGGTGTGATTGGCGACTTTTTTTTAATGCCTTATTCCATGAGAATTAAGCATGCATAAAAAATGATTTGTCGAGGAGATTCTCAGGACATTGTGTAAAAAATATGCGAATGTACATGACATATATATGTATATAAAACATGTTGTAAATAAATCTGCTGAAACGGGCAATTTTTTGTTGTGAGGCAATGCCCGCTTCCACCCCCACCCTGTGCTCAGGCTGCATTGCTACAGTCCAAAGTTGGCACGGACAAATTTAATCAGGCCAGCTTCCATGGCGCACACAGTGGTTGTGCTCATGGTTGCGGTTATAATGTGGTTATGGTTATTATAATGTGGTTATGGTTATTATGTGGTTATGGTTGTTATAATGTGGTTATGGTTATTATAATGTGGTTATGGTTGTTATAATGTGGTTATGGTTGTTATTATAATGTGGTTATGGTTATTATGTGGTTATGGTTGCGGTTATAATGTGGTTATGGTTATTATAATGTGGTTATGGTTGCGGTTATAATGTGGTTATGGTTATAATGTAGTTGTGGTTAGCATATGTTTATGGTTATAATTGTAAATAGGCCAGTTAGTGTCATTGGTAAACGAATTTGCAAGAAACACACATTTCTTTCAAATCACTAAAGTTATATCCCACGCAAATGCACGGGAAGTGCAACTTAAAAATTGCGCTATTTACTACCCAGCAAAGCCTCGCTGTGTCTCAAGACTTGCAGGAGGATCTTGCTTTGTTATCTTTGGCCAATTTGTTATAACAGAGTGTTTTTCATGTGGGATAAAACCAGAGAACCTGGAGAAAACCCACACAAACAAAGGGTGGGGGGGGGCGTAACACTCAAATTTCCACACAGATGCATTCAATAATCCATTGTCATGCTGCCGTATGGTCAACTCATAGCCCTAAGGGTGTCTAATGTGTAGTGCGTACGGCTGGATGATTAACAGTTTAACACGTAGGCTTTACGTGACCAATATTATTCATAATAAAGGTTTTTGGGTAAGATTGCATAAGTACGAATGTGTCCTAACCCTCCACCACCCGACACAGCCAATTAGGAAGCGATTTGTCACGTAAACAAAACGCCAATTAGTTATTACTTCAGCCCACCGGTGTGTTGGAGAGTAAATCCGCAACATTTACAATTTGAGTGACGTTTCGCTGGTAATTACATCCAGCATCATCGGGCGATTTGCCAGAATGATTAACAACTTACGTAATTCTATTTCCAAATGAGTTAACCAGAAAATGGTTTCAATGGATGTGCAGTACAGCAGTGTTTAGTGGAAGTATAATAATTCCTGCTTTCTTTGTTCCTATGCAGGATCGTGTGCCTGATAACCATGCCATTCTATTCAGCAAGTCTCATTGACACAGTACAGGTCTGTGCATATGTGCATGCATGTTGGATGTGTGTGTGTGGGGCGGTAGTGTAGCGGTTAGCACGCCGCGGTACAAACCAGGCGACCCAAGTTCGATTCCCGCTCACGGTCAACACCAGTGACGATTATCTGAACCAGTCCTGGGCCTCCTCTAGGTCGACTCGACCTCAAATGTTTACCTGGTGCGGTGTGTAAACATCGCAATTAGGGAGCCAAAGGTGGCCGAGCATGGTGCTGGCCACTCACCCCCTCACGTGCCATGCCTCAACAGTCTTTTAAGGATATACAGGGGATCTTTGTCTTTGTTGTGTGTCTTTGTGTTGCATGTGGGTTGGCACAGTGGGGAGTGCAGGTGGGGCATCTGTCAGTCATCTCAGTAAATCCTTAATACTTGGGTCTGTCCCAAGACCTCCTAACGAGCCTTCCACATTTTACATGATCATCTCTAAGTGCATCTAACCTGGCACAAGCGCTGTGGTGACGTCATCGCCGCTTCGTGGTGAATGCCGGCTCTTGTGCGCAGGTCTGCCCTGTGACCTCCTGCCAGCAACCCTTCAACACTTCACGTGGCCCCAAAGTGCACCCAGCCTGGCACAAGCGATCTTTTAACATCACTGTCACTTAGTGGTGAAAGGTGGCCGTTGTTGTGTACGCTTGTGGTGAGCGGTGGTGCAGTGATGTTCGCACTGCTCTACCAATCCGGCCATCTGAGTTCCAATTCCTAAACACCGCTAACATCAGTTAAGAGTGCTAGCCGAACCAGTTATCTGGGCTTCCACCTCGTTGATTTCACCATGAAATGAGTACCTAGCCCGAGAGATGAAGGAGACTTGGCCCTGTGCAGTCTACACTGCCCCCCAAAATGTGCTACCACTCATCCACGTCACCGCCAAAATATTGCCGTTGTGTGCGGTTCAACTCAACATATCTATCCCCCTGTCCCCCTTTGTATACTTTCTACCCTCTCCACCCACTCTGCTCTCTCCGCATTCAACCACCCTTTCCACCGTCTCACTCTCCTCTTGCCACCCTCTCTCTTTGCACATTTTCCCACCCTCTTCACACTCACCACCTCTCTCCACCATCTCTCTCCACCACCACCACCACCTTCTCTCTCCACCCCTCTCCTCTCTACGTGCCCCCTACGCAATTCCAGAGCGACATAATTCGCGACAACCCCGGCATCCTGGAGTGCGTGCGCGAGGGCGTCTGCCGCGTGCTGGGGCTCGGCATCCCGCAGAGCAAGCGCCTGCTGCCCCTGCGCCTCCTGGCGGGCCCCACGCTGCTGCACGCCCTGCTGCACCACGCCATCGCCGCGCTGGTGCAGCGGGTGGCGGGCCTGGCCATCGAGGCCACCTGGCGGAGGAGGAGGAGGGGGAAGGGTGCGGCGGCGCCGGAGCCGGGGGTCGCGGTGGAGGAGAGCTCGCTGGAGGCGTGTCTCCCCGAGTTGGTGGCGCGGTTTTTCGGGGGACTCGTCGCGGACGTCGTGCTGTTCCCGCTCGAGACGACCGTGCACCGGCTGCACGTGCAGGTTGGGGACGCGCTGGCGCGGCCGGGAGATTTCGGGTCGCGGGCGAGAGCACGCCCCGCGGTGGCGGCGTGTTCGAGTGCGAGGTTACGTCTGCTTCGGTTGAATTTTGGGGGTGGGGAGGTGTTGCGTAAATTAGCGCAACTGCTTGGCCCCGTGCACACAACTGAAGCGTTCGTTCGTCCGCCGAATGGTTGAACCACTCGCCCACCCGCTTGCTCATTCAATAATGAAACCACTCGCCCATCCAACAACCGATTACACTTACCCATCCACTCACCCAACCCAATAAACTGAATCACTTACTCTTTGGTTCTTTCGGTAAAGTCACGTAGATAGGAAAATAAATAATAGGTCACCGGTGATCTGTTATTTATTTTCCTATCTACGTGAAATAAATTAATTCCTGCAGTCACGAAAGCTTCAAATCGAGACTGAATCACTTACCCGCCAAAAGTCAAAATCACTCCCTCACCCACCAGACAACTAATTACAGTGAGGGAAAAATGTATTTGATCCCCAGCTGATTTTGTACTTTTGCCCACTGACAAGGAAATGAACAGTCTATAATTTTAATGGTAGGTTTATTTGAACAGTGAGAGACAGAATAACAACAACAAAATCCAGAAAAACGTATGTCAAAAATGTTGTAATTGATTTGCATTTTAATGAGGGAAATAAGTATTTGATCCCCTCTCAATCAGAAAGATTTCTGGCTCCCAGGTGTCTTTTATACAGGTATAAAGACACCTGGCATCCACAAAAGCAATCAATCAGATTCCAAACTCTCCACCATGGCCAAGACCAAAGAGCTCTCCAAGGATGTCAGGGACAAGATTGTAGGCCTACAGAAGGCTGGAATGGGCTACAAGACCATTGCCAAGCAGCTTGGTGAGAAGGTGACAAAAGTTGGTGCGATTATTCACAAATGGAAGAAACACAAAATAACTGTCAATCTCCCTCGGCCTGGGGCTCCATGCAAGATCTCACCTCGTGGAGTTGCAATGATCATGAGAACGGTGAGGAATCAGCCCAGAACTACACGGGAGGATCTTGTCAATGATCTCAAGGCAGCTGGGACCATAGTCACCAAGAAAACAATTGGTAACACACTACGCCGTGAAGAGCTGAAATCCTGCAGCGCCCGCAAGGTCCCCCTGCTCAAGTAAGCACGTATACATGCCCGTCTGAAGTTTGCCAATGAACATCTGAATGATTCGGAGGACAACTGGGTGAAAGTGTTGTGGTCAGATGAGACCAAAATGGAGCTCTTTGGCATCAACTCAACTCGCCGTGTTTGGAGTAGAAGGAATGCTGCCTATTACCCCAAGAACACCATCCCCACATCAAAGGGACGATGGACGGGGCCATGTACCGTCAAATCTTTGGTGAGAACCTCCTTCCCTCTGCCAGGGCATTGAAAATGGGTCGTGGATGGGTATTCCAGCATGACAATGACCCAAAACACACGGCCAAGGCAACAAAGGAGTGGCTCAGGAAGAAGCACTTTAAGGTCCTGGGGTGGCCTAGCCAGTATCCAGACCTTAATCCCATAGAAAATCTGTGGAGGGAGCTGAAGGTTCGAGTTGCCAAACGTCAGCCTCGAAACCTTAATGACTTGGAGAAGATCTGCAAAGAGGAGTGGGACAAAATCCCTCCTGAGATGTGTGCAAACCTGGTGGCCAACTACAAGAAACGTCTGACCTCTGTGGTTGCCAACAAGGGTTTTGCCACCAAGTACTAAGTCATGTTTTGCAGAGGGGTCAAATACTTATTTCCCTCATTAAAATGCAAATCAATTTATAACATTTTTGACATGTGTTTTTCTGGATTTTTTTGCTGTTATTCTGTCTCTCACTGTTCAAATAAACCTACCATTAAAATTATAGACTGATCATTTGTTTGTCAGTGGGCAAACGTACAAAATCAACAGGGGATCAAATACTTTTTTCCCTCACTGTACACTCACCCACTCACTCACCAACTCATCTATCCACTCACTAACCCAACTACTGACCCATCCATGGATGAAACCACTCAGGCCCACGCACACCCAACAACTGACCCACCCCCTCTCTCCTGCCCGTCGTTTCTTCCCCCCCCCCACCCCCCCGCCGCCACACCGCACACTTGCCTGAACCCACCACGCGCAGGGCACTCGCACGATCATCGACAACACGGACGCCAACTCCCCCGAGCTGCTGCTGCTGCCGATCAACACGCGTCACGAGGGTCTGGCCGACTGCGTGCGCTCGGTGCGCCGCGACGAGGGCGCCTTGGGGCTGTGGAAGGGCGTGGGGGCGCTGCTGCTGCAGTACAGCGTGCACGGTGCCCTGCTCTACGCAGCCGGCGTCGTCAGCTCCCGCATCGCGGCTGCCGGCGGAGTGAGTGGCGCCGCTTTGGCTGCCGTCGGCGCGAGGACGTGACCACGTTCGAATGATCGAGCAGCGTGTGGTGAACAGTGCGTGCGTGTGTGTGCATGTGTCTTTGTGTAGCGGTTAGCGCGCGGCGCTACGATGCCGCCCACCCGGGTTCGATTCCCGCTCGCGGTCAACACGGGTGACAATTATTTTAACCGGTCTTGGGCCTCCCATAAGTCGACTCAACCTCAATTTTCACCACTAGGGAGACAAAGGTGGCCGGGCGTGGTGTTGGCCATTCCACCCTCTCATGTGCCGTGCCGGCCTTCATAGTTGCTCGCTAACAGCACGTGCACCGGCGGTCTGTATTGCACATGCCTGCGTGTTTGCGCAAGTACACGGGAGTAATGGACATCACCGCTGGGAAGACAAAGGTGGTCGGGCACGGTGCTGTCCACACCCCACCCACAAACTGTGTCCTGCCCTCTCAGACAAGTGCCCACCGACACTTGTGTCCTTCGCCTGCGGTGAGGCCGCCCAGTGATTTCCGCGTGACTTTAGCACGCAAACACGTGTGGTAAGCTCTCAAGAGGTAAAAGGGTAAAGGTGCAACCCTGCAAACGCTCACTGCACTGCCGGCAGAAGGGCCTCCGCTGCGGCTCGCTTTAGAGGGCGTTTGGTCTCCTCTTACACTCTGACCGGACGTGTTACAATCGGCACCACGCTTTACCCCACCACATGTCACATTGCCGATCGACTAACTGTGGTCCGGCCGTTTACACTGCTGGGTGGACATAGGCGGGGGAGGGGTGATTTTAATAAATTGGCACCATAATTGTTTTCTTTGCCGCCAGAAGACTGAATCGGACCCATCTGGATTGCAAGGCCGGTGCACCAACCGTTAGACCACAACAGCTCTCTGTCCGTGGTGGCGAGATGTTAACTCCATCGCCTGGTATGCAGGAGGTCGTGGATTTAGATCCCGACCCCGACGCCTGCTGCTGTATATTTAGAGTTTGCATGATCTCCTCGTGGTGACGTCGATTTGTATCCAGGTCCCCCGGTTTTTTCTCTCCACATTTAGAAACATGCGTTGTATGCTACACATTTCCACGTGTTAAGCCACTTTCGTTGGCCTATCATTTGTGGCCAGGTCGCATCGGAAAAAGAGCTATATGTAGCTCAGTTGGCCTTGGCTGGTAAAATAACATTTAAATTATTTTAAGGCGCACGTTAAAAACCCTGTGAGTTCATTTACAAGATTGTGCCATGGTTGTGCCCGTGTTGTAGCCCAAATCCTCAGTTGTACTTCCCTACGCCTGGCAGGTCGCAGGGACTATTTGACTATACTTCATCACGGCAGTCAGTGTCGATCCGGTGAAGGTGGGCAGCACAGAACGTGCGAGCATGTGACTACAGAGCAACAATGGATTTCCACTGCACTGCCCTCTGTTGCCCACCTTGTATGCGTATGTAATGTTTATTGTGCTTCCAAGTGCGCAAGGTGTTCTGTGGTATGCCCTTGCCTCCCCCCCGCCCCCCCAGTCCTTCCCGTGATGAGCAGCACACACAGCTTCTCCACAACTTCCCGGCATCTGCAGGCTGAGCCACTTCATCCCATGTTCCAAGATATTACAATCGTTGTTGATAGCTTCTCTTCAGTTCTCTCTCGGTTCTTTCTCTCTTCCTTGCTCCTTTTTTTTCCAAATGCCACTTCTGCAATTGGGTTCTCAGCCTCGCGGTGGAGATGTTCCAACCATCGTGATCGTCCGATAATATGCACACGGAAATGTACCTATACCTGGCTTCCAAATGGAAGGGTCTGATGCTCAAATCCTGGTTGACCCTCAAATCATCATCATCATCATCAACCCTCTCGCGTTGATTAAATGAGTTCCACTTTTGTGGAAGTCGGCAGCAGTCACCTTGTGGATTTACGTGCTGCGATGGGAATGTGGAATTTCCACCGCTGGCTTAAGGCTGCCATCAGAGAGTAGCACCACCCCTTGTTTTAAGAAAAACTATTAATTGACAGCACTTTTTCATGTTTTCTGTACACGTGCATACGAATGTATACATACAATTTGTCACGTGGTTAAAATTAATAATGAATTGTTCCTTATGCATAAAGTGCTCACACATGAATTAACATACAATGGATTTAAGAGCACAAAGCTATGTGAATGCTGTACAAATGTGAACTTTGTGCTCATGATGTTTGTATAAGTTTATTTAGCAACCACATCTGCTGGACTGGACATTTAAAAGCCAATGTTACGTATTTGTTTTTGTTCCTATGTGTTTAAAATGCCTAACCCCTAAAATTGTATTGATTATACCGTGAAATCATTGGCCTCCTACTATGTAGACTTTGTAGGGTCCTCCTGGCAAAGAGTCGCGAGACTCGGTGAGGCTTTCCTGGGCAATCAAGTGTAACGACAACAATGCCCTTAGTACATTAAACCTGTGCGTATCAAACTCTGTGCGTGCTCGCATTCGACGTAACGCCATCGTCGCCAGGCTGAGAGGTGAAGTCCGAAGGAGGCAGTTCAGAGCGGAGAACCAGCGTGCGACGGACTTCAGCGGACGTGGAGGATGATGCCCCCCCCCCCCGGACAGGAATGAGTGGAGAAGGATGATGTGGACCTAATGAAGCCAAGACCTCACAACGGGTGGAAGGGAAAGTGCCAGGTCGAGCATTAATCATTCGCAGTGATCAGAACCCAGCCATAGAGAACGTTGGTGGCGAGTGATACCTCTTTAGTATTTGCACCCTTGTCAGCCCTTCTTGTAAATTTGCACTATTGACGTTCCCCCATGCCTCGGCACTTGCTCTTGTTCATTCATACTGCTAACTTGTGTTTTGCCTTACCCACCTGTCCTTCACCTGCCCGCATCAACGCTGCTGTGGCTGTTATCATTCACTCTATATGCCAAGGACACAATGACACGAACAAAAAACATTGATAAAGAGCTGTAATGTTTATCATGAATTTCATGTAGATTAATGCGCAGCACAATATAAAATAGTAAAACGCAATTGGATCCAGGGGAAGGAATGCATTTCATTGTTACTTCCTGCGTATCTTGAATTGTGTATCTTTTTAGCCCATCAGAATTCTTCCATATAATTGTTTTTTTTATACTTAACTAGCTTAACTACCCGGCTTCGCCCTGGACTTGGATTCACCACGCCCGGCCGCCTTTGTCTCCCCAATGGCAATGTTCATACACCACACCAGTTACGCGTTTGAGGCTGAGGCTGAGTCGACCTAGGGGAGGCCCAGGACCAGTTCAAATAATCGTCACCGGTGGTGGCCGTGAGCGGGAATCGAACTCAGGTCCCCGGGTTCGTAGCGCAGCGCGCTAACCACTACACTACAATGCGTTACGCTTCTACATGAGCGGGTCACATGACAGATTTAACGTCACAGCTTCCGTGCAAAAATGCATTATTGAGCCCCCCCCCCTCCAAAAAAAAACAAGTGTATTTCAATATTTTTTGCATGGTGTACAGTCTGGAAAGTACCCACATGGCAAATTTCAAGTTTGTTGCATGTCAGGAAGTACGCTAAACATTTTGAACAGACACACAATCACAACTTTGCCTTTTATATATATGGAGATTACTTCCTCGTTCATGAGCCGATCAATTTAATGTTAATCATTGTAGAGCCAAGTCTCTTATCATCTTCATTGCATTTCTTGATTGGTCCGCGTGCTAATGTTTGGGATTCTAGAATCTAAGGTGGAATCCCAGTGGCTTTATTACGGGGGGAGGGGCACATTTGTAAATTAGTTTAAGGGAAATTCATGCCTTGGTGTTTCTATATTAATCGGAATTCCTTACATGTTAGAATATCAAATAATGAGCTGAGATGTATTCTATATGTATTTTGTTACATAAGTGCACATATCCTGCAATGATAGAGATGGGGACATTTGGCAAAATAGATGGAACAAAAACGGATAAGTGTACAAAGAAGCGTGGAGAGATGTGCACGCTTGGAATGACAATGAGAGTCAGAACGAGGGACAACGTGGATTGGAGAACAACTTGATGCGAGACATTTTGCGGAAAATGGTTTTATTCACTCAAATCGGCAATTTGACTTTAGCCACTCAAAAAAGCAATCTATGAAAATCCAGAAACTTCGCGCGGAACCGCCTGCGACGAGTTTGGTACACCCTCGACACGTGAGGCCAAAGGTCAATGGACGATGGCTGAGAATGTCCTTGAGCTGGCTTCAAGACCGAGGACTGGACTTGCCGATCCAAGACTTGGAGTGGCGGTGTATCACGCAAGATCAACACCATTATGACTGATCAATATGCAATCGCGTATGTTGGTTGCACAATACAATGGGGGGGGGGGGGGGGGGGGGGGGGGGGGGGGGGGGGTGGGGGGGGGGCAATGCCTTCGGGCGGCTGCAATCGCAAGACGACAATAACTGTGGCACGACGCGTTTGAGTGTGACGTGCACGTGACAAGATCGCCCCGTCGCAAGTTTCCTCCACCCGAGATCGCGTTCGTGCCGTCGGTCAGTGCGATTTCATTGAGAGAGAATTTATCAAACCAGGCCGGAGCCCGTTGCAATGCACATTTTTACCGAGAAGATCTATGGTAACAATAAAAAGAAATAAGAATAAAATGTCAATGGGGGGGGGGGTGAAGAAAATGTTAAGATTGGGAATTCAATGTTCGCCAATTTGGACTTATTCTGGTTTGCAGCTATTACTGCTTGAAAATCAAATCATAGGTGACGAGATAGCCATCGTTGTACATGTACAGCTTGTTGTCGATTGGATTGTAGCTCAAACTTTGGACTGCTTCCACCATTTTGTCCATCACTATCGGCTTTTCCATCACCGTCTCGCGACCCGTGCTCGTATCGAACACGTAAAAGACCTCTTCCTTGCTCGTGCTGACCGTACGAGTGGCGTAGAGCTTCCCGCATGCCATGAACGCGTTGCTCGCGCCTGGCTTGTACAAATTCGTCTTGACGACGTCTCCCACCGAGAGGTCGGTTTCGTTGACCCTGCCCAACACCGCGTTCCCACCGCTTGCCTCGGTGGAAAAGATTAACCAGAGCCCATTCTCGTCGACGGCAAAATCAAAGTCTTGCCAGGTGTTGGAGGAGTAGGAGAAGCGGTTGTTGAACACGGCCTCGGCAAGGGGCTTACGGGACACGGCATTGGTGTCCAAGTTCACCTTGCACACGTCCCGCGTGTTGTAGCAATTGAAGTAGAGGTGGTTGCGGTACACAACCATCCCCGCGCCCTGCGGCGTGTTGGTGTAGATCTTGTTTCCCCGGGAGTCCGTTGTGAAAAGGTTTTTGTCGACCGCGGCGCGAAATGTCAGGAGGTCGTTGTAGTTTTTGTGGCTTCGCAGGACCTCCATGAGACGACCGTCCGTGTTGAGCGGTGCCACCCAGTAGGACTCCTCTTTGCCGGCAGGAGGGTCACCGTCTTTGCCCCAGGCGCCGTATTTGTAGGGGAAACCGCGCCAGTTGAGCTGGTGCAGCAGCGGCTGGCCGACGCCGACGAGATCGCCACGCTCGCAGCTCCCTGGGAGGCGGGCAGAAGAGGAACGTCATGAACCACAGTACATTTCTTTAGCTTCGCTGGAACATTATTCTGTCATGGTAAACAGGGGTTTTTTTCTACTGGAACTTGCTGATGAACTGATTAGACTTCCTGTGCACCTAATCACCGTCGGCAATGCGGGTTCGAGAGTGGCAAATGATTCACCTTAAACCCCGCCGTTACTGGCAAGTTTCGCAATGTCGGACAGAAAGAATGCCAGGAATACATTGACGGAAACAAAGATCAAAGCCCTGAATGTAACCTTTACCGACTGGCAAAGGTTTTGTAAAGCGAGGCCGGAGACATTTGGCGAAGCACGACACTAAAAGGACGACGCGGGATGAAAGATGCTCATGGCGAAAATCGGGGACCGATGTTGACGGGGAAAAAAAGTGGATGAAGAAATGATAAGCCATCGGGTTTCTGTGTGAACGCCCCCCGTCCAGTCGTACCGTATGAAGGCTCGGGACCCGTGGAGTTGTGATACTGGGACTGGCACGCCTGCAGACGCCTTTTCAACTCTGCGACCTGCCGTCGGATCTCCAAGACGTTGTTCTGGTCGAGGCTTTCAAGCGCGTTCACCATCACGGTCACATTGGCCACCTGGTACAAAGGAAATCCCACCTCGTTATCGCTATCAGCACACAGAAGCCTCTCGCCGAGTCCCAAGAGGCATTTTCAGGAGGGGCCATATTGATGGTTCTAAAAACCACCCTGGCGAATGTGGAATTTCCACTGCTGGCTTAGGGCCGCCAAATGAGGTGATCCATTGTTTCGTTTTCTCGATTTGAGCAGGGGAGACACTTTCGCTTTAAAAAAAATGCCACGTTGGTTGGGGCACGACCCCCGGCTTACTCGCGACTCCCCCCCCCCCCCCACTTCTTCCACCATACAAGCCGGGGACTCCCCACCCGAATGTTAAACACAATCCCCACCCCCTCTCTTTTTTTCTCGTTGACAGGGACTCCTCTGCTTAGGAACGAGTTAGGTTCCAGAGGTCTATTCGTCGTAAGTCCAACTTTATTGCCGTCGATTCCAAACATGTACGGCGTGCACACTAAACAGGGGGACTGACTTTAAAAGTTGTTTAATCTCATGTAGATGTCGATGCCACTGGTTCTTCACGTTCTGCAGATGTAGACGCCACCACCGCCACCTATTGCGCGGCGGTTGAACTTACAACTCGATCCGAACAGGCTGCAACTGGACATACGACCCAAGTTCGTATCTCTGAAAGTTCATAAGTCGAATGCTCGTAAGTAGAGGAGTCCCTGTACTTTTTCACCCCCCTCCCGCCCTCTTCCTATGTTACAACAACAAAAAACGAAAGTTCTACCGGTGTGATTTTCCCACGTAAATGAGAATACTTTCTACCCCCTCACATCAACCAGGACTCGTCGGGTACGTGGGGGTCTGGCGGATTTTCGCGTGCGTTTTTGTTTTTGTCACCCAGCGTTCTGGAGTGGGCCTTTGTTCTTCTGTACAGCAAATATCTACGAAAAAAATATACTTTAAATGCCACGTTGGGAGGTAGGTAATCTGATGGCACAGAGGTCCGAGCACTGAGCGAGCAACCGCTGAGAACCTGGGTTTGGATCCAGGCAGCTTGTATTTAAACGGTGTTCTCCGGTCTGGTGAGTTGATGGGCTTAGCCCAGTGACCAGGCTGAGATATGGATAGTGCTTAGATGTATGGCCGCCCTGCACAAAAGGTTGTTACTGGCTGCAGAGATACTTGGTGGTCAGCATTGGGCAGTACAGCACCTCGGAATAGCACGGTTGGCTACGTACGGTGCGAAATAAGTCCAACGTACATACAGCAATATCTACCGCTGCACTCGACAACTTCATCAATGAGTATTGAGCAGTGTGGTGAAGTTTTATCATATAGCCCCGCCGAGCCATCTGGCAAGGGGGGAGGCCTTCACCCAGCAGCGCATAACCGACTGGATACGAAGGAAATAGAAAAGAGCGTCGACTGAATGGCAGAGGTTTGGGAGAGGAAGACCAGAAGCATTCATCCAAGTGCGGTATGGTAAGGACGACGGGAGCAGGCGGAGGGTGGGAGGGGGCGGCGAGAGTCAAGGACTGGTGGATAAGACTTGGAGAGACTCTGACTGAAGATAACCTGCGATAAGAGGTGTCGATGTCAGTTGGCTCGGCGAAGCCTCTCCGCCTTTAATGAAACGCTGTAACGAGGGGCCCCGCTTGGAATTTCTACAGCAGCGCACACGGCGAGAGAAGTTGGCGACATCGCGGCAACTTATTTTCCTTACCTCTATAAGAAGAACCTCTAGTATGGGGTTGGAAACGACGATTTCCGACTTCAGCTCAAGGATGAGTATCTCCATCTCCTTGATCTCCGCTCGCAGGATTTCAAAGTCGAGCTCCGTGATGGAGATGTCGCCCAGCAGCAGGCGGTCGAGCTTCTGAGTCAAGTTGACGATTTTCGCTCCGTACGCTGACACGGCCACCTCCAGATAGTGCAGCTGTTTCACAGAGCAGAGGTCACCATCGATTTCATCAACATTGTGCTCTGATGGGCCGTTGTTCTATCAATCTGTATCACTACTACCACCACCACCGACTTCCACCATTTGCAACACAACCAGGATTGTCGGCACCCACTATTTTAGTAATTGCTTCCTTTTCTCGGCCCCTCAAATTCTCAATAGAGCGAGTGGCTTGAAATATGAAGGTTAATTAATTTATTTCGTTTTGGGGCTAGGCCACTTGATGATCTGGCCAATATGTTGTCTAACCTTCCAACACCCGATATAGCCAAATAACTTTGGCATGCGTACAAGCGATAATTGGTTCCGCTCACACTGGAAAATTGAAGAGCTATTCTCACAACTGTATTTAGCACCAATTAGATATGATATTGAGCTTGAAACTGCATCAGCATCCTCGGTGTCAGAATCAAGGAGGTGAGTAACCGTGTAACCTTACACCCAGATTTTTTTTTTAGACGAGATAACGGGGACAAGCAATCAGATTAAAGCTTAGATATGAACCAATACAAAACAATTCGCTCAAATTTAATTATGATGTATCTGGGCCAATAATTGACGTAACATGCATTATTAATTATAAATGCCCATGGCAATTCTAGTCTCGATCAAAATATGTTAATTGAAGATACAATTCTTATTAATTTTAATGGTTAATTATTATCACCGTAAGCCGTACTTAAGAAGTCGGTGATTATATCTCAATAACAATGATAACATTTCATCATCCTTCCAGAAGGTAATTAAAGTTCCACTTTGTGGCAAGTCAACAGATGCTTATGTGAGCATGAAATCGCTGATGTTAATTTTTTGTAAATGTACCTGTACATACACACACGCACCTTCTGGACCTGTTGTTCCACGCGCACAGTCAACCTTTCCGATGTCAGCTGCAGCGACTCGACTCTGTCGGCTGGGAATGTGGTGTCAGGCAAAATGACCGTGCATTGGCACGTCCCGTTCTCGCCTTCGAGTGCACTCACGGGCGGTGGCAATGCTGCTATTCCCTGCAAAGACAAGAGATACACTGTACGCTGTCTGGGGCCAAGCGCTGTTAGCGAGCACCTAATGAAAGGCTGGCACGGCGCACGACGGGGTTCATGGCCAACACCACGCCCCCCCCCCCGCCCGCCTTTGTCTCCCCAGTGCTGATGTTTGCTAGCTGCCCCATGTTACTCATTTAAGCCTGGGTCGACCTTGGGGAGGCCCAGGGCCAGTTCAGATATTTGTCATCAATGTTTGGGTGTCAATGGGATGAACATTTGTTTGACAATAGGGGGACGATGCTGCGTAATTCGTGGGTGATTTATTTGTTGGATAGTATTTCATCGTTGTTTATTCGAACCAAAATTTACCGTATATTTACGTGTTATTTGTGGGAGCGGGAAAAGCATGGAGAACCCGGTGGAAATTCAACACGGATCAGGGTCAGATCATAAAAAATTCGCACCCGAGCCGAGAATCGAACCTAGGCCCTCCTTGCTATGGGGCGCAACTATTGCCACCGCACGCCCGTGTGTACCAATGACGTAGGCACACAGCCTGCTGCGGTGGTCAGCACCACGGACAACAAAATTCGCTCTCCAATCCCAGTGTTCGCAACAAACACTCATTTAAAGGCCGAGTCGACCTTAAGCGAGACCCAGCACCGGTTCACATGTTTGTCAACGCCACTGTTGAAGGGAGCTCCTCCTCCAGTCGAGGGAGCTCTGCACAGACCCTCTTGAAGGTAGTTTGGCGGCCTACTCGACGGCGAGGCGACCTGGAAGAGGGAGTACCCACGCTTTACCCCACCACACGAGACGCCGATTAACTGTGGTGTACCAATTTCTACCGCTGGGCGGACAGGGGTGGCGGGATTTAAGAAACTTGCACGGTTGTTTTAATCACCGCGCTGGGAGATCGAACCGGCAATTGAAATATTGCGGGTGCAGTGTTAGCCAGTAACACACTTCCTGCATAATCCTTATTGCACACATATATCGTACGTTTGTAATTTGCGTCGAGTTTGACTTCCAACCGCGGGTAACATCAGTGAAGAGTGATACCTGAACTGGTCCTTGCCACCACCCTTCACCAATCCACGTTGACGAGCGTGGTGAAGTATGGTTGAACCCCCATGATTGACATGGGAAGGCAGTCATCCAAGAGCGAATTGTTGGAGGCAGTCGTCCAAACAGCGAGGCAGTCGTCCAACAGCGAATTGATAAAAATGCAATTTTAATTTTATATACATACACTAGTTCATATAGCCTGTCATCGCCAGGCAAAAGTTTTCAAAATAATATAATAATGAACTTGATATGCATTAATTAATTTGTATCCACGATCTGACACTAACAACTACTACAAACATTTGTAGTTTTACAAAAAAACTCACAAAAATGTACTTGATTAAACTTCTTGGTTCTTTCGGTAAAGTTACATAGAAGGGAAACAATAAAATAATAAAAATATAAAACAATATATTTTTTATTATATTATAAAATAATGAAAATATAAAACAATATATTTCTATTATTTTATTGTTTCCTTTCTATTTGACTTTACCGAAAGAACCAAGAATATGAATCCCTGCAGTCACGAAAGCTTTAAATCAAAATTTGATTCAACTTGTTATATTTAAAGACGCACCCATCGGAAAGCGCTCAATTTAAAGATTCCCTTTTATTAGAAAGAACACGAATGTATTAACTTAGTACTCTATGACGGGACGCTCCTATCTTTTACCGTTTTCGAATTATTCAGATTTGAACATAAAATGCATATTTATTTCGTTCAAAACCGCTTGAATCGGAAATTTCTCAAAACAAAGATAGAAGAATTCTAGATTTAAAGCTTTCGTGACTGCAAGGATCCATACTCTTTGGTTCTATTCGGTAAAGTCACGAAGGTAAAAAAATAAAACAACAAAAATCACGACGTTTCGGCCACAACACAAGCGGCCTTCATCAGGTGAAGGGATCAGGCTGTCTCGAGAACACCCCTGGAGGGAAACACAGCCATGCTCAGACCGCGGACCTTTAAGCTGTGTGCGAGGAAACAAGGTGCCTTGACAAAGGAATTAGCATAAATTAGAAGAATGGTTCTCGCTTTAACTTTATTCGCCGTTTAACGCTCTATCAAACGAAAAATCCGCAATCTAATATTGTTAACGGTTTCTGAATGACACGATGCACAAACATGTTTACGGGACACTTAAAATAGAGATTTGGGGGCCTTAAAATATAAAAAATATCGTATTTTCAGATGTTTCCTATTGTGTGTGTCCTAAAAGCTACGTATGTACCAAATTGCAGCTTTCTACCTTGGGGGGAAGTACCCTTGAGGCTTTTGAGACGTACAAATTAAGGTATTTAATTATATAATCATGTACGTATACAAGGACAATACAGCGCAGGCACAATACATTACCTTTGAAGCCATCACCCATAAAATGCATAATGGCAGGACAATCTTCTCCATCTTCAAAAAAAACTACGTAGCGATATGCAATAATGGACAAAATGCGTTTAGACAAATTAAACTCCCGAGTAAGCTACCATGAAATGCACAGACGAGTAAATCGGAAACGACTCCTTACCTGATGGAATCACGGAACACGGTGTGGTATATATAGGCGACATTCTGGGTGATGATTGCCAACACGTGTTGTGAATGTATCACTAAAATCTAATCCGTTCCAGATAAACGTCATTCAATGCAAAGATTGCGAAAGATCAACGTGGACACTGGCAATACGTGTTGATTGCGGTTCTCACAACCCTCATTCCTGAGCAAATTGAGATAGGCTGTCAGAGCCATTGACGTTGGAGGTATTTTATTTGCGTAACGCTTATCCGATTATGATGAATGTAAGAGACAATTCAAACATTAGAACGTGCGTCACCGTGTAAAGGAACACCAAAGCACTCATACTCTTTGTTTTTTTTCGGTAAAGTCACGTAGGTAAAATAAAAATCAAATAATATATTAATAAAACAACTAAATTAAATCACGACGTTTCGGAGGCAACACAAACTTCCGTCTTCAGGTGGAACAGTCACAGCAAGATAGCTGCATCAAGTGAGGAGCTCTGAGACACTCGATATATACAGGTTAAGGGGGGGGGGAGGAGCCAGGCCGGGGATGATTATTATATTATTCTATTTTTATTTTACCTACGTGACTTTATTGAAAAAAAAACAAAGAGTATGCATCTTTGCAGTCACGAAAGCTTCAAATCTAGAACCAAAGCACTCAGTTTCCTCAATGTGGTCTCTCCACCCCCCCCCCCCCCCCCCACATTTCACATTGAGCCACCCACCCCCCCCCCCCCCAATTCCAGTTGTGTCCCCCGACAGATAACTTAACTTGTTTAGCGAACCTGCTGAACTGGGCTTTTCATTTGAAGTTGATTTGACCCCGTTGGTTTGACCCTGTTGGTTTGACCCCGTTGGTTTGACCCCGTTGGTGTGACCCCGTTTGTTTGACCCCGTTGGTGTGACCCCGTTGGTGTGACCCCGTTGGTGTGACCCCGTTTGTTTGACCCCGTTGCTTTGACGCCGTTGGTTTGACCCCGTTTGTTTGACCCCGTTGGTGTGACCCTGTTGGTTTGACGCTGTTGGTTTGACCCCGTTGGTTTGACGCTGTTGGTTTGACCCCGTTGGTTTGACCCCGTTGGTGTGACCCCGTTTGTTTGACCCCGTTGGTGTGACCCCGTTGATTTGACCCCGTTGGTTTGACCCCGTTGGTTTGACCCCTCGCCTTGCGGTGGTCCTCACCAAGTTATTCTCTCATTTCCTGCAGTCGATTTCCATCGGGCGTTACGGTGACTTGAGGGTCGTTACAATCTTTGTTTCTCCGATCGTCGGTGAATAATCTTGATTTGAAGCTTTCGCGACTGCAGGAATCCATTCTCTTTGGTTCTTTCGGTAAACTCACGTAGGTAGGAAAATTAAATAATATTTTTAAAAAATAATATATCACGACGTTTCGATCGCAACACAAGCGGTCGTCCTCAGGTGGAAAAAAATAATAATCCAGCAGTGCAACTGCTGAACCAGCTTGTGTTGCGATCGAAACGTCGTGCTATGTAATTTTTTATTTTATTTTATTTTTCTACCTACGCGACTTTACCGAAAGGACCAAAGAGGTCAGTGAATAGCCTGGGCTAGGTAACGTCTCCTTGTCCTGCTACTTTGCGAATATGTATTTTGGAACATTAAGCAATCTCAGTTGAGCAGTTATGTGTTTGTTGGCGGATTTGGTCACGCCAGTGGCTGTTTCCGCAATTTGATTTACAGCCATCGCCCTCGCTTCCATATCTCTCCCCAGCCATAATGAATAATTGACTTCTTCAAAACCGAAGTCAAATGAACAAACATTCTCGCGAGGATATTCCCACGCAGATGGTGTCGTTACACAACGTCCCTTTATCACTGCGGCTCGCAAAATACATTTACTTTTCATTAAACGTCTGCCTTCACTCACACCACATTTGCCAGTAACTGAGGTGGCAACTTTTGCAAAAGAAATGCAGTTGAACAATACTTTGAATCCAATATTTGGTCACTTATTAAAATAACACTTGAGAGTTCAAAACCAATAGAATTTTACTTTTCATGGAATTTTCTGTTTGCTTAATCTTATTTTGCGTGGCGTGTCATCCTTTTACTTGACCAGGTAAGGGCCCCATTGAGCTCCACAGCCCTTTTTGAGAAGCGACCTGGCTATCACAAATGGTAGCCTCAACGCGAAGTGGCTTACCATCATCACGTGCAAATGTATGGCAGAAGCCAAAATATTCTAAACGTGGCCACACGGTGACCTTGTCTGCGGAGGAGAAAGGAACCGAGCTCGTCAAGTCCCTCCCCAAGGAAGCAGCTTTGAAGGGATCTTCATTCCGCTTTGTGTGTGTATTTGGGTGATTTGTTTACCATTCTTGTACCTTTCACTCCGATCGTGTTTTTTGTGCCGATCGTTTGTTGTTGTAACGTCCTTACCCGCCCCGACTGGACGTCTGTAAAAAAAAAAAAGAGCTTTATAGCTCATCGGATTCCTCAAGTATTAATAAATATTCTGATTTCATCAACAGGTCATTGGCAAAGGTCTGTTCACCTGGCACGGCACGTGAAGATGATACTGCGCCTAATGTTGCAAGGATTTAAGCTCTACTGCGGTATCACCGTGTTGTGGCAACCCATTGCAAAATGTTTGCATACGAGTAATGTATATTATTGGCATGCGTGCTGTGTGTATTTCTGTAAGCGTTATATATCTGTATGTACATTATTTATGTGCTGCACAAGCAGTGGCGGCTGGTGACATTTCCACGACGTGGGACCGTTGTGAGTGACCTTTGAAAAGACGGTGTTCTAATTCAGAAAAACCTCGTCATCTTATTGGCCTTCCCGTGAAAGTGATATAACTGTCTTATCTACCAATGTTAGGCATTTATAAAACAATACGAAACAAAACAACAAATCACTCAAATGCTGTCCCCATGACCCTCAAGTCGGTTGATCAGCACCCAGTTGCTTGACATTCAACTTCTCCTGCATAGTCATCCTTTCGAAGTGAATATTCAGGAGTGACTCCCACAGTGTTCGCTGCTAATTCTTCATTTGCTGCACCTACTGGCATCGCTATTGCTGTTTCCTCCTCGAGCGTGGAGGTCGTGACCTGCTATAATTGCGCAGTGCCGCCTAGCGTTGTGACATCGTCATTACAGCCACGGGCACCTTTGCCACCGACCTGAATGGGTCTCAAACGTCGCGGCTACAACGCTCGAAGCTGATGGCGATGACTGAAGAAGGGGAAATCTCTCACTCGGAGGACGCCTTCACAGGGGGGTGGGGGGGGGGGGGGGGGGGGCAACGCCCCTAGTGGATGAACCGCGCCTGTGCACAAAAGCAAGCACAGCAGCGTGCGTGCGTACTCAATAATTCATTTATCCCTTCATTGACCTTTAAACCATTCAATCGTCGTTTAAAACACACAACGCAAATAATGTTTTGACTTTCAGGCGTGTATTTATTGATGCGTTCAATGTTATCAATTGCTACGCTGCGGTGCTTTATGGCCATGAAGATTCTGTAGTAGCCGCTGAAGAATGCTCGAATCGCGCGTCCTCACGCGCCCGTTTCCCCGCTGGGTTACGGCTGGTGGGAAACGTCGGCCACCTTCCCGTCGTGACAGCTGTTGGGCGGCGTGCGATCGATGCGGGCCCGCATCGATCCCATCCTCGTCACGTGCGGTTCGTGTTTGTTGTCCATGCGTACGCGCGTACGTTGAACTTCTTTCACACCGTACGTAGCCCATGGCGTGCCGCACCCCCCCCCCCCCGCGCCCCACCACCCGGCTCGGAGGAAAGCTGCCATGCTCATGAGTGGCGCTCCGCATCTCGGTGTCTAGGCAGATCTCTTGGATAATCATAATAATGCAAGTAAGAGTAACAAAAACACTATCGAAAGGAGCAAGAAAGAACTTGTTGTCAAAAAAACATTCAGCACACATATTCTTAGTTCTTTCGGTAAAGTCACGTTGAAGAGAAACAACAAAAGAATAAAATATATATTGGTTGGTTAACCAACACACCTGAAGACGACCGTTTGTGTTATGGTCGAAACGTCGTGAGAATTTTTATTGTTTTATATATTTTATTATTTTGTTGTTTCCCTTCAACGTTACTTTACCAAAAGAACTAAGAATATGAATTACTGCAGTTACGAAAGCTTTAAATCAAAATTCAGCACACACTTATATCTGAACATTCTTATCCCGGCTCATGGCTATTACTGCTTGAAAACTAAATCGTAGGTGACGAGATAGCCATCATTGTACATGTACAGCTTGTTGTCGATTGGATTGTAGCTCAAACTTTGGACTGCTTCCACCATTTTGTCCATCACTATCGGCTTTTCCATCACCGTCTCGCGACCCGTGCTCGTGTCGAACACGTAAAAGACCTCTTCCTTGCTCGTGCTGACCGTACGAGTGGCGTAGAGCTTCCCGCATGCCATGAACGCGTTGCTCGCGCCTGGCTTGTACAAATTCGTCTTGACGACGTCTCCCACCGAGAGGTCGGTTTCGTTGACCCTGCCCAACACCGCGTTCCCACCGCTTGCCTCGGTGGAGAAGATTAACCAGAGCCCATTCTCGTCGACGGCAAAATCAAAGTCTTGCCAGGTGCTGGAGGAGTAGGAGAAGCGGTTGTTGAACACGGCCTCGGCAAGGGGCTTACGGGACACGGCATTGGTGTCCAAGTTCACCTTGCACACGTCCCGCGTGTTGTAGCAATTGAAGTAGAGGTGGTTGCGGTACACAACCATCCCCGCGCCCTGCGGCGTGTTGGTGTAGATCTTGTTTCCCCGGGAGTCCGTTGTGAAAAGGTTTTTGTCGACCGCGGCGCGAAATGTCAGGAGGTCGTTGTAGTTTTTGTGGCTTCGCAGGACCTCCATGAGACGACCGTCCGTGTTGAGCGGTGCCACCCAGTAGGACTCCTCTTTGCCGGCAGGAGGGTCACCGTCTTTGCCCCAGGCGCCGTATTTGTAGGGGAAACCGCGCCAGTTGAGCTGGTGCAGCAGCGGCTGGCCGACGCCGACGAGATCGCCACGCTCGCAGCTCCCTGGGAGGCGGGGGGCAGAAGTAGACGTGAGACAGAACAACGTGCAATCGGTTTCTCCGGTGAAGTGGCCAATTGTTGGCATGGCGGGATTGGAACTTACGAACGAGTTAGAGTGATCCCTCGGTCTTAACGAGGTGGGGGCGTTCCTAAACATTGCCCGCGTTCAGCAAAAAAAAAAAAAGCGTCGGGCAAGGAATCACCGAGTTGCTGAATCGCATTCACACTTTCAAATCGGCCAGCAGTCATCCCATGGTGGGACAAAGAACTGAGATGAGGGTACGCCGCGTTACTGTATCATTCCGCGTGCCGTATCACTGTGCCGCTCGGCCGCGCAGCTCCAGAAAGTAGTTCGCCATCGACTGCTCAGAAGCCGCGTTATAACGGAGCGCATTTGGCGTTATAGCGGCGCACATTCCACGTTATGATGGCGCACATTCCGCATTGCCCGGAAAGTGTTTTGCGATGAGAGAAGAACCGCGAGTCGCAGCCGAAAACGCGTTGCGTGAAACCGCGTTAAAGCGAATACTTCCCATGAATGTAAAGCGGCGATACAACCCAATGCCACTGTGTGGTGCAAGAGATGTGGGGAAGAAACAAATAAGATGATCAGCGCCTTCGCGGCAGGTTACGGATATTCTCGAGAAGGTAAGGGAGGCTAGACTTAGATAGATGGGCATGTGTCCAGAAGAGACGACGCCTTCAGGAAGGATAATGGAGATGCCACTGGTGCAGGACGGAAGGAGCAGAGGGAGATCGAGGGTGCCGTGGGAGGATGCGGAGAAATGAGATGCGAGGGCAGCGTTTGTGACGAGAGATGAGACGCAGAAATATAAAACTGTTAAAAACTACTTTCATTTTACCAGGTAAGGCCCCACTGAGCTATGTAGCTTTTTTGCAGAAGCGACCTGGCCAGAAATGATAGCTCAACGAAGTGGCTTATTATATGGAAATGTATATCAGTCAAATATTCTAAACGCACGTTGATTCTAAACGTGGAGGGAAAAACCGGAGGACCCGGCAAAAAATCCACGTGACCATTGGGAGAGAGACACCGCAAACTCCAAATATACAGCAGGTATCAGGGTCTGGTTTGAACTCACGATTTACAGTATAGCTGGCGAGGTAGTTAACATCTCGCCACCGTGGCACTGTGGCATTTTCTTTCTCCTGCGTGGAGAAAGACAATCTGAGCCGACCCCATGCAGAAGTCATGGGGCTGTTGGCTTAGAATAAGAATAAGCAGGTGGAAAGAATCAAAGGCAAGGATTTGTTTGCATCTCATGTTTAATGCTGCCAGGATTAACACCACCTCCCGACTGGAGGCGTGGTGAAGGTCTTCCTTCCTGTCTGGATGTCTGGCTGAGGTCGTTGGGGAATGATCTCGCCAGTGATCTCTGGAGGGGCATTATTTATGCTGAAACAATAGTCCAGTGGTTTTTAGCCTTTTCTGCAGCCTTGCAACCCCTTTGGTTCTCGATCGTAAAAAATATGTTTAATGTTAATAAATATCTAGGTTTGATGAACCAAAGTAGTTGTACTTACGTGCCCACTTGAGCCATGGGCGGGGGCTACCTGAGTATTGGGCGGGGCTACCTGAGCCGTGGGCGGGGCTACCTGAGCCGTGGGCGGGGCTACTGAAGTCGTGGGTGGTGCTACCCGATTCGTGGGTGGGGCTACGTGGGCAGGAGGCGGGTACTCGTACCCTCACTACCTGGGGCGAGGCGATGAGGTGTGGGTGGGAGGGGCCAAGGGAATGGTACCAGGTAAGGCCCATTGAGCTATATGGCTCTTTTTCATAAGCGACCTGGCTATCGCAAATGAGAGCTCAACGAAGTGGCTTATCAGGTGGAAATGTATAGTAGCCGAATACTGTAAACGGATGCTGATTCTAAATGTGGAGGGAAAATTCCGGAGGGCCCAGAGAAAAATCCACACGTCCCCGGTGAACAGATGCGAACTCCAAATATACAGGCATCAGGGTCGGGATCGAACGCAGGACCTCCTGTATACCAGGCGAGGGAGTTAACGTCTCATCCCTGACAATCCACAGAGTGAAGTCACCCCCCCCCCCCCCCCCCATCATCATCATCATCGTCGTGCTGCTGTCAAACCCAGCAATGGTTTCAAACGCGTAGCGGTCCCCGCACTGACGATGTCTTAGGATTCGTCCATTAATGACGTCACGTGATTTTGGACGATTTTTGACCCCCCCCCCCCTTCGTCACACGACGTCACAAAAAGTCAGACCCCCCCCCCCTCAAATATGACGTCACAAAGCTCTGCCCCCCCCCCCCACCAAAATAAAACATGCTTCAAATCGCTTTAAAAACTATTGCCATTGTAGTGCGTATTTAATGTGGCGCTGCACTCTAATGTTGTAGGAGAAAACATTTATTCAAAAAAAGTATATTTAATGAAGTAGAACGTGTTGTCTATATTTATTTAAAGTTGCGCATTTTGACGTGACGTCACATTTCTCAAACCCCCCCCCCCCTCGTCACACATCGTCACAAATGTCTGACCACCCCCCCCCCCCCCCCAGGTGCGTGACGTCATTTATGGACGCCCCCTTATCGGCGGAAGCGACCCCCTCTAAAAAACGAGCGAGCACCACCACTTTACACATTGTCCCCTTGAAGGGCAAATGTTCGAGTAACTCGGTGCGTCACCCATCTCCCGGTGTCTTACAATGTGGGAGCGGACGAGGCGTGGAGCTGTGATTCTGAGACTGGCACTCTTGCAGACGTCTCCGCAGCCCCGCGACCTGCCGTCGGACCTCCAGGACGCTGTTCTTGTCGAAGCGTTCAAGCGCGTTCACCGTCGCGCTCGCGTTGCCCACCTGACGTCAAGGGAATTGTTCTCGTCATCGCCAAACTCTACGTGCCTCGCACATACCTGCCAACCCCTTATCAGTGATTACAGACCAACTCAGACCTTGTTGGTCACCCCGTGCCACCTTATAAATCTCAACGTTCATCCTACAAAGTCACATCACAAGGGAGAAACACAAACAAAATAGACATTATTATTATCATTATTTTTTGCCCGTATGGACCTGAACACTCAATTTCCCTGTACAAGAATACGGGGTGAGCCGTATGTGTTGACAAGTATGCTTGCATCGCGTTCCATCTTAGAAATTGCAATGACGGCTGTAAGTTTAGCCTCGGGAAGCGGTTCTTCTTAACCTGAGGCTCAGGCACTCCCTGGGGGTGCGAGATGCCCTTTCTGGGGGTGCGAGAGATGGCCAGATTTTTTTTTTAGAAGGTAAATAATCGAAAACACAAATTAAGCACGGCCACGTAAGCACAACTACTTTGTTTCGTGAAACCTCGGCATTTATTAGCATACATTTTCTTACGATTGAGAACAAAAGGGCGTTGCTCGTTCGCAGTAAAGGTTAAGAACCACCGGTCTGAAGTGAATATTTTAAAGTCACACATGGCGGGAGGTGAGGTCAGCACCATCCCAACACACGCGACGCCACCGCGGAGTTACGTTCACGACGTGGATGGCAGCCACGTCCCCAGTAAGCGGCATGTCAGCAAAAGTTGCAATAACAAATCCCCCCCCCCCAAAAAAAAAACAACAACGATAGGAGTGCAAATGGAGAAAGGGTAAGCAGGTCACTATAAATAAATATCAATAAAGTATAGGAGTACAAATAGCATAACTACATTGCTACACAACGACTGCCAAATGTGTCTGCCAGCAGGGCTGGCCAGGATACTTGTTGGTGGACGGTGCCAGGCCACCGCAGATGCCCTGGGGCTCTATGGCCATGCCCTGGCTGCCCAAGCAAGCCCCGGGGCTCATCGCTCTTCCTCGGCCGTACTGCGGCATTTCCCCCCCCCTCTCGCATATCTCCCTGCCTTGGCCTCTAAGGCAGGGAGATTTACCTCTATCACTGCCCCAACTCCAATCACTGCCTCTACCCCAACCCCATCACTACCACTACTCCAACCCCTATCACTACCCCCACTCCAACCCCTATCACTACCCCTATTACTACCCCTATTGCTACCCATATCACTATCCCTATCACTAACCCTACGTCTACCCCTATCACTACTCCAACCCTAACCTTTCCTTTAACCTCTCCCACCTGCCCTCCTGTCACCGTACCTACACCACCACCAATTTTAATAACAACCCCACTCGAAATTACAACCATTACCATCTCATGCACAATGTATTGTTATAAAATGCTTTCTATGAAGGCGCTGCTATATACATCTGTATAAAGGTTAAGATTTGGTATTTTTTTGTGTAAGGCACCTTGAGACACGATTGCATTTCGACGGTACACAACATTCAAGTTGTTGTCGTTTGCCGCTGCTGCTGCTGAGGCTGCTGCGCTGGGTCTCGTTACCTCTGCCAGGAGGGTCTCCAGGACGGGATTGCTGACGGCCATCGTCGACTTGAGCTCCAGGATGAGCAACTCCATCTCCTTCACCTCGGCCCGCAGCAGCTCAAAGTCGAGCTCCGTGATGGAGACGTCGCCGAGGAAGGAGCTCTCGAGCCTCCGGGTCAAGTTGGCGAGTCTCACCGCGTACAGCGACACGGTCGCCTCCATGTGCTGCAGCTGTTTACATGGAACGTCATTGTCGTTGTCATCATCATCATCGTACGAGTGACATGCAAGTAGGGTGATCGCAAATACATTGGCACTACCCACTGCTGCCCACCATGCAGCCCTGCAGCAGCCGATAGCAAACCTGTTGTGTGTGAGCCTTTACAAGCACTATCCAGGCACAACTGCTGCTTAACTTCAAAGAAATGTATGTACGGGGTCATCTACTTACGAGCATTCGACTTACAAACTTTCAGAGATACGAACAAACCTGTCCATACGTCCATTTGTCTGTTCTGACCGAGAGTCGTAAGTTCAACTGCCGCGCAATCGATGGCGGTGGTGGAATCTACATCTGCAGAACATGAAAAACCAGTGGCATCTACATCTACAGGAGATTATACAACTTATTAAGCCATTCCTCGTGTTTAGTGTACACGCCGTACAACGTGTTCGGAAACGACGGGAAGTAAAGTTAGACTTACGAACAAATCGACTTACGAACAAACCCCTGGAACCTAACATGTTCGTAAGTAGAAGAGTCCCTGTACGGCAGACTTCTTTCGCACCGTACGTAGCCAACACGTGCTCATCATCGGGAGGCGGGGCACAATGAGTGGGATTCTTTTACCACAGTGTGTCTCTGTGTTGTTTCTCTCTGCTTGTGTGTCTGTATGTGTGTCTCCGTGTCTGTGTTTTTTCTCTCTCTCAAATGTAGTTCTACCTGATGACGATTGCTTGTGTTGCAATCAAAACGTCGTATTATGTTATTTAATTTACTTATTTCTACGTGGCTTTACCGAAAGAACCAATGAGTAGTTTAGTAGTATTTGTTAGTTTTTTTTAAAGAGATTTGTTTACCTTTCCTATACTTTTGCACTCCTGTAGTGTTTTTGTTATTGCTTGTCGCTGTTACGTTCTGACTCCGTGCCCCCACTGGAAATCTGTGAAGAACTTCATAGCTCATCGGATTCCTCCTCCTGTCGTCTCAATCGAGATTCTAATTCTGTTGTGAAGCTCCCTCCACCCGTGGGCGTCGAGGAGGTGACGTACCCCTGCCTCGCCACGAGACGGTGGTAGAGCAAAAACAATATGGAACTACACCTATAATTATAATATTGTGTATAATAATAGTTCGTTTCAATTAATAATTAACTAGTTCTGTCTGTCTGATATGGCATAGTGTCGACTACATTTTTTTGTAGGCTTTACCCTTCCCGGCAAGAATACAGGTGTAATGAGAGAGCGCCATCCAGTGGGTGCCAGAGGGTAACTGGGTACAGGCACTATTATGCAATTGGCATCCAATCCCAAGAGGGAATAATATCTGGGCCAAAGGTGATGGGCGGAGTCGAGAGAGATGCTTCGGGAACCATCGGGAAGGTTCCTCGAGGGGGCGTGGCTAGAGGCGGAGCCCAGCTCCGCCGGGCAGAATAAAAGCAAGGGCAGGGGAGGACTCGTGGTCGGCGTGGGGAGCCTTGGGCCTGGACTGCATCGCTGCCCGTCATCTCCTATCTTCGCCACCGACCACGTGGCAGGGTTCCCCAGCGAGGCTCGCCCTTCTCTCCGGCACGCCGCCAGCCAACGGCGAGACCGGGAGAGCGGAGTGAGCCTCGCCGGTGGACCAGACAGAGAGAGAGACGTCTCGTCCATGGCACTGTAGAAGGGAACTTTGCCCGGAGAGGGAAGGAGCGGAGCTGTGCAGTACAACAGTGAATAAAGAAGCACTCTTACAACAGTCGTCGTGGAAGTCGTACACAGGCGTTAAATTGTTCAATCACCAAATGGACACGGGTAGACAGCCATTACGAGGCATCAAAATGGATATTATCGCTGATATAGCGTTTCCCCCTTGCAGGCGTGGATTTTCCTCCGGGTGCTGTGTAGCTCCCCTGTGTGTTTTTGGGTTGTGCCGTGTCTTGTTCGGCACGATGTCCGATGTTTCCTGCTCTCGGTTTGCTGAAGCTCCCAGCAGCACACAATACCTTGCTGATCTCGTCAAGGAGTGTAAACCATCAATCATCATGTGAACTTTGGTGGTCATCCTCCCAGCAGTGGCTTCTGGCTGGCCATCGAACAAAGGCGGTGGCCACCACATCGCGTGCTTTCAGATGCACTTCTGCGGCCGTCTGGAGCGCTCTTCCTTCCGATAGCAACTGGGAACTACGCACTTTTCAATCATCATCTCGATTAAAATTAATCTCTTTAGAACTGCTTTTTGTGTTTAGTTTGTTGTCCTTCCCCCGCACGTCCGATTAGCACGGTTGGCTGCATACGGTGTGAAAGAAGTTCAACATATACACATATGTAGCGAGTCCAACTGGGAGCAACACTATTTATTACATCAACTCAACACTTAACATAACGTAACCTACACTCGGGTGTTGAACGCCCATCTAACCACACCACGAGCTGAGTCCCGGACTGCGTGGCTAGAGGCTTCTTCGACCCGACGTGGATCTTCTTCACCAACAACCTGAAGAACCTCGAGCCCCTCACGGGGCCCCCGTTATATCGGCCCGGGCTGGGGCTGGCTCCGCCCCTCGCCCCGCCCATCTTCTAGATCTCTCTGGCCCTTTCCCGAAGGCTCCCGAGAGCTCATCTATACCACGTGACCGCCCAGCGGCCCCCGTCCACCGGTGGCCCCCCTCCGATATCATCCGGTCACGTGTCGGCAGGTCAACCAGCGTATCATGCCCAACGTAACCCTGGCTGGCTGACGCTCCCTCTCGCTCCCTCACCGGAAGCCTGTACCGCACACCGTACGTGGTGCCTCTGCCCTAACCAGCGCCCACCCAAGCCCCGCTAGGGCTGGCACTACGCCCAGTAACCGGGCTGCACATAATGCCAACACATTATCCGCCGTGGCCTTGCAAGCGCGGCACCACACAGTGACATTCACAGTCACTGCACATACACCGAGATCTGTTGAGACTTTTTCCATTTCTCCACTCAGCATCTCAGAAACCACTACTGAGTGGATCACTGCACTGGACGTGTCCCACTGTAAGCTTCTCCCGTCATACGAAAAGAGAAGTCAAGCCAAGCCAACTTTTTGCTTAACACTTGGCGCCTTTCCAGCACAAATCTGCCACCCAAAGTGCCATCACACCATTAAATATATAAAATATATCTGAACAATGTAGTAAAGTTGAACACGTACGGTTTTTAGACCAATATTATTCGTAATGAAGGTTTTTGACCTTCGCACCTGATGGGCACACATTGGTTACATCATCTTACTCCATTAATACCGGAAACAGGAAGACTTCTTCACAATTCCGGCAAATCGCCTGATGATGCCAGTTGTAATCATCAACAAAACGTCACAGTACTCAAATCGTAAATGTTGTGGGTTTACTCCCCAACACACGGGAGTGCCGAAGGAGTAACTAATTGTCACGTTTTGTTTACGTGACAAATCTTACTAATTGGCTGTGTTGGGTGGTGGTGGCTTTAACGACACATTTATAGTTACACGATCTGACCCAAAACAAATCTGTAATATGATTGTTCTACAGTAAAAAAAAAATCTGAATTCAAAGCAAGCTGTGTCTGCGAGTTAGTTGTTGTATGCAAGCGCATTGTTGTTACTGCGACTCGAATGGAATGATGGAGTCGAGTGTGCGGATTGGCTCCGGCAAGCTTGTTCCAGGCGGGTTCGCGGCGCTGCAGATGAGAATGATCTGTTTAACCCCACGCGTGATTGTACCCCACTGAAGCACGCACCTTCTGAGCCTGCGCCTCCACGCGTAAAGCCAGAGTTCGTGAAGTATCTTGCAGAGACTCGACTCGATCGGCTGGAAAGACGGAGTCAGCCACGAGGACCGTGCATTGACACATCCCGTTCTGCGCTTGGGATGCATTCACACGTGGGGTCCCTGATGCCTCAACCTGCAAAGACAAAGGTCACCCCGCATAGGCTTTACAGACGTTTGGGGAAAGTGCCGTTGGCAAACACCTATGGAGGCCGGACGGCACACGAGGCGGTGGGTGGCCAGCACCAGGCGCGTCCACCTATGTCTCCCCCAGTGTTGATGTTTAACAAACACCGCATCAGGTACTAATTTAAGGCTGAGTCGATCAAGGGGAGGCCCAGGACCGGTTCAGATATTCGTCACCGATGTTGGCCGTGAGCGGGAATCAAACTCGGTTCGCCGGGTTCACGGCGCAGTGTGCTAACCGCTGCGCCACCGCTCACCAGACTCACAAAGACACGCACACACACACACAACCACGAAGATTCACAGCGTGGCTTCATGTAACATGACAGATGTTGTGAGCAAGCTGCTATGAAAGTTAGCTACAGTGAGGCCAGCGGCATTCCAAAACAACCTTTATCTCCCCAGTGCTGCGACTGGCCAGGCCGTCACTAACTCGTTTGCGGCTGAGTCGACCTAGGGTAGGCCAGGCGAGATGCAGTTATCAATGATGATTTTCGGTACAGTCTGTAACTTAAATGAACGCGATACATTGTTGGTTAGTTGTAATTGAGAAAATTTAATTCAAAGTTAAATTAGTTATAAAGTACAGTGATTTTTTTTTAATCCACTGCTGGATAGAGAGGCTTCCCCAAGCTGCCGGTTACGGGAGTTGTTTAGCCATACTTCACGACGATGGTCAGTGGGATGTTATTGTTGAAGTGGGAGACTCAGGACCGGTTCGGATAATTATCACTCACCACTGATGTGAGCCGTGAGTGGGGATCGAACTCAGGCGGCCGGGTTCATTAAGCACACGGGCACCACAGTGGCGAGATGTTAACTACCTCGCCCGGTATACAGGAGGTCGGGTGTTCGATCCCGACCCTGACACCTGCTGTATATTTGGAGTTTGCGTGTCTCTCTCTCCCCGTGATTTCGTGGATTTTTTCCCTCTGGGTGTTCCGTATTTTCCCTGCACATTTAGAATGAGTATTCTTTTAGAGTATTTGGCTGCTATACATTTCGACACAAGCAACTTCGTTTAGCTATCTTTTGTGACCAGGTAAGAGCTATATAGCTCAGTGGGCCTTACCTGGTAAAATAAAATAAAATGTTTATAGCGTCTATAGTTTACACACAGTAGGTCCAACACTCCAAATTGCATATTTTATAGATAAAATACATATTAGCGGCAATTACATAACTAAAATACAGCACACATTTTTTTTTTAAATCACCATACGTTACCTTCAATAGCACCATCCAAATGAGGCATAAGACCAGGATACATTTTCCCATGGTGAACATCGTTCTGAAGTCTCTGGACAGCACGGCACTAACCACACACACACACACGCCTGCAAGCAGAGTTCGAACTCAAACGGGTATTGAGAATATTTGCCACAAACTGCACCGCGACTTAACAAAACGAGGAGCCTCTCTCTCTCTCTCGGTGGAACGAGACAATTTATTACCGAGTCAGAAATCTGGGTAAAAAAAAAGATGTTTACAAAGGGGAAGGGAAGATTGTGGAGGTGAGGTGGGGAGGGGGGGGTAGCTGAGATACTGAGATAAGATAAGAGATGGAAAACATTTCCTCGGGAAATCCAGAGGAATGTTTTATTGTTCTCGGGCGAGATGTTTGCTGCATGTTTCAAGAGCTAGCTGGATGTTTCAAGGCCGCTCTTTGAGGGATGTGTTTGCCGCCACATGTTTACCGAGGCGAGCTTAAACCAACGAGCGGGCACAGGCAACATTGGTAAAAGTGCTTTTGAAAAGGCGCGAACAAACATTCAAATTTAACACGTAGACTTTCGCGACCAATATTATTCATAATAAAGGTTTTTGGGTTAGATCGCGATCCGACCCAAAAAGCTTTATTATGAAAAACATTCCAATGTGGGACCCTCCTCATGAATTGTAATAGATTCACCTTGCAACTATATACTGGACTGTATTTACAGTGAGGGAAAAAAGTATTTGATCCCCTGCTGATTTTATACGTTAGCCCACAGACAAAGAAATGATCAGTCTATAATTTTAATGGTAGGTTTATTTGAACAGTGAGAGACAGAATAACAACAAAAAAATCCAGAAAAACGCATGTCAAAAATGTTATAAATTGATTTGCATTTTAATGAGGGAAATAAGTATTTGATCACTCTGCAAAACATGACTTAGTACTTGGTGGCAAAACCCTTGTTGGCAATCACAGAGGTCAGACGTTTCTTGTAGTTGGCCACCAGGTTTGCATACATCTCAGGAGGGATTTTGTCCCACTCCTCTTTGCAGATCTTCTCCAAGTCATAAGGTTTCGAGGCTGACGTTTGGCAACTCGAACCTTCAGCTCGCTCCACAGATTTTCTATGGGATAAAGGTCTGGAGACTGGCTAGGCCACTCCAGGACCTTAATGTCCTTCTTCTTGAGCAACTCCTTTGTTGCCTTGGCCGTGTGTTTTGGGTCATTGTCATGCTGGAATACCCATCTATGACCCATTTTCAATGCCCTGGCTAAGGGAAGGAGGTTCTCACCCAAGATTTGACGGTACATGGCCCCGTCCATCGTCCCATTGATGCGGTGAAGTTGTCCTGTCCCCTTAGCAGAAAAACACCCCCAAAGCATAATGTTTCCACCTCCATGTTTGACGGTGGGGATGGTATTCTTGGGGTCATAGGCAGCATTCCTCCTCCTCCAAACATGGCAAGTTGAGTTGATACCAAAGAGCTCCAATTTGGTCTCATCTGACCACAACACTTTCACCCAGTTGGCCTCTGTATCATTCAGATGTTCATTGGCAAACTTCAGACGGGCATGTATATGTGCTTTCTTGAGCATGGCGACCTTGCGGGTGCTGCAGGATTTCAGTCCTTCACGGCATAGTGTGTTACCAATTGTTTTCTTGATGACTATGGTCCCAGCTGCCTTGAGATCATTGACAAGATCCTCCCGTGTAGTTCTGGGCTGATTCCTCACCGTTCTCATGATCATTGCAACTCCACGAGGTGAGATCTTGCATGGAGCCCCAGGCCGAGGGAGATTGACAGTTCTTTTGTGTTTCTTCCATTTGCGAATAATCGCACCAACTTTTGTCACCTTCTCACCAAGCTGCTTGGCAATGGTCTTGTAGCCCATTCCAGCCTTGTGTAGGTCTACAATCTTGTCCCTGACATCCTTGGAGAGCTCTTTGGTCTTGGCCATGGTGGAGAGTTTGGAATCTGATTGATTGCTTCTGTGGACAGGTGTCTTTTATACAGGTAACAAGCTGAGATTAGGAGCACTCCCTTTAAGAATGTGCTCCTAATATCAGCTCATTACCTGTATAAAAGACATCTGGGAGCCAGAAATCTTTCTGATTGAGAGGGGGTCAAATACTTATTTCCCTCATTAAAATGCCAATCAATTTATAACATTTTTGACATGCGTTTCTCTGGATTTTAACTGTCAAATGAAATAAGTCTGTCACCGCGTCCTTACAAATTGCACACGAATTGATGGAATGAATATCACGTCGCGGTCTGCTTTTCGCTTGCAAGTTTCAGACTTACTCAAATACACCCGTCCTTGGACGGATGAACAGGTGACGTCCTCCAAATGAACACCACCCCCGTTAATAATAATTAGCGGGCGACGTCACTCCACATGGGGGGGGGGGCGAGGCGCCTCCTCCCCCCTCCTCGGCGTCAACTGACAACCCTCACTACAGAGGCAGAACCCTCACGTCACGCGATCTCCATAGCGCTGCTGAGACATCAAAGTAAAAAGGACGTCATGATGAACAAGTTGTTATAACTGCTAAATGAAATACGTCTGTGTCACCGCGGCCTTACAAATTGCGCACTAATTGATGCAATGAATATATCACGTTGCGGGCTGCTTTTTGCTTGCAAGTTTCAGATTTACTGTAATACACTCGTCCTTGGTCGGGCAAAAGGCTCGCGGGAAATGTTTGGCCTGCTTTCGCATACCTATTTTTTTTAACTAAATGCACGTGGCAATATACTAATCAGTTGTGGAGTTAACATCAAGAATGATTATATGAAATAAAATGATAAATTATTTTCGTATGGGTCATGGAGGCTGTTTGACCATGCTTCGCCACTTTGGCCAGGGACCGGTACAAATATCACAGATTATGATCCTGGATGTGGCCAGGGTTCTCATCGCCTGACAAAACTTACAGAACCAGAGGTGAAAACCTCTAATCTAGTAACGCCGCTTGTGTCATGAGCTAACATTACCCAGAATACATTTTTAGGGGATTTGCTCAAAAACCTGACTTCAGTTTAGTGTTTAATAATAAAAAAGTGATAATTTATTTACAAATTAGTGTTTTAATCACATAGTCTTCATATATGATATCCATTAATTTATTTAACTTTTTTTTTTAATTACAGCCACGTAAAAGCTGGGCTTAAAACTTTCGTGACTGCAGGAATTCATATTCTATGGCTCTTTACCGAAAGAACCATAGAACACGTAAAATCTTTTGAAGGGCCCCTAGAGTAAAGGTACAGGGTTGGGGTTCGTATAGGGATAGTGGGAGCAACCCAACTCATACTTACCTGACAGGGGAGGCTAATCCATTGCACTGCGGGTGGGTTGACCCCTGTGATTTCCCCAAATGCGGGAAACTCGACTGTGGCATTTGTGGTCCTGGGGGGCTGCGTTCGCGCTATCCCCCGATAATAATTAAAATATATATTTTTAGTCACATTAAAGGTTTATAACATGCAAAAAATTGCGTGCCAGGAGCACTGATGGGAAAGGGCATTCTTTTTTTGTGAATGCAGCTAGTCAGAACAAACCGTTGCCATCGTTAAACTGGTTACTACTTTAATAATGAGCCAAGAATGTTTGTGTGTCCCTCGCGTGACGTCACTCCACGTCGGCCATCCCCCCTCGTTAATAATAATGAACAGGTGGCGTCAGTCCACAACGAACAGCCCCCCTCATTAATTGTCATGAACACGTGACGTCCTCCAAATGGACACCCCACCATTAATAATAATTAGCGGGTGACGTCACTCCACATGGGGGGGGGGCGAGGCGCCTCCTCCCCCCTCCTCGGCGTCAACTGACAACTCTCACTACAAAGGCAGAACCCTCACGTCACGCGATCTCCGTAACGCTGTTGAGACATCAAAGTAAAAAAGGACGTCGTGATGAACAAGTTGTTATAACTGTTAAATGAAATAAGTCTGTGTCACAATGGCCTTACAAATTGCGCACGAATTGATGTAATGAATATATCACGTCGCGGTCTGATTTTCGCGTGCAAGTTTCAGATTTACTGCAATACACCCATCCTTGGGCGGGCAAAAGGCTCGCGGGAAATGTTTGGCCTGCTTTAGCATACCTATATATATATTTTTACAAAATGCAAATGTGGCAATATTCTAATCAGTTGTGCAGTTAACATAAAGAATGAATTCATGAAAGAAAATGATCAATTCTATTCGTATGGGTCATGGAGGCTGTTTGACCATACTTCGCCACTTTAGCCAGGGACTGGTTCAAATATCACCGATTATGATGCTAGATGTGGCCAGGATTCTCATCGCTCGACAAAACTTACACAACCAGAGGTGAAAACCTCTAATCTAGTAACGCCACTTGTGTCATGAACGAACATTACCCAGAATATTTTTTTAGTGGCGTTGCTCAAGTGTTTAATCGTAAAAAAGTGTTAATTTCCTTTACAAATTAGCGTTTTAATCATATCGTATATATGGCGTCCAATAATGTATTTAACTTTTTTTTTATTTATTACAGCTACGTAAAAGCTTTTGAAGGGCCCATAGAGTAAAGGTACAGGGTTCTGATTCGTATCGGGATAGCGGGAGCAACCCAACTCATAATTAACCTGACAGGGGTAGCACCATGGTTACTTTGATGGTCCGCCCAGGGTGAGGCGCATCTATTGCACTGTGGGTGTGTTGACTCCTGCGATTTCCCCACCTTAATTTTGCCTGGCTATGTTGAAGGGGCAGCCGTCGTCACAGCGGACCTCTTGATTAGTGTCAGTGTCCTTCGCCCGCACCTCCGATTCGCACGGTTGGCTACGTACGGTGCGAAAGAAGTTGGACACACTGTACCGTCAGTGGCGGCTCCGTGAAATTCCCACCAGATGGGGATGTTGTCAGTGGCCTCTGAAAATACGGCGTTCTCAATTTAGAATAAGTCGTCCATGCAAAATGTAAATTGCTTTAAATGAGTCGATTAATTGATTAATCGATGCCGATTTTAATACAGGCATGCATTGTCACCGGATCTGAGCACGTGTGCAAAATTTGGAATTGATTGGACAACGTTCGTGTTATTGGCCTTCCCGTGATACAACAGTCTTATCTACCAACGGTAGGCATTTACAAACAGACGACAACAAAACAACAACGACAACGCACCCACATGCTGTCCCCAATGACCCGCAAGTCCACACCGCACAACCCCTTTCACACTGCCAAAAGCCGTGAGCTGCTCTATATTTCCACAGTGCAACCCAAGGCCGTAATTATAATATATATTGGGGGGGACACATCCACCCCAATATTCAAATATGCTCAAAATGCCCCCCACCCCCCACCCCCCCCCCCCCCCAATATGTTGCTATAAAATAGATTTCGGTTTATATGATTGTGGTTATGGTTGTACTTTATTTATCCCTAATCTCTGCCATTACATACAATGAAATAAGAAAAGGTAAAAAATAAAAAAACAGAGCAATGTAATACAATAACACTATTAGACATGATTGTAAAAATATAATAAAAAAGCCCATCGTATGTGTTAGTGAATTTTTTAACATTTTACGCAAGAAATAGCCGGAAATGAGTTTTCAAATTTAGATTTTTTTCTGGGGGGGGGGGACCCCCAAACCCCCTGGAAGATTTGGTCGTCCCCCCCCCCCCAATGTTGACTCCATGGCTACGGCCTTGGTGCAACCTTGCGTCTTGACATCGTCTCCCTACAGCCACGGGCGCCTTCTTCACCGACCTATATGGGTGTCAAATGGCGTGGCTAAAATGCGAAGCTGATCGCGATGACTGAAGAAGGGGAAATCTCTCACTCGGACGCCTTCGCAGCCGCCCCGAGACCTCCCCGAGGCACAAGTCAGAATTAAAATGTTATCTTCATTGGGCAATTCACGTTCAAAGAGTCGTTATATTTAAAACCTAAATTTTAAACACAACAAAACAATTTCTAGAAAAGTATTTCTTCATTACAAAAATCATTTATCATCGCCCCCTAGTGGACGAACCGCGCCCGGGTGCTGTGAAGACGACGACCGATCGCTTCGGGGCCATCCATTTAGTAGGTACGCAAACATCTGTCAAAACTTGATCCCTTCCCGCTCCCTGTACGCACGCGGACTCTTTACACCCCCCACCTGCGTACGTACGCCTGACACCCCCCCCCCCACCTCCGAATCCTATAGAACGGCCAATATTTAGTCCACGCAGAAACAAAGAATATAGGTTTATTTGTATCTCTGAAAGTTCGTAAGTCGAATGCTCGTAAGTAGAGGCGTCCCTGTTTAGGTCACTGCAGTGGCCAACTGGCGTCTCCCGAGCCTGCATGTGGCTATTTAATCCACCACGTGCGGATCTTATCGAAGGGGCCATAACGTAGAACGTACTCTCGCAGTAGTAGCAAATACTAATTCACGTCTCCCGTGATGTGCCAAAACAATTGTCAATATATACACGTGTATATATGTACAGTAGGCTCTGGATTATCGGCGCTAATGACGGGATAATCCAAAACCGCCGATCTCTATACCAACAACTAACGATTGCCCAATCGATGCTCAGTGATCATAACACTTTCCTGCTCCCGCGCAGAAGACTCGCCCCACTCGGTAGATGGAATCATGAGCCACTCCAATCAACATCAACCAAATTCCGCCCACTGTTGTAAATATATTGCAACCACTGTACTGTGGGTGTGATCACGCGGATTTTGGATTAACCGGATCACTTTTATTCGGTTTGAGCACGTGACTTGTCATAACACATTTCCAAGAAGAACAATGTATAACTGTTTTTAAATTATTGATTTGGGCTTAAGGGAAAATCCACGAGTTATTCATTCATGCCAAAATCTCAGGTGCGCGCGGTAAATCCGCAAATCGGATAAACCACACATATTCTTGGTTCTTTCGGTACAGTCGCGTAGAAGGGAAACAATACAATAATAAAAATATAAAACAATAAAATTATCACGACGTTTCGACTGCAACACAAGCAATCGTCATCAGGTGTGAAAATCACGTGACTTTACCGAAAGAACCAATAATATCAATCCCTGCAGTCACGAAAGCTTAAAATCAAAATTTCACACGTGGATAATTGAAAGTCTACTGTATACAAATTGGCTTTTTGCAGAACTCACGGGTACTTTTCAGCTCTTGGTCTGATGCAGGTTGGCCACCCCTGATGGAGGAGATGGATGTGGAGAAGTCCAAATACATACCCACACACATATATACACACACAAAGACAAAAAACCAACGTACCCATATGTACACACACATATACCCCAATAGACATGAATACAAGGACAAAGATTCCCAGGCAGCCTACACCACACACACGGGGTGTAGGCTGCTGTTACGGCGCACGAGGGTGTGGTGTGGTTAGCGCTACGCCCAGCCGCCTTTGTCTCCCCAGTGCTGATGTTTCCACGCCCCACCGAGTACTCATTTGAAGCTTAGCCAACCCAGGCGAGGCGCTGGACCGGTTCAGATATTCTCCACTGACGTTGGGCCGTGAGCGGTATTTGAACTCAGGTCACCGCCCATCTTATAGTGGAGTGCGCTAAACCAAGGTGCTGCCGATCCCTGCTGAGCATACATACACACATCCACACCTCCGATTAGCGCGGTTGGCTACGTAGGATTCGAAAGAAGTTCAACATACATACCTACACATCTCGACATACACGCCCATATATATACACACCCATGCACTCACACCACCTCGAAGGCCCTATCTCTTCGAAGAGAACCCCTAGGCAACAGTCCATCTCAGTGTAGCCTGTACTAATATGTTCCACACACGTTGGTGTACACTGGCCATTTAATTTAATGCTTTATTACATGGGGTGCTCTTGCCAACAAACATCTGGCAATCCAGCAGCAGTTGTTTAACAAAGCCTTGACTGCTGATGAGACCCAGACGGTTGAAACTAATTCCCCGTCTTCTTAATTAAACCAGTGCTGCTTGATGATGTTGGTCTGAAAAGACAATGGCCTGATGGATTAAACACATCTTATTAATACTGGATACAACTTATTTTTACCCGTGGCATATCACAAGAAGGGGAGTAGGAGCATGGGAAGGAGAGAGCGAATTTCGGTACAGTGGAGAGTCGTAATAAAGGTATGCTTGTAATTGCTTGAATACTGCATTGGCATGGGAAGTTGAACACACCACTACGGTAATTCGTGTGCCACTTTGGCTTTCATATGTTCTCGAATAGCACTTGCCCCAAGTGTAGGCGAGACGGGAGATCGTTGTCTTTGTCTTAGTGTGTGTATACATGTGGGTGTATGGGAGCGGTGGCGCAGCGGTTAGCACCCTGCGCTACGAACCCGGAGACACGAATTCGATTCCCGTTCACGGTGAACACCGGTGACGATTATCTGAACCGGTCCTGCGACTCCCCTAGGTCGACTCAGCCGCAAACGAGTACCTGCGTAAACATTGCCGCTGGGGAGACAAAGTCGGTCGGGCATGGTGCTGGCCACCCACGTGTGCCGTGCCGGTACAGCCTCAATAGGTGCTCGCTAACAGCGCTTGCCGAACAGCCCTTGCTCCAATGGTCTGTAAAGGCTGTACGGGGGATCTTCGTCTTTGGTGGGTGTATGCAAGGACCGTATGTGTGTGCTGCATGGACTCTGACCCTTACGTCAGGATGAGATCTCCAACCAGTCATCCCAAGGCGACAAGAGTCGTAACCCCCCCCACCCTGCGCACAGCACGTGGGTGTTTGAGGATGAATCCGGAGGGGTAAAGCGGCCGTTTCTGTTTCTGTCCACCGCCACTGCTGAGCTCAACAGGGAAGTGAACTGCATTGTACATTCGACTGTGTTGGCCAATTGCGCAACGGGGAGACGGCGAGACGAAATCAACAATGGAACCGTTCGAGACGAACCGGTGAGTAGAACGCGTGCACACACATCACAACAATAATAATAATGCATGATTATAATCATGCATCATCATTTATCAGCAGCCATGGTCACCGCCAGTCGTGGCCACCACCGCCCCGCGCGGTTCTGCGACGTGGAACGAACCCACCCCCCACTGCTCCAGAGAGCCGCATGCGGCTCTCTCGTTGAGAGTCCTGCGTGACGTTATTCATTAAGGCACCACCGTTTCGCATTGCCTCGAGCGAATCTTGAAATGTTGAACGGTATTCGAAAAACTCCCCCCCCCCCCCCACCCCTGAAAGCGAGTCGATTTAAATCGCTCCGTCTCCTCCTCGGCGGCGACGGACGGCCCCATCCCGGACGCGTTCCATTCCTTGGCTGCCGCTCCGTTATTAGCCTCGACCGCGCGTCCGTCGCTGTCCCTTCTTCCGTAGCCAGGGCGCTCTCCCGCTCAGTCCCGCGTCTCTATAAACACGTCGAATCGCGATGTCGTCGCGTAAGCTTTCGCCACCACAATGTTATCCATCGCGGTTTGATGAAGCTGGTCGTTGTAATCACTGGCGACAGCGTCGCGGTCGGTACTCAAAAGTGCTGTGGGTTTACTCCCCAATGCACCGGTGTGCTGAAGTAGTTACTATATTGGTATACAGGAGGCCGTGGGTTCGATCAAATATGCTGCTGTATATTTGAAGTTTGCATGTCTCTATCTCTTCCCGTGGTCGCGTGGATTTTTTTCCGGGTCTTCCCTCCACGTTTGGAATGAACATCACGAGTTTAGAGCTATGTGGCTGATATAAATGTCCACACGATAAGCCCCCACTTCGCTGAGCTATGATTTGTCATAGCCAGGTCGCTTCTGAAAAAGAGCTATTTAGCTCAGCGGGTCTTACCTGGTAAAATAAAAAAAAAGTAGTTCAATTTTGATTTAAAGCTTTCGTGACTGCAGTAATTCATATTCTTAGCTCTTTCGGTAAAGTCACGTTGAAGGGAAACAATAAAATAATAAAATTTCCTTTTCTTATTTTATTGACTTTTACCGAAATAGCTAAGAATATAAAGTAGTTCAGTTTGTGTATTTCATCCACTGCAAGACAGTGTTATTGATCAAGGTGGTTACAAAAGCGCCGTATTTGCGCCTGTGCACCTTTGTACCTGAACACACGGGAACACCGTTAATTATTTTTGTGCTCTGTTTGTGTGGGGTGGGGTGTGTGTGTGTGTGATGATCTCTGCGGTATTTTGGCAGAACAAACACCACGTGGCGGCAATGTAAAAGTCAAAGATCGCCCGTACCAAGCAGAGTAATGGTGCCTGGGTGGCATTACCCAACATCAGTGTCCCGACCACACAGAGCCCATCCGGCATCGTAAAATCGGCCCCTATCTCTGTGCAGACATCGCATGAAGATTACAAGAGCGCGGTTTTTTTTGGTCGAACTGTACACTACCTTCACAAAGTCCTCTGTCATTCGTGCATTCGGGGTTTCGAGTTTTAACCGCAGGTGGGAGCTCAAGGCAAGCTTTTTGGTTGGACGAATGTCATTCGCAAAGGTCACCTGGGTCACCAAAACGACAAAAGCAATACAAATACAAACAAGTAAAACAATGAAGTCAATTGAATTCACAGAAATAAACAACAACAAACAATTAATGTAAGGCTTTCATGACCAGTAATATTCATAGTAAAAGTTTTTGGGTTAGATCAGGTAATTATGTGTCGTTAAGTAACAGCTAATTGGCACACTTTGTTCACGTGACAAACCTTTACTAAGTGGCTGTGTCAAGTGCTGGTGACTTAACGTCCGTGAAAAAGAGCTTCATAGCTCATCGGATTCCTCCAGTGTACATAAATATTCTGATCCTGAAAACGATGCTTTTATATTTATGCAACCTAACCCCCCAAAAATATATTCATACGAACAACCAATTCGTTCGCTCACTTTTTTTAAGTAAACCTGTCCACAAACCCAGTGTGCAATTTTTCATCCCCTCTGAGTCATTCCCTCTTTTCCAGAGCAAGCATTCCTGTCCGGCGCAAACTACAGGATTACAGAATGCCGTGATGAGACGACTCATTCATTGCGGGCTTCTGAAGGAATTGCACTTAGAATAACGTTTCAGGTGTCCATGTTCATGCTGGCAGTACGTTCAGCAAAGCACGGGAAACACAACGGTGAAGTCACGTAGAAATTAAATTAAATAAATAATAGAATACGACTGTTTGGATTGCAACACAAGCAGTCGTCATCAATCGAGTTGCAATCGAGACGTCCGTATTCTATTTAATTTATTTTCTTTCTACATAACTTTACTGAAAGAACCAAAGAGTAATTCCTGCAGTCACGAAAGCTTCAAATCAAGATTGTGATCATCGACACACTCAAGTGTGATTTTGTTTAATCGTGTCAAATATGATATTGCAGCAACCCTGAATGCCAAGTTCAACTCCCTCTGTCCGAATGGACGCAGAAGGGGGCATCATTAACAACTCAACACATTTTTCAGGTCACTGCCCGCATAGGGAAAAAACTAATATGGAAGTTATGTCGGGGGATTTTGTGAGTGTGCTATTTTAAAAATAGCTTTTGGGGAAACATTGGTATTGCAATCAGCAGCAGCAGCATTAATGCCACAAATACCATCATCATTAACATCAGTTGCAGCAATACTATCAGTAATACCACCGTCATCATCTTCAGTTACAAGCAAAGCATTATCATCACCAATGCCACCATCATCAGCAGAAGCAGCAATCACTGAATTATCTGAATCAATACACCCATCAGCATTATCATCATCAACACATTTCGGGAAATGGCGCTACTTTATAGCAGTATTGCTTAGGTTGCCTATCTGCGATAATTATTTTGTGCTGAAATATTTACGTGTTGAATTATCCTTTCCATTGCTCTCCAGAAAGCGTCTAACCTGTGTAGCTGTGCTCTGCTGCGACTGACCACTGTTGTGCCACCCTATTAAAATGATAAATTACAAAATTACAATGATTCTCAGTCTACCCGTGGATAAAGCCCCCCCCCCCCAATGTCAGTCGTGATGAGTTGTTTTGACCATATTTCACCACCACCCTGGCCAGTGCAGGTTGGTGGAGGGGAGGGGGGCGGATAGCAGGATCGGTTCAGTGTCTATGTTGTGTGTCTCTCTCTGTGTGTCTCTGTGTTGTCTCTCTCTGTGTGTCTCTGTGTTGTCTCTCTCTGTGTGTCTCTGTGTTGTCTCTCTCTCTGTGTCTCTGTGTGTGTTTCTCTCTGTGTGTCTCTGTGTTGTCTCTCTCTGCTTGTGTGTCTGTCTGTGTGTTTGTGTTGTGTGTCTCTCTCTGTGTGTCTCTGTGTTGTCTCTGTGTGTGTGTCTGTCTGTGTGTTTGTGTTGTGTGTCTCTCTCTGTGTCTCTGTGTTGCCTCTCTCTGCTTGTGTGTCTGTCTGTGTGTCTATGTTGTGTGTCTCTCTCTGTGTGTCTCTGTGTTGTCTCTCTCTGCTTGTGTGTCTGTCTGTGTGTTTGTGTTATGTGTCTCTCTGTGTGTCTTTGTGTTGTCTCTCTCTGCTTGTGTGTCTGTCTGTGTGTTTGTGTTGTGTCTCTCTCTGTGTGTCTCTGTGTTGTCTTTCTCTGCTTGTGTGTCTGACACAGAGTGTCTATGACACAGAGTGTGTCTATGTTGTGTGTGTCTTTCTCTGTGTCTCTGTCTTGTCTCTCTCTGCTTGTGTGTCTGACACAGAGTGTCTATGACACAGAGTGTGTCTATGTTGTGTGTCTCTCTTTGTGTGTCTCTGTGTTGTCTCTCTCTCTCTGCTTGTGTGTCTGTCTGTGTGTCTCCGTGTCTGTGTTTTGTCTCTCTCTCAAATTTAGTTCTACCTGATGACGACTGCTTGTGTTGCAATCGAAACGTCGTATTCCATTATTTAAAAAAAAAATTACGTGCTCTTACCGAAAGAACCAAAGAGAGACAGAAAATATATATTTTATCTTGAATTTATGTTTACGGCATTGACACTTTTGGGAAAGCTACATTTTAAAAGTAATTTGATTATGGATCGCGGAATTACTCCAGCAGACACCATCAGCTCGCTAAACGTGGGAGCCCCCTTTAAAACCTTCGCGGCCAAAATAGTTCTGCATTGATCCGAAATCATGACCTCACTTCCATGTCACTTCCGTGCGTTTCTTTACCATCAGAAGCATCATCATCATCACTTGTCAGGCAATGCCCCTTCTTCAAAGCATTATGGGCATATTTATTATCTGTGGAAATAATCTTGTCCCGAAGCCTTAGGTAGAAAATTGTCCTTTTCATTTTACTCTGGCAAACTTGAACCTTCTGTACTCTTTATTATTTATGGGACTAGGTTTGTGCCATTCCAGAAATTCTAAATCCACCAATAGATAGAGGCCCCCCATGCCATGTCACGTGGCATGGGGTGACGTCACTATTGTTCGCATGTTGACATTTGAAATTGGTACATAATGCAAGTGATCTTAACAAATGTACAGTATGGGACCCTTTTTTGGCAGCATCAAGATGATGATAATTAATCATGATGATAATGCACACTTGGTGCCTCGCTATCAGGGGCGGAGCCAGGATTTTGACTTTGGGGGGGGCTGACTTCAATATTCTGAGATATCTCAGTGTGTTTATATTTTCCAATGGGCACCACAAATGTATAAAACAAATTTTATTGGATTTGAACGTGGAGTTTATTAATAGGTCGGAGCCGCTGATGGTGGCTAATGAGTTCGATAAGTTTGAAAGGCTGCCGCTCAAGCAGCCTGCAGGGCAACACAAGGTGGCAGCACAAGGTGGCAGCCTGCAGCATTTTGCAGCAGCCGGACATCCGGTTATCCCGATTACCGACTTTCCCAAAATTTCAGGGGGGGCTAAGCTCCCCCCCCCCCCCCCAGCTCCGCTGTGGCTCTGGCCCTGCTTGCGATAGATGTCTATTTGGTGTTTGAACACCTTAACCTGTATTCTTGCCGGAAAGGCTAAACCCTATTCTTTTTTTCATGACCATATAAAATCACACCAAAAGGAATAATCCGAAATGTTTAAATCTTGCAACTCATCCTCGTTGGCTTTATTTATTTCTCTGTTATGTTTCCATTCAACAGGACCTGCAAGTCCAGCATAAACATGGCTTGGTTCATGCATTTCTCCCTCATCCCTGCGGTAAGCGTTTCCCCCGGCGGTGAGCTTGATCGACTCAGTAAAGTCGATTGAAATATGTCCCGGCGCTACGAGGTGGATGGGTGGCTTCCGAGGTTTCAGTGGTGATTACAACCACCAGCTTCGTCAGGCGATGTGAAATGTTGACATCCCAGCTCTACCGCTCCCCCCCCCCTCCCCCTTTAATGATGGGGCATGAAGCCCATTAAGCAATGCAGCTTTTACACCCACACACATACACAGACAAAAAGCAAATGGCTCTGCTCTTCTCTTGTAAATATTTTCTAGGGCCGTGTCTCCTGGGCTGTAGTGAAAAGGCAAAAAATATAGAAAAAACTCGCCATCCCTCATTATTATTAAGGCTGCCTTCAAAACGTGCCAATGTGCTGAATCTCGCGTGGCATTTGAGAAGCAACAGACCGGCTTCATAATCGTTCGCCTGGATATTGAGGCGGGTGTCGCTTGAAGTCAGATGCTCGGAATGTCGTGGCGGGACACGGATGAGCAAGGCAGAAGCTCTGGGGAGAGACACGCGGCAGGCGGTGCGTGTCGATGGTAGGGTAAGGCCGGATCAGAGGTCACAGGGGTCAATGTGGTAAGAGACAGACATGGGAGCGGTCTCCTCGAGTCTGCCGACCAAGGAGGAGAGCAAAGGGGAGGTGGTGAGACACGGTCAGGTGATTGAGACACGGTCAAGGCCGGTCACGGAGATCGCTGCGTGTCTCCTTCGTAGCAGCCGCGGAATCTGGTGGAGGGTAGGACGCGTTGGCGAGACGTGGTGGTGGTGGTGGTGGCATCAACGGCGGTAGCCACGCTGACGTCTCGACCTTTTTGATCGAGTTTTGAAAGCTGTTCGACGCAAGGCAGTGTGTCCGCACGTCTCTCCCTGTGTCTCCTCGCGTCTCACCGCGTCTCTCTGCCTGCGTCTGCTCGCGTGTCCCGGGCTCCGTGTCTCCGCACACCTTTCCCGTCCGTACGTCAAAGTGTCTCTCCCCGTTCTTCCCCCCGTGCCCCCCCCCCGTGTCTCCCCCTTTGCCCCCCCCCGTGTATCCCCGTGCCCCCCCCCCCCCCGCGTGTCTCCCCGGCAGATCGTCGTCATCATCCTGCTGTCGTTCCTGCAGCGCCGCGTCCGCGGGCACGAACTGGACGAGCGGTTCCCCCTCAACCGCCGCTTCGGCATTGTGGTGTAAGCGCACAATGACAAAGGTCCCCCGCGTAGCCTCTCAACAGACCCGTTGGGGCAAGTGCCAACGTGGCGAGGACCTATGAAGGCCGCCACCGCTCATTTAAGGCTGAGTAGACCTTGCGGAGGCCCATAACCGGTTCATATGTGTGTATATATATATACTCGCCACTGTTATTGAACGTGAGCGGGAATCGAACTCGGGTCGTCGGAGTTCGTAGCGCGCCGCTCTCCATAGCCGCCTGGGCACACACAAAGATCCCCGTCTAGCCTAAAAAGACTGCTGGGGCAAGTGCTGTTAGCGAGCATCTATGAAGGCCGGCACGGCACACGAGGGGGTGTGTGGCCAACCCCAGTGGCGACGATTATGCGCCGCACCAGCTACTCATTTGAGGCTGAGTCGACCTAGGGGAGGCCCAGGGACCGGTTCAGATACTCGCTATCACCGGCCATGAGCGGGAATCGAACCCAGGTCGCCAGGTTTCGTAGCACAGCAGCGCGGTATCCGCTACACCACCGCTCCCGTAACCGTTGCACTACCGCCCGCACACACAAACATACGCACACACACACGCACGCACACACACATGCACACACACACGCACAAACACACACACACACACAAACACACACACAAACACACATGCACACACAAACACACACGCACACACATACACACAAACGCACACACGCACACAAACACACACACGCACGCACACACAAACACACAAACAACAACAACCGCCATTCGCCAGTAAGTGGCGGTGACGTCACCATGACGCTTGTGCCAGGCGATGTGCACCTTGAGGCCACGTGAAGTGTTGAACGCCCGCTGGCAGGAGGTCACGGGGCAGACCCAGCAGGTGCCACGGGTCGACTGACTGAGAAGATGACTGAGATGACTGGTTGATGCACACCTGTGCCCTCTACTGTGCCAACTTGCTGTGCTTTAACCACCCGGCACTTCACTCGTTGTTGTGAGCATTGCTCCTCCGTTGTTGTTGAAGGGCGACTGCCTCCAACTGCCCAGTAGCGTCCTTCACGAGCCTCCTCCACAGAGGCCGATCTTGACACCGCTGGTACCAGTCATCGGCAAGTCCACTCACCTCCACGTCCTCCTGTACCACATCACTCCATCTCTTCTCTAGCCCGTGCCGTGCCCGTTTAGCCCCCTCGATCGGGCCGAACAAAAGCTGTTTAGGCATGCGGTGGCTGGGCATGCGGGCTACATGACGCAGCCAATGCAGCCTTGACTGCCGGAGGAGCTCACCGATGGGACCTTGTCCAGGTCTTTCAAGAATTTGTGAACTCCTCACACATTCCAGCCTGGTTAAACCCAGGATGGATCGTAGGCAGGCTAGCCTAAATGTTTCTAACCGGCGAATATGCTCCATTAGGGGGGTCCACGTTTCGCAAGCATAGAGAAGGGAGGGAATGACTGCGGCCGAGAAGACCTGAAGCTTAGTACGGAGCGACAGACCAGGTAGCTTCCACACAGCATTACGTAACCGATGAAAATATATTGCTGCTCGACTGATTCGGAGTGAGACCTCTACTGTTAAACTGGAGCCGGTCATAAGCGCACTGTCCAGGTATGGGAAACTCTCCACTCTCTCCACAACTGCCCCATCACTCATTGGGAGTTGTGGGGGTGGAGTGACCGATGGTACAAAATACCCAGGCAGGTGCTTAGTTTTGGTGGGGTTGATGGTAAGGCCCCACCTCTTAGTGGCACGCTCCAGTCTCAGCAGCAGCGTCTCCAACTCCTCCTCTGAATGAGCAGCTATTACCAAATAATCGGCATACATAATGTGGTTGACCAATAGGAAGCCATCCCTTGACCGCACCCGGGCATCGATCAGCCTCCCATTATATCTGTACCAAATGGAAATTCCCCCGGTACAGCTAATGAAGGCTGCATGAACTACGTGGTCAAAATAGCTGTTAAATAATCTGGGAGCCAGAGGACATCCCTGTCGCACCCCAAGGTGTACAGGGAATGGCTCTGACTCCCGGCCACGTAGTTTTACCCAGGCCCGCTCACCATCATGAAGGTCCTTAATGATCGTGAGCAGGGGGTCAGGGACTCTGAAACCACGAAGAACAACCCAGAGCCCAGGCCTACTGATGGTATCATAGGCCTTGACCAGGTCAATAAATCAGAGATGTAGGCCTTGTTGGAATTCCCTACACCTCTGCTGTAGCAGACGGACAGAAAATATGGCATCTGTGCAAGACCGCCCTTTCCTGAAACCACATTGGGGCTCCGCAAACCTCTCCTCAGCGTGCCTAGCAATGCGATGTTGAATAATCCTTGCCAGGATCTTTCCTGGCACACTGAGGAGTGAGATGCCCCTGTAGTTGTTACAGTCTGTGTGGTCCCCCTTCTTAAAGAGGGGGACCACACAGGAAAGAGGGGGACCACCAGGACATCCTTCCAATCCTGCAGAACCCGTCCAGTGGTCCAGACTGTTGTTATGATGTCATATAGGGCACTCTGTGCACAAACGCCATCCTCCCTCAGCATTTCGCTTGGGAGATCATCTCTGCCCGGTGCCTTTCCTGTTCTCAGACTCCGGATCGCCTTCAGTACTTCCTCAACAGATGGCACCTCAGCCAGCCACTCACAGGGGGTGACTTCTTCCAATATTTGAGGCACCGCAGCCTCAGCAGGGTCATCCCCACTTTGTGCCACGATGTTTTCCTGGCTGAGGGATTTCCCCTCCCCCAGGACCTCACAGAAATGCTCAGCAAATTTGCAAACCTGTTCCTGGGGGTCGGAGATTGAATCACCATTTTTTCCCCTAATGATGGTAACAGGTGTGGCGCTGCAGGTTACTTTTTTGATGGAGTTAAATAAGGATTTGTGATCGTGGGCCACTGAGGCAGACTCCATCTCCTCAGCAACCCGCGACCATCACCCATCCTTGCAGTGCCTCACGACTCTCTGAACCTTCGAGCGAAGGCTGCGGTAAGCCTCCTCATTCTCTGACGTGAGATTCTGTAGGCGATGACAGTGGGCCTGTCGCTTTTTCTCAACCATCCTGAACACCTCCTCTGTCAGCCAGGGTCTCTGGGGAGGTCTGGACCGCGTACCCAAAGCAGGCAATGCAGCTGCATGAGTCACAGTCCTAAACCTCGCCCATTTACCCTCGACATCAGGAGGAGTGGGGGACGATGCCAACCCCAGCCGCAAGCGATGATGAAATTCTCGCTTGCAACTTTCATCAGCTGAGACCAGGCCACTTTACGTTGGAATGGGGTCCTGGGTGTACACCCACCACCGCAGTGGAAGAATGGCAGGCGCATCTTACAGATGACTAGTCGACACACAAACAAAATAAACAAAGATGCCCCATAGAGCCTTAACAGACTGTAGAGGCAAGTGCTGTTAGCGAGCACTTATGAAGGCCAGAACGGTACACGAAGGGGTGGGTGGCGAGCACCACGCCCGACCACCTTTGTCTCCTTAGTGGCAATGTTTACACACCGCACCAGGTACTCATTTGAGGCTGAGTCGACCTAGGGGAGGCCCGGGACCAGTTCAGATAATCGTCACTGGTGTTGGCCGTGAGCGGGAATCGAACCCGGGTCGCCAGTTTCATAGCGCAGCACGCTAACCGCTACACTATCACTCCCCACTGACACACAAACACACACGCACACACACACAAACATACACACACATAAACACACAAACACGCTGAGCGGGCGCTGTGTGTCCAGGCCCGTGTACCTGGTGGGCAACCAGAGCAACCGCTGGTCGTACGGCATCGCGTTCGGAGCGACCACCAGCACGGTGTTGTCGCTCTTCACCAACGAGTTCTCCAACTACTTCGACTTCGTCGCTCCGTCGTGGGCAAAAGGTGGGGCCCAGGACGACGCCGGATGACCACGGCCATAATTGTGACACACCCCCCTCCCCTCCTCGTTGGCGTCATCGTCTCGGTCGTCATCATCATCTCAGTCGTCGTCGTCGTCATCATCTCAGTCGTCGTCGTCATTGTCTCAGTCGTCGTAGTCATTGTCTCAGTCGTCATCATCGTCTCAGTCATCATTGTCGTCTCAGTCTTTGTCGTCATTGTCTCAGTTGTCATCATCGTCTCAGTCGTCGTAGTCATTGTCTCAGTCGTCATCGTCTCAGTCGTCATGGTTGTCGTCGTGGTCATTGTCTCAGTCATCATTGTCATCTCAGTCTTTGTCGTAATCGTCTCAGTCGTCATAGTCATTGTCTCAGTCATCATAGTCATTGTCTCGGTCGTAGTCATTGTCTCAGTCGTCGTCATCATCTCAGTCGTCATTGTCTCAGTCATCGTAGTCATTGTTTCAGTCTTTGTCGTCATCGTCTCAGTCGTCGTAGTCATTGTCTCAGTCATAGTCATTGTCTCAGTCGTCATAGTCATTGTCGCAGTCTTTGTTGTCATCGTCTCAGTCGTCGTAGTCATTGTCTCAGTCGTCGTAGTCATTGTCTCAGTCGTCGTAGTCATCGTCTGAGTCGTTGTAGTCATTGTCTCAGTCATAGTCATTGTCTCAGTCGTCGTAGTCATTGTCTCAGTCGTTGCAGTCATCGTCTCAGTTGTCATCATTGTCTCAGTCGTCATTGTCGTCTCAGTCTTTGTCGTTATCGTCTCAGTCATAGCCATTGTCTCAGTCGTAGTCATTGTCTCAGTCGTCGTAGTCATTGTCTCAGTCATAGTCATTGTCTCAGTGGTAGTCATTGTCTCAGTCGTCGTAGTCATTGTCTCAGTCATAGTCATTGTCTCAGTCGTAGTCATTGTCTCAGTCGTCGTAGTCATTGTCTCAGTCATAGTCATTGTCTCAGTCGTAGTCATTGTCTCAGTCGTCGTAGTCATTGTCTCAGTCATAGTCATTGTCTCAGTCGTCGTAGTCATTGTCTCAGTCGTCATAGTCATTGTCTCAGTCGTCGTAGTCATTGTCTCAGTCGTAGTCATTGTCTCAGTCGTAGTCATTGTCTCAGTCATCGTAGTCATTGTGTCAGTCATAGTCATTGTCTCAGTCGTAGTTATTGTCTCAGTCGTCGTAGTCATTGTCTCAGTCATAGTCATTGTCTCAGTCATAGTCATTGTCTCAGTCGTCGTAGTCATTGGCTCAGTCGTCGTCGTCTCAGTCGTCATCGTCTCAGTCGTCGTAGTCATTGTCACAGTCGTCATAGTCATTGTCTCAGTCGTAGTCATTGTCTCAGTCGTAGTCAGTCTCAGTCGTCGTAGTCATTGGCTCAGTCGGCGTCGTCTCAGTCGTCATTGTCTCAGTCGTCGTAGTCATTGTCTCAGTCGTCGTAGTCATTGTCTCAGTCGTAGTCATTGTCTCAGTCGTCGTAGTCATTGTCTCAGTCGTCATAGTCATTGTCTCAGTCGTCGTAGTCATTGTCTCAGTCGTAGTCATTGTCTCAGTCGTAGTCATTGTCTCAGTCATCGTAGTCATTGTCTCAGTCGTAGTCATTGTCTCAGTCGTAGTCATTGTCTCAGTCGTCGTAGTCATTGTCTCAGTCGTCGTCGTCTCAGTCGTCATCGTCTCAGTCGTCGTAGTCATTGTCTCAGTCATAGTCATTGTCTCAGTCGTCGTAGTCATTGTCTCAGTCATAGTCATTGTCTCAGTCATTGTCATTGTCTCAGTCGTAGTCATTGTCTCAGTCGTCGTAGTCATTGTCTCAGTCGTCGTAGTCATTGTCTCAGTCGTCGTCGTCTCAGTCGTCATCGTCTCAGTCGTCGTAGTCATTGTCTCAGTCGTAGTCATTGTCTCAGTCGTAGTCATTGTCATTGTCTCAGTCGTCGTAGTCATTGTCTCAGTCGTAGTCATTGTCTCAGTCGTCGTAGTCATTGTCTCAGTCATAGTCATTGTCTCAGTCGTAGTCATTGTCTCAGTCGTCGTAGTCATTGTCTCAGTCGTCGTAGTCATTGTCTCAGTCGTCGTCGTCTCAGTCGTCATCGTCTCAGTCGTCGTAGTCATTGTCTCAGTCGTAGTCATTGTCTCAGTCGTAGTCATTGTCATTGTCTCAGTCGTCGTAGTCATTGTCTCAGTCGTAGTCATTGTCTCAGTCGTCGTAGTCATTGTCTCAGTCATAGTCATTGTCTCAGTCGTCGTAGTCATTGTCTCAGTCGTCATAGTCATTGTCTCAGTTGTAGTCATTGTCTCAGTCGTCGTAGTCATTGTCTCAGTCGTAGTCATTGTCTCAGTCATAGTCATTGTCTCAGTCGTCGTAGTCATTGGCTCAGTCGTCGTCGTCTCAGTCGTCATCGTCTCAGTCGTCGTAGTCATTGTCACAGTCGTCGTAGTCATTGTCTCAGTCGTAGTCATTGTCTCAGTCGTAGTCATTGTCTCAGTCGTCGTAGTCATTGTCTCAGTCGTCGTAGTCATTGTCTCAGTCGTAGTCATTGTCTCAGTCGTCATAGTCATTGTCTCAGTCATAGTCATTGTCTCAGTCGTCGTAGTCATTGTCTCAGTCGTAGTCATTGTCTCAGTCGTCATAGTCATTGTCTCAGTCGTCGTAGTCATTGTCTCAGTCGTAGTCATTGTCTCAGTCGTCGTAGTCATTGTCTCAGTCGTAGTCATTGTCTCAGTCGTCATTGTAATTGTCTCAGTCGTAGTCATTGTCTCAGTCGTCGAGGTCATTGTCTCAGTCGTAGTCATTGTCTCAGTCGTCGTAGTCATTGTCTCAGTCATAGTCATTGTCTCAGTCGTAGTCATTGTCTCAGTCGTCGTAGTCATTGTCTCAGTCGTCGTCGTCTCAGTCGTCATCGTCTCAGTCGTCGTAGTCATTGTCTCAGTCGTAGTCATTGTCTCAGTCGTAGTCATTGTCATTGTCTCAGTCGTCGTAGTCATTGTCTCAGTCGTAGTCATTGTCTCAGTCGTCGTAGTCATTGTCTCAGTCATAGTCATTGTCTCAGTCGTAGTCATTGTCTCAGTCGTCGCAGTCATTGTCTTAGTCGTCGTAGTCATTGTCTCAGTCGTCGTCGTCTCAGTCGTCATCGTCTCAGTCGTCGTAGTCATTGTCTCAGTCGTAGTCATTGTCTCAGTCGTAGTCATTGTCTCAGTCGTCGTAGTCATTGTCTCAGTTGTCGTAGTCATTGTCTCAGTCGTAGTCATTGTCTCAGTCGTCGTAGTCATTGTCTCAGTCGTAGTCATTGTCTCAGTCGTCGTAGTCATTGTCTCAGTCATAGTCATTGTCTCAGTCGTCATACTCATTGTCTCAGTCGTAGTCATTGTCTCAGTCATAGTCATTGTCTCAGTCGTCATTGTCATTGTCTCAGTCATCGTAGTCATTGTCTCACCACCACCTGTGCTCGCCACTTTGCCAACTTGACGAGTTTTAACCTGCCCGGCGCTCCGCTCGTTGTTGTGAGCGGTCGATCCTCTGCGCCCCGCTGTCGTTGGAAGTGCGACCGCCTCCAATTGCCCAGAAGCGCCTTCACGAGCCTCCTCCACAGAGGCCGATCTTGACACCGCTAGTACCATACAAATACAAAATATATTTAACATCATGATGACCACAACCTCCAACAGCATCATCATCACATCCATGATGATTGAGGTGATCGTTCGTATGATGAGGACGATGCAGACATTGCTGTTGCTGCTGCTGATATTTTTAATTGACTGGGTTAACCACATTGCCGACCCAAGCAAATTTACCGAAAAAAATAAAGATGTAATTATGACCATCATCATCATCATTATCGCTCCATCTCCATGGTGGCTCGCCCACTTGGAAGTACTTCTCTCCTTTAGCTGCCATCATGAGGACTTCAACGACGTTGACAACGATCATCATCATCATTGTTGTTGATGCTAACATTACACGAATCGCTGCCTCTGCCCGACAGCTCTGGTTTATCTGCTGGCCGCCCTGGAAGTCGGCGTAGATGTTTACCCGTTCTTCGCCTGCCTTGGGACCGAGTACAAAATCCTGGGCTCAGTCCTCGGCTTCCTATACTCGGTGTCATGGTGAGCTTGCAAACTCCATGCAATCTATAATTGTGTCCGCGGGCGCGTGTGTGGCTGGGAGCGGTGGTGTAGCGGTTAGTGCGCTGCACTATGAACCTGAAGATGCGAGTTCAGTTCCCACTCACGGCCAACACCAGTGACGATTATCTGAACCGGTACCTGGGCCTCCCCTAGGTCGACTCGGCCTCAAATGAGTAACTGGTGTGGTGTGTAAACGTCGCCACGAGGGAGACAAAGGCGGCCGGGCGTGGTGCTGGCCACCCACGCCCTCGTTTGCCGTTCCGGCCTTCATAGGTGCTCACTAACAGCACTTCCCCAAACAGTCTGTTAAGGATACATGGGGGATCTTTGTCTTTGTGGCCAGGATTTGTGATGTATGCGTGTGTGTGTGGCTAAGATTGGTGATGTGTGCGTGTGTGTGGCCGGGACTGGTGTTCTGGCCACACCGACCTCTCGTGCGCCGTGCCGACGTTTGTAGGTGCTCGCATAACAGCACTTTCCCCAACAGCCCCGTGTAGACTATACGGGGCATCTTTGTCTGACTGTAATTGTATGCTTCTGTGACCTTTGACACTTCGGTCGGTGCAAGTGCTGCAGTGACAATTGCACTCACACAAAGACAAAGATCCCCCTTGCAGCCTTCAGTAGACCGTTGGGGCAAGTGCTGTCAGCTAGCACCTATGAAGGCCAGAACGGCAAACGAGGGGGTGGGTGGCCAGCACCACGCCCGGACGCCTTTGTCTCCCCAATGCTGATGATTGTACACCGCTGCAGGTCGTCATTTGAGGCTGAGTTGACCTTGGGGAAGGCCCAGGACTGTTTCAGATAATTAATCATCACTGGTGTTGGTGGCCGCCGGGTTTGTAGCGCGGCTACAAACCACCGCTCCCCACATACGTTGCACACACACACACGCGGACACAGGTAAACACACACACACATACGCAATCAACTATGTTCGACGAAAATATTGAACTTGACGTTTTTTTGTTTTTGTGTTTTCGGCAGGCTGACCGTGAATTTGATTGACGTTTGTCAATGCTCATTCGATCCGGTAAGTTCGTTTCTATTGCTCGACGCTGTATTCGTTTTCATTCGCACGCTCGACAGTGACTCCTGAATCTCGAACAGGAGTCCTTCTGCATCCTCTGTCAGGACCCTGGGGCCTATTCCCACGCCCGCCTTTCAGAATATGAAATTACGACGAAGACATCTTTCTAGCCCTCCCCCCCCCGCTTTTCATAACCGGTTTAGTTTACGTTCACGGTGTGCGCGTGCATCACAACGTGATGCAACGGGCCCCGCGCGCATTTACTTAGTCGAAAAATAAAATGACGATGATGATGGTGACTGGGCGAAGACCCCGGGGCCGGCTCCAGGACATGCTGCTGGTGGGACGATGTCGCTCGGCTGGCCTGGGAACGCCTGGGAATTCCCCAGGAAGAACTAGAGTTTGTGTATACTGTAGTAGGGATTAGTGCAGTGTATAGTAGTGTAGTGCAGGACAAGCGGAGTGAGAAACGAACGGACGGACGATGATGACGACGGCGATTCTGTGAACACGTGTGTGTGTGCGTGCGCGCGTGCGCGTGTGTGTGTGTCGACGCAGGACCACGTGTTTGTGGTTCTGACCAAGACGCCGTCGCTCGTGTGCCAGCTCTTCCTCTCGCTCAAGTTCATCCACATGTTCTTCCGAGCGCTGATGATCGCCCTCGGGCGATCCAAACCGGAGGTGAGGTTGCGTAGCGAAAGCCTCCCACGCCTTGCCCTCTGTGTTTTTGTTCTTCGGCGTGTGTTTCCTCGCGAGCGGTGAGAGTCGCGGGTGTGGTCGTGAGCGGTGAGAGGCCGACGTGGGGTCAAAGGATATTTTTTGGTGTTTGTCCTGGTGATGCTCACGCATGTAGAATTGTCACTTTTGAGAATCCGAGTATAGTTCCGTGACATCTAATTTTCATGTGTTTATGGTGAGCACGTCATATGACCCCACGTGCTGGCCAGCTGACCACATACGCCAGTTGATGTTTGCGTGTAACAAAGTGATTTTGATTCGTGTGTCTGTGTGTGTGCTTTAATTGATTTTCAGGAAACAGAATTGATTCTGAAATCACACCATGCAGCCTACATCAAAACCCTCTTCTTGAAAACCGATCCGGAGTAAGTGCAGCACCGACCAATATTTATATATTTATATATTCTACAACGGTCCACTGGCTGGTGGTGATCGGATGTATATTGAACTTCTTTCGCACCGTACGCAGCCAACCGCGCTAATCGCAGGTGTGGGGGAAGGACAACAAACTAAAAACAAAAAGCAGTTCTTAAGAAATGAGTTTTCAATCTAGATGGTTTAGAAATGCATATGTCCAGTGTTTTCCTAATAGCGGATGGAAGAGCATTCCAGACGGCTGCAGAAGGGCATCTGAAAGCATGCAATGTGGTGACCGTCTTTGTTTGATGGCTTGGCTGAAAGCCGCTGCTGCTCGGATGACAGGAGTTCACGTGATGGTTTTCTGCTCCTTCACGATAGACAACTCATGATCTTAACGTCTGTGAAAAATCCCCCTCGTTTTTAGAATCGCCCCCCCCCCTACCACCCCCTGCCTCTGTCCACCCAGGAGTGTCCACCAGTCTACGACTGGGGTAAAGTGGGGGTACTTCCACCTTCTGACCCCCGTGCCCCAACTGGACATCTCTATAAAACAAATGCTTTATAGCTCATCGGATTCCTCCAGTGTAATTAAAGATTCTGATTCTTCCAAGATGATGTGGCCCAGCAAGGAAGGATAGGCCCAGCAGCCTCTGCCCAAGGGCTTTCTTGAGCGCCTTCTAGTGGAGGACCTTCAGCCAGCAGGGACATGAGCAAGCAATTGCAGCGCTGCACCTTTACATCGTCGCCGTTAAGCAAGTCGATCGATCAATCTGAACTTCATTTATTTAGAGTCGCCAATTCTTAATACATGAATTATCATTCGCCGATAACAAAAAAATGTATTTAAAATTGTAATTTTGGACGTGCGTCGCGCAGCGTTCGCTCGGTCGGTCGCTCTCCTAGAGAGAGACAGACCGACTCGGGCAGGCGCGAGGGAGAGCCACAGACAACGAGCGGGGAAGGCAGCAGCCAGGCGGCGAGGGGCCGGCGTCAACGATTTCCCGAGCTCTGCGGTCCTCCGCATATGAGGGCGTCATCGGCCAATTAACGAGTGGGACTTAAACGTGCGAGGAAGCCGGAGCACACGCGGAGGCTCACCCACACACGCGAAGGGGAAATACTCTACCCCCCACCCCCCCCCCCCATACAGAGAGAACAGGTGGAGTCTACGTTCTGGCTGCACCGACTTCTCCTGGCGAGCCAGGGTACGGGCTCCTCCTCATCGATGCCCACGGGGAAGGGAGTTCGGCAACATCTGCGCGATCCGCCAACCCCCTTGGCCTACAGAGTGCTCGATTGCATGCGACGCGGGTAGCCACGACGGGCCATGCGGTCGAAATGACAATCGGGGTTGACTCTAAAGAAACCAAACGGTTAATCGCGAGGTGCGTTTGCGTGCGTTTTTCTTTGCACAGGGAGGAGGAAGAGGCCGTGAAACGGAAGTCGTGCTTTCGACGCAAGTGCTACGACTGGGACCCCCATTTTAAGTTTCCAGCCCGAATGATCGCGACGGCCGTGTTGGGAGTCATCTGCCTCTACTCCGTGAGTCTCTGACGCCAGACTTGTGGCGACGCATGCAAATAAAAACGTGTTGCGATAATAATGCGTGCATTGTCTTTTACGCCGATTGGCCCTACACCAGAGACGGCCTTCTTAATGGCCTTGTCTCGCCAGTGTTAGACCAGAGAGGGCCAAAAGGCGAACGGCACAAAGGCAATGCACGTATCAAAGTATTAATCGCTCGGGTTGAGCAGTTTTATATATATATGGGACCTTTTTGCCAGTATCAAAATGATGAAAAACATGTTTTTGCCACGCGTGGTTAATGCAGACTTGATGCCTACTCGATGTGCGAAGATCTTAACGCCTTCCCCGTTTTATTGCCGGACGGGAGATGAATCCCGTGAATAACATTTTTTTTTCACTCATCCTCCCAGATCGTGTTGATCGACATCCAGCTGACGATGCTGGTGTCCCGAGAGGTGGCGGAGTTCGAGGTGTCGCTGGACGAGCTGGTGAACGCGGACGACCTTCCCTCCGGCACCAACAGCAGCGTCAGCCAGTTCGTCGAGTTCATGGGCGTCGCGCAAAGTGAGACGCTCCCCGTTCTCGAGTTCCCCGCGAGAAGGAGGGTTTTTGGCTCGCCCGTCGCCGAGAAAACCGCTTGCGCACCCTTCGTTTCTGTGGCTCTTCGGCCGTCTCTACCAAGAACGCGCGGTTGGCTACGCGAAAGAAGTTCAACGCACGCCTCGGGGGAGCTCTCGAGACGGTGTTCGGCCCAATCTTTCCTCGATGTCCGTATGCCTCGGGGGAGGAGTGGAGTGATGCGCCCACACTTTTACCCACCACGCGCGGGGAGGGTGGCCGGTGGTGGGGATCTAACGTGCACCTAGCCTGGCACAAGTGCCGTGGGGACGTCACCACCACTTAGTGGCGGATGGCGGTTGTTGTTGTTTATTGTTGATGGGGATTTAAGAAACTCGCCCCATTGGTTTAACTGCCGCGCCTGGAGATATATTTGGGCGCCATGGTGGCTAGGAGATGTTAACTACCTCGTCTGGTATGCAGGAGGTCGTGGGTTCGATCCCGACCCTGACGCCTGCTGCTGCTATATATTTGGAATTTGCGTGTCTCTCTCTCTCTCTCATCATCATCACAGTGGCTAGGAGATGTTAACTACCTCGCCTGGTATGCAGGAGGTCGTGGGTTCGATCCCGACCCTGATGCCTGCTGCTGCTGTATATTTGGAATTTGCGTGTCTCTCTCTCATCATCATCACGGTGGCTAGGAGATGTTAACTACCTCGCCTGGTACGCAGGAGGTCGTGGGTTCGATCCCGACCCTGACGCCTGCTGCTGTATATTTGAATTTTGCGTGTCTCTCTCTCACTCTCCCTTTGGTTGTGTGGACTTTTCTCCGGTCCCTCCGGGTTTTCCCTCCACATTTAGAAACAACGTCACGCATTTCAGAGTATTTGGCTGCGATACATTTTCCACGTGAAAAGCCACTCCGTTGAGCTTTCATTTGTGATGGCCAGGTCGCCTTTGAAAAAATAATATCTCAGTGGGCCTTACCTGGTGAAATAAAAAAAGTTTTTTATAGTTTATCTGAAGAGAGGGATGACGTGGGAAGAGGCTACGAAGTCAAACGGAACGATAAAACCACTTGCCAATAATACGCCAATTATTGTGATGCCCAGGGACCGTAGCTCGTGGCTGAACTCGTTGGGGGAGGTCATGAGGCGTCGCGCTTTCTGCCGTTTCAGTCGCGTGGAGCATCTCCACTTACACGGCGGCAGCAACCTCCGTCGCGTACATTTTCCACATTCTGGTGTGCTACAGGTGAGTGAGCGAATCGTGCGTCCGCCTGCGTGCGTGTCCGTCCGTCCGTGCGCTTCTGCGTTATGTCTGCGCATCTGTGCGTCTCTCTTTGCTTGCGTTTCGTGGGTTGTCTGTGGGTGTTTTCGTGTGTGTCTGCAGGTAGGTTAGCGTGGGGAGCGGTAGTGTAGTTGACCTAGGGGAGGCCCAGAACCGGTCCTGGGCCTCCCCTAGGTCGACTCAACCTCAAATGAGTACCTGGTGCGGTGTGTAAATGTCGCCACTAGGGAGACAAAGGCGGACGGGCGTGGTGCTGGCCACCCACCCCCTTGCGTGCCGCTCTGGCCTTCATAGGTGCTCGCTAACAGCACTTGCCCCAACAGTCTGTTCAGGTCGCTTCTGAAAAAAGAGCCATATAGCTCAGTGGGCCTTACCTGGTAAAATAAAAAAAAATAGTTCAGTAGCAGTAGTTTACTTTATGTGTCTGTGATTACTACCCATCGTACTTGATTTCTATTCAATCTGGCATTTACAACACATTGCCTGGACGTCTGCGAGTTTGTGTGTGTGATCCCGCGGCTTGACCGCGTGAATGGATTGGCACTTGTGCGTGGACCGCCGTAGGAAACACATCAAACGCCTGTGGAGGGGTGACCGAAGTTTCCTTCCACGGAAGCAACCGAAGGCCGGCCCTATGATAGTGAGTACCGCACACACTTGCACATGTCACCGCTGTGGGGAGATGTTAAATACCTCGCCTGGTATACAGGAGGTCGCACTCATTGCACACAAAGTGCTTGCCACAAATGAACCACAGTACCTTGCTGACCTCGTCATCCTCACAGCAGCAGCGGCTTTTGGCTGGCCATCGAACAAAAGACGGTCGCCGCATCGCGAGCTCACAGATGCGCCTTCTGCGGCCGTCTGGAACCCTCTTCCTTCCGATATTACGAAGCCACTGGAGCTATGCACTTTAAAATAATCGAGATTGATGAACTAATTTATTTGTCTTTGTACATCTGCATAGTCTAACTTTCTATTCGACTATGCCGGCGATCTTTGTGTAGGTGTATATATGTTGGCCAATGGTCCGAATATAGGACTACAGAGCTTGGGCAATTGCCCGGTGCCTCTTCTGGCCGCCTTCCCGCTGTCTCTGCGGTTTCCCGCGCCTCTGAATCATTTGATCTCTCTTTGAGAGTGAACGCAAACACCGCGTGTGAACAAATGTAACGTTATTATAATTATTTACGTATTTATTTATATTTGTGCGTGCGTTTGTGTAGGCTGCAGGCGTTAGGTATACGGGCTGGCAGATTGCATACCTGCTGTGGGGTACGTAAGCACCGTGTACATTTTGACGGAGCTCCGCATGTGACTGTCCCAGTGGTGCAGTCGACATTTGTGAATGTTGCTCTGACTGCCCTCTGCTGCCCACTCTGTGGCCCCCACATCCTATAACACCTGGGCACAGCGGGTAATTTGGTCGAATGCATGGATGTGTATGTGTATATATAAAATGCGTGGATATGTATATGCAGTAGGTAGACCCAGCCTCAAATGAGTACCTGATGCGGTGAGTAAACATCACCACTGGGGAGACAAAGGCGGTTGGGCGCGGTGCTTGTCACCATCCCCCATCGTGTACTGTACCAGGCCTCATAAGTGCTCGCAAACAGCCTAGCAGCACTTGCCCCAACATCTGTTAATGCTATACGGGGGATCTTTGTCTGTTTGTGACCGCAGCTGACCTTAATCGTTTAAACCACAACACGTGGTTGTGTAATATCTACTTTTATTTTTTTTTTTTACGTGGGGAGACAGATAGTCCTCTATGCATGATGGAGGGAGACATTGTCCACTTTTCTATTTTGCTCCTTGCTGAACTGCGTTGGCTTCCGGTTGCTGAACGAACGCATTTCCAGGTCGCACTCCTCACACACAAAGTGCTTGCCAGAAATGAAGCGCAAGACCTCGCTGGTCTCGTCAAGGAGCACACACCACCATCACGCAAACTCCGATCATGCTCGCAGCAGCGGCTTTTGGCTGGCCATCGACCAAAGACGGCCACCGTTTCGCACGCTTTCAGATGCGCTTCTGCGGCCGTCTGGAACGATCATCCTTCTGATATTAGGAAGCGCCTGGAGTTATGAAGTTTTGAATCATCTACAGTGAGGGAAAAAAAGTATTTGATCCCCTGCTGATTTTGTACGTTTGCCCACTGACAAAGAAATGATCAGTCTATAATTTTAACGGTAGGTTTATTTGAACAGTGAGAGACAGAATAACAACAAAAAAATCCAGATAAACGCATGTCAAAAATGTTATAAATTGATTTGCATTTTAACGCGGGAAATAAGTATTTGACCCTGCTACAAACCATGACTTAGTACGTTTCTTGTAGTTGGCCACCAGGTTTGCACACATCTCAAGAGGGATTTTGTCCCACTCCTCTTTGCAGATCTTCTCCAAGTCATTAAGGTTTCGAGGCTGACGTTTGGCAACTCGAACCTTCAGCTCCCTCCACAGATTTTCTACGGGATTAAGGTCTGGATACTGGCTAGGCCACTCCAGGACCTGAATGTGCTTCTTCTTGAGCCACTCCTTTGTTGCCTTGGCCGTGTGTTTTGGGTCATTGTTATGCTGGAATACCCATCCACGACCCATTTTCAATGCCCTGGCTGAGGGAAGGAGGTTCTCACCCAAGATTTGACGGTACATGGCCCTGTCCAACGTCCCTTTGATGCGGTGAAGTTGTCCTGTCCCCTTAGCAGAAAAACACCCCCAAAGCATAATGTTTCCACCTCCATGTTTTACGGTGGGGATGGTGTTCTTGGGGTCATAGGCAGCAGCATTCCTCCTCCTCCAAACACGGCGAGTTGAGTTGATGCCAAAGAGCTCCATTTTGGTCTCATCTGACCACAACACTTTCACCCAGTTGTCCTCTGAATCATTCAGATGTTCATTGGCAAACTTCAGACGGGCATGTATATGTGCTTTCTTGAGCATGGGGACCTTGCGGGCGCTGCAGTATTTCAGTCTTTCACGGCGTAGTGTGTTACTAATTGTTTTCTTGGTGACTATGGTCCCAGCTGCCTTGAGATCATTGACAAGATCCTCCCGTGTAGTTCTGGGCTGATTCCTCACCGTTCTCATGATCATTGCAACTCCACGAGGTGAGATCTTGCATGGAGCCCCAGGCCGAGGGAGATTGACAGTTCTTTTGTGTTTCTTCCATTTGCGAATAATCGCACCAACTGTTGTCACCTTCTCACCAAGTTGCTTGGCAATGGTCTTGTAGCCCATTCCAGCCTTGTGTAGGTCTACAATCTTGTCCCTGACATTCTTGGAGAGCTATTTGGTCTTGGCCATGGTGGAGAGTTTGGAATCTGATTGATTGATTGATTGCTTGCTTCTGTGGACAGGTGTCTTTTATACAGGTAACAAGCTGAGATTAGGAGCACCCCCTTTAAGAATATGCTCCTAATATCAGCTTGTTACCTGTATAAAAGACACCTGGGAGCCAGAAATCTTTCTGATTGAGAGGGGGTCAAATACTTATTTCCCTCATTAAAATGCAAATTAATTTATAACATTTTTGACATGCGTTTTTCCGGATTTTGTTGTTGTTATTCTGTCTCTCACTGTTCAAATAAACCTACCATTAAAATTATAGACTGATTATTTCTTTGTCAGTGGGCAAACGTACAAAATCAGCAGGGGAACAAATACTTTTTTCCCTCAATGTAGATTGAAAACTCATTTGTTTATAACTGCATTCGTGTTTAGTTTTTTGTCCTTCCCCTGCACCTCCGATTAGCACGGTTGGCTACGTACGGTGTGAAATAACTTCAACATACACGCACACACACATTCTCTACAACACCGCGATTGATTATTATTATTATTATTTTGCGTTGCACGACACATTGGGCCCGTTCTGTGACCTCCTACCAGCGAGACCTTTGCCTCTTCACGCGGCCCTGAAAAAGCGCACCTAGCCTGGCACGGGGCGCCGTCACCGATTCTACGCTGCGCATGTCGTTGCAGGGTATCTGGTTCTTCACGGGGTGCAGTTCCTGCTGATGCTGTTGATTGCCTACGGCTTCGTGCTGCCCATAATGAGCGGCAGAGGCCTGCAGATGCTGCAGGGATTAGGAATATCCTTGTACGCGACGGACGCATGCGTACACACCTGCGTACACGCATACGTACAGACATACGTACAGACGTGCTTGCACACATGCTTACGCACATACATGCGAGTGTCACCACAGCAAGAAGGGCCTGGGTTCGATTCCCGGCTCGGGCGCCTTTCTGCGTTGGGTTTGCATCTTCTCTCCCGCTGTTCTGCGTGGGTTTCCTTTGGCTTCTCCAGTTTCCTCCCATAGCGAACAAAAAAAACATGCAATGTAACTTGAAATGGGGCAAAAACATCCCAATGCTGAAAAATTACCGGCGTGTGACTCGATTGGGATAACGCTCAGCAGCATTCACCCCCCCCCCCCCCTGCCCAAAGTTGGCACGACACTCCTGGAACGAAGTCTTGAGGCTCGGCGAGACTCTCCCGGGTAGACAAACGCAGCATTGCCAATGGCAAGACAAACAAATGTGCACGCAACCCGAAAATCACGTTTGTGTAGAGAGAGAGAGCTGTCGAGCACAGCCGGCGAAAACCTACTGGCTCGGCGGTTAACCCAAGTTCCTCTTCCCCCCCGTCCGCTCTTTCAGACTGAGCATTTTCCTCGTCATCGGAGTCATCGTGGTTCAAGTGATCATCTCGGACGTGTGCTTCCTGCAGCCCAAGATCAACGCAGAGGACTCCTCTCGCCCCCTGGCCCTCAACAACATGTGCGTCTTCGCTGTCGCTCACTTAACGGACTACCTGGTACCCCTGGCCACAGGAAGGTGGAATTGCCACCACTGTGCCCTGGCGGCCCACCAACGGGAGACGAGCGGTTAATGTCGTTCGGCGTCCGTGCGACGAGCGTCGACGCAGCCGCTTTAAAATCGATCCTTTCGCTCCAGACGCATGCGTTGAATCGTCGGTGTAAGGGTTCGCTATGATTAATGCAAAATTGTGAGCAAAGAACAGGATATGATCAGATATGATCACATCACCCATATCTCTGAAGATAACCACGGTGGCGAGATGTTAACTCCCTCGCCGTTGTATACAGGAGGTCGTGTGTTCCATCACTACCCTGACACCTGAATATTTGAAGTTTGCATGTTCTCCCCGTGGTCGCGTGGATTTTTCTCCGTGTCCTCTTGGTTTTTCTTCCGCATTTTGCAATCAACATCACGCGTTTAGAGTAATTTGCTGCTATCATTCGTGGTAGCAGTTGGGCACGCTGCGCTATGAGCTGCGGTGACCCGAGATCGATTCCCGCTCACGGACAACACCGGTGACGATGATCTAAACCAGTCCTAGGCCTCCCCTAGGTCGACTCGGCCTCAAATGAGTAACTGGTATGAAGCGTAATCATCGCCACTGGGGAAACAAAAACGGTTGGGCATCGTGCTGGCCACTCACCCCATCGTGCACCGTGCCGGCCTTTGTGGGCGCTCGCTAACAGCACTTGCCCCAACAGTTTATTGAGGCTATACGGGAGGGGGGGATATTTATCTTTGTGCGTGTGTGTGTGCGCGCGTTGCAGTCGCGCCTTTCTCAACTTCAGCTACTTCTTCTTCTTCTACGACGTCATGCTGGGCATGGGCGCCTGCATCGTGCGCCTGCTCTTCGGCGCGACCATCGGCGCCTGCCTCGTCGCCCGCATCGACCGCACGATCATGCCGCGCGGCTACGAGGTCGTCGACATGGGTGCGTCGTCGCGCGTCGGTTTACACCACCCCCTTCAACGGAGTCGCCCGACGCCGCGTGCCTGCGTGTTCAAAGAAGAAGGACAGGGCACGGGCGGAGGAGGAGGTTGTAGAAGGGAACCCGGCCGGGACCGACAGCTTGGGACGGCCCGGCGACGAGGCTCCAGGACGAGCGACGCGCTGCAAGTCGTTCGGTGGCACCGGGGCAGGCTCGGCACGTCGGTAACGGCGCGAGTTCGTTCACGGGGAGTGAACGAACGCGCGCGTCGAGCGTAGCCGACGTATTGCGCGACATCCCTTCTGCACGGCCGCGCAATCAGAGAGGCCGGAGAGATCTTACGTGGATATATGTGTAGCGCCTCATTCGAAAGGCGCTTTACAAAAATTGATAAAAAATTGCGGAGTGAATAATGCGGTAGGGAGACTGCACCGTATACATCACGGGAGCCCTGACGATAAAATGTCATGAGTTCACTTGCTCGGGTTACTCCGGTTTAATCACGGGCGGCTGAAATCGGGATTACAAACCCAGTGATTGTAAATGTCACCACATCTGCCCCTCTATTTAAGGAACGAAACGGGAGGATTTCTCCACAATTCTGGCTGTTGCCTGATGAAGCTAGTTGTAATTACTGGCGAAACGTCGTACTCAGATTGTAAATGTTCTGGCTTTGCTCTCCAACACACCGGTGTGCTCTACTCTTAACGAATTGGCACGTTCTGTTCACGTGACAAACCTGGCTGTGTCGGGTGGTGGCGGGTTTAACGACACATTTATATTTACACGATCTAACCCCCAACCCCCAAGAAACCCCTGTATTATGGATGATATCGGTCGCGAAAGCTTCCTACGTGTTAACCAAACCCATGGCTCTCAGCAGCTCCGGCTCGGCACTGACCTCCTCCCCCCCGTCCGGAGCCACCCCGGCTCCCTCTGGACTGTCCCGTATGCGTGTCGCCCTGTGCGAGCAGGGTACTCCACGTGGATCGGCATGCTGCACATGGACCTGTACCACTCGCACCCGGTCCTGCTGGCATTCTGCACGTTGCTGTTGGACGGCTGCCACTGCTCCACGGGAACGCTGCCCAACGGAGGTAAACGCCGTCCGTTACGGCTCCGGAGCCTTTCACGAGGTTTGCGGTTGGGTAATCGCGCGCAGATTTCACTCAAGCTATGTATGTTTTGTTGAGCTTTGTTCGCACCGTACATAGCCAACCGTGCTAATCGTAGGTGCGGGGAAAGGACAACAATCTAAAACTATTATAAAACTATAGACTATTTTTATTTGACCAGGTAAGCTATATAGCTCTTTTTCAGAAGCTGTGTGTGTGTATATTCACCATAACAAGATGCGCTGTATGTAGTTACAATACTTAACCAAGACAAATATCCTCCATATAGCTTTAACAGGCTGTTAGCGAGCACCTATGAAGGCCGGCACAGGACACGAGAGGGAGGGTGGCCAGCACTACGCCTGGCCGCCTTTGTCCCCCCAGTGGCGATGTTTACACACCGCACCAGGTACTCATTTGAAGTCAAGTCGACTTAAGCGACGCCCTGGACCGGTTCTTATATTCGTTACCAATGTTGGCCGTGACCAGAAATCAAACTCGGGCCGTTGGGTTCGTAGCGTAGCGCGGTAACCGCTACACCACCGCTCCCCCACCACTGTAGACACACAAGTACACACACACACACACCAATTACAAAACAACGCACGCGCGCGGACGCTCCAATCACACGCGTAAACCCACATTCACCCGCACGCGCCCCAGGCACGTTCGACAACAGCAGCAGCGGCAACGGCAGCGGCAGCGGCAGCAGCGTCGGCACCAGCGCCGCATCCAAGCGGCCCCGCATTTCGCGCGCTCGCATCCGCTGGCTGCTGCTGCGCACGCTGCTCAACAACCCTCGCCTCATCGAGCAACGCAAGCGGCGCTCCGACGACTCGGCTCTCCCTCCTCCTCCGCCTGCTCCGCCTCCTCCGAGCGACGACGGCGCCGCCGCCGCCGCGCCGCCGACCCCCGGCAGCCCCCGACGGGAGACGCTGGAGCGGGCGACGGTGGCCAACGTGCGCTCCAAGGAGCTGATGCGCCGCGCCGAGGAGAGCCGCCGCGAGGAACTGCGCCGCGCCGCCCGGAGACCGACGCCCATCGCGGGCACGGCCGACGACGAGCTGGCCCTGCCGCCGCCGCCACGGCCGCGGCCGCCGGCGGCGCCTCGCGACGCGGCCCGGTCTCTGCCGCGGCAAACGGGGAGCGTGGCGGCGGCCGCGGAGGCCGCGGCGGCCGCGGCGGCGGCGGGAAGAGGGAAAGATCCCAAATGGGAGTCGACGCTGCTGGATTTGAACGAGTACGAATTTGACGCGTGAGGAAGACGCGCGAAGGGGTGCAGACTCGTGTGCACCGGCGACGGAACGCGCCTCGCACTACCGCCCACCATGGCGACCATTGCAACGTCTCCGGGTCACGCTGGGCGTGCCTCGTTGTAAGGGGCGGCGGGGGGGGGGTTGGGGGGTTCCCACGTTCGGGAGGTGAAACGTTGGCACGACCGACATTTTTAAAAAATGGGGCAGCGAGTAATCAGTCTTACAAAAATGTAGTCAATTTGTCGTCTTTTTATTGTCCGGCGAATCCACCGAATCAACTCGGCGTCCCAGCGCTAGATGGTTTGCGTGATCGTGGGGGAGCGGGGAGACAGAAGAAGGGGAGGAGGGCTGTGGATGTTAAACTATGGGACGCTGCTGTTCTCTGTCAAGCTGCGGGGAGCAAGCCATATTCTGTACCCCCCCCCCCCCCCTTTGATCAATAGCCGCCATGGGTCCCCTTGGATTCTTTTTTGGATGTAATATAATCAGCCATACTTAACAATACACCTGTTCATATTGGCAATATTGTTAATTTTTTTATTTTGTCTATACCTCCGCTGACGCGTTCTGTTCTGCCATTGCTTGTTGCTCCGTATGGATCACTTTGTTGTTGTTGCTCGATGTGACTTTCTCTGTTCACGAGGGTTCCGGTTAACGAGTCAATTAAATTACTCGATACTCTGGTAACGAACGCAGGTTTAGCCAAAGATATCCCACGACTTGCCGAACATGGTCTAAAGAACACCTACTTCTTGTGGAGAGGTGACTTCTATAAACAAAAGGAAGGGGCAGCAATGGGCTCTCCTTTGTCTCCTATGATAGAAAATTTTCACATAGAAGATGTTGAAGCAAAATCAATAGCTTCAAGCACACTAAAACCCTCTGCTTGGTTTAGATATGTGGATGACATTGGTGATTTGGCCACACGGCAAAGATATAATTAACGAATTTCTAAATCATCTCAACTCGCAAAACCCATCCATCCAGTTCACCATGGAAGTGGAAGCTGACAGAATTCTACCATTTCTGAATATTCTGCTCGGGCGCGGTCGAAATGGTAAAATAACACAGCGTTTACTGCACACTGACGCCTATCTGAATGCAGTCACACCACCACCCAACACAGAAATCCGCCCTCATTAAGACGCTCATACATCGGGCTAAGAAAGTGTCAGATGGTGAAAGTCTGAGAAGTTAAATTAAACATGTTAAAGAAGCGCTGCAATTGAATGGTTACAATGATGCACAAATCGACAGGGCATTGAATGCCAAAACCAAATCAAATAACACGAGCTTATAAACTGACCAAGTAATAAAAACTATTTAAAAAATACCGTACTTTGCGGGAGTAACTGATACACTAGCTAGATGTCTGGAAAAACAAAACATCCGAGTCAGCACGGTACATAAAATACAGAAATTAATATCTGGTACAAAACATGTATTACCGAAGCTATCAACAGATGGTGTACAGGATTAATTGCACTTGTGGCAAATGCTGTTGGCAAATAGGACGAATGATCAGCACGAGACTAAAAGAACACCAAATAAATATTAAATACTCCCAATACAGCTGTCGGCAGTGGCAGAACACTCGTGCCAAACAAGGACACTCAACTGATTTTGATAATCATGGGACCTCCCTTGCCAGTACCAAAAATAAGAATAAATTGTACCCTTTCTGGCATTAAATAGGTGTTAAGATGTTAAAACACAAAACATAAACCGTTTGTAAGGAACCATGTTTGCATTAACCACATATATGCATTAACCACATAATGCAGACATGATTCCTTTGTTTGGTGTTTTAACATCTCATGAGGCCTCCTTTGCCAGTACCAAAATATGATACTAGGTTTTTTCCCCTTTTTTCTGGCAACAAAACTGAAACCTTTTTACAAGGAATCATGTTTACATTAACCACAATACTTGTGGTCAGAATGCAAACAAAAAAACACACTGATAATGTGTGCATTGTCCTTGAAATTGATTGGTCCACACGAGAGACGTGCGCACGTGCGCCTTTTGGCGTCATCTGGTCGAACACGTGTGACTTTTAGCGTCATCTGGTGCGCCGTTTGGCGTCATCTGGTCGAACACCGTATAAGACTAGATGCTAAGGAAAGCTGTTTCTGGTGTGGACCAATCATTTTCAAGGACAATGCATACATTATCAGAGTGTGTTTTTTGTTTGCATTCTGACCGCAGGTATTGTGGTTAATGTAAACATGATTCCTTGTAAAAAGGTTTCAGTTTTGTTGCCAGAAAAAGGGGAAAAAAACCCGTTATTTTCTTAACACCTGTTTTATTGCCAGAAATGGTAAAACCTATTCTTATACGATTTTGATAATGCTGAATTTCTGTGCAAAACTAGTTACTACCGGCCAATACTAATTATAGAATCATTCGAATTTGAGAGAATCAATTAATAACTTTAATCGTTCGACTTAATCGTTCGACATAATGCGTCTTGGAAGCGAATGATCAAATAATATGCTTTAATGCATGCCTATACGGGTCACCATACTTCAATAGGGACTACCGTTATAACGGGTACGGATATTTTTAGCCTACAGTCGACAGGAGGTACAAGAATAATGGGCTTGCATAATGCACATGCATAATGTACATTAATGGCCATATAAATAACCCTACCGGCTATGGATACCCATTGTTATTTATATATTCATTATCCACCACCACTCCGCGCAAGGACACACAAGTGACGTCACCACATCTGCCCCTCTATTTAAGGAACGAAACGGGAGGATTTCTCCACAAATCTGGCTGTTGCCTGATGAAGCTAGTTGTAATTACTGGCGAAACGTCGTACTCAGATTGTAAATGTTCTGACTTTGCTCTCCAACACACCGGTGTGCTGTACCAGTGACGAATAGGCCACGTTCTGTTTACGTGACAAACCTTACTAATTGGCTGTGTCGGGTGGTGGCGGGTTTAACGACACTTTTATTAATTTACGCGATCTAACCCAAAAAACCCATTATGCTCTCCTGCGCTAATCCACCACGGATCTCCTTTGAAATCTAGCTGGGTAACTGGCTACACAGGACTTTCTCTGTAATAGATAAACATTGATTAATTGGATGCTTCACAGATGGCTGTGTTGCGACTGTGTGCGCGCGTGTGTTCTGCAACAAAACACTTCATTGTTCTAGAGAAGACAGGGCCTTAGGATTTTCATTAAAAAATGCCTCTTGCTCACTCTGGTTGCCTTATTTGTAGGAGTAATGATTGAATTGGAAAGCGGAGGTGACCGGGAAGCTTCGGGGACACAGACAAGGGCCAGTTCAACCGCTGAGCCAGCTTCACTGAGATCCTCGGTTCGAATCTGGGTTTCAGCCGCCCGTGGCGACATTCGGTCCTCAAAGCGGAGCGAGTTGACATTCTCAAACCTGGTCACCAATGACTGCAGAACAAAAAAGCCATCATTAAATGGAGGTTTCTATATTTTGGGTGAATAAGCGCAGCCCACGTTGTGTATATATGAAAACGACTTGAATGATTTTTCTGAGGTTCTGTAAAAATCCGTTGTGGGTCACAAGTTCCCAGTGACTTGACGCAGAGACTCATAGACTCACATAGAGACCCACAGATTCACTGAGACCCATAAACTCACACAGATTCCCACAAAGACCCATAGACACACAGACCAACAGATTCACACAGAGACACACAGACCCACGGATTGCTAATTAGGGGTCGTCCGCTCCGAGTGTTGATCATTTTGGATTGTCGAACTCAGCCACTCTTCACCAGACAGCGAGGGAGCGCCGTCTCGCGTTGGGTGAGAGGCCTATTGAAGAGGCTCCTTTGGACGTGGGTCCTATTGAAGAGGCTCCCAGTGGCCCCTCTTGATGTGGCTCCTTTTGAACAAGATCTGTTGACATGGCTCCTAGTGACGTGGAAGTAGCACGTGCGTTTATAAGCGTTATAGACTGTAAAGTTGCAGTAATTGGAAGATGTACGCAGGGCAGGCTTACGTTGAGTGAACTGCCGCTCAAGGAGATGTGCCAAAGAACAAGATTATTTTATATGCATTCATCTTTTTTTTGCATAAAAATACTGAATGTTTTATTTGCGACAAACCTATATCACGAGAATTGTGATTTCGTGAAAATGTCGTGGACAGTATTGCGAGAAAAAATATATATCGTGGCAACCCTGCCATAAATTAACGTGGCAGAATTGTCGCTAATTGTTTTTTTTATTCCGTGAAAATGCGTGTCGGTACTCGCAGCCAATCAGGCGTCGTATGCTTGATCACGCATCTTGTTCTTAACGAATCTAAATTGTCGGCTTTCTAATGCCATTATTGGCGGTTTTTTAAATTACAACTACAAAAACAGGTCCCTGCAGGGTGGGCTGGTAGGAACATTGGAATTTTGCGCAATTTTATAAGACATATCAAGTCTCTGCGCTGTCTATTGCTGATTTTACACCCAACAGCACGAGATTTCACTTCGTTAAAGTATTGAAAGGGGACGGACGGACACATTAATCTATTGCAGGCTGGTACACTCAGTTTACAACTTCGTTCCTACCAGTATAACGTTTCTTGTTTTCCAAAAACGATACATGTATGCACGTGTGTACGTTGAACTTCTTGTGCACCGAACGTTGCCAACCGTGCTCATCGGAAAGAAGAAAATGAACACGTACAAACCAAGTGACCACAACTTCATTTCCACGATCATGTACATACTAAATCCGTGTATTTTTTTCAATTACATAACGCAATTGTGCGGGAAAAAGGGTCCGGGCAGTTATGTAAAAATGTAAACAATACCACCGCAAATAATAAAAAAACTATTTTTAAAAACAGTTTAATTTTATTAGTTTAGCTTCATAAGATATCTCTTTAGCACATCAATATTCCTACCACCATCATTACCTATGCTTTGCAATGGTTTCAAATGAGTTCCGTGTCGCTGTGATTGTTGTGCTCGACTCGCAATCAGATCGCGAGTTCGAATCCCGATTTGGGATCAACTCATCCCATAACTCCCCCGGGGTTGTAAAAAAATAACACCGCGTTGTGTGAAGTTCACGGCATTCATCAGAGGGATAAATTTCCCCCCTGCCATGGCAATGCAGAATTTCAACCACTGGCCTTGCTGTCACTTCGACTGACCGCCGCTCACTTCAGTTTATAAACCATTGGCTTATGACACAGCCGGACAATGTACAACTCTTACGAACGTGGCTGTTCTCAAGATTGTTTGTGCTCACGAGCTCGTCGCAAACACATTCCTGCGGAGGGAGCTGGTAGGAACGTTGGGTTGCTCGGTCAATGGCCAGGGTCAACGGCGGCACCACGTGGTGTATTCCGCAAATATGCCCGACTGTGAGGGCGGGCACAATCCGGCGTGAGTAGGTTAAACGTTGAGTTTTATAAGGGCACCACGGGGTGACCAGCCCCTCTCCACTCAGCCCCTCCCCACCCTCCCCTCTCCACCCAGTCCCACCCCTCCCATTTTTGGATGCACGACGGACGGACACAATAATCCCGTGGGCTGGTGTAACCAGAGGTTCCTACAAGTATAACCACCGGCGTAGCAGAGGTGTGGATGATACGCTACTGAAGAGGGGGGGGGGACCTCATAACTAGTTCTGTGTCGTCGTTTTCCGAGGTCGTTCTCTCACACGAGGTGACGTCAGGCTGAGAGTCAAGAGCTCCCAGTAGAAATACACAGGGTGCTTAAAATGTTTTTTTTTTAACACTTCTGACAATTTGCAACAACACCACAAGAAATGTTCTGCTGCCTCCGGGCTCTGGAGACCACCTGGAGAAGATCACAGGCCACGCGTTGGCAACGATGGCGAACAAGTGGAGACTCTTTGACTTTTTGAAGCTATTAACATTACATTTGTTATCATGTTACAGTGCGTTATCCGTTCTTTTTCCATTAAAAACGATAGTTCCATACAAGTGTTAAAACAAAATTTGAAGCACCCTGTGTCTTCCACAAGTCACACGATGCCAATAGCACAATTGCAATATGACCGGCAGAAAAAAACACACCTCCAACAAAGTATTTGAAAATCCACGGAGATGGCTGTGGCAGGAATTGAAGCATCGACTCTGCTTACTCGTTGCTCAGCAGTGAGCATGCTAACAATCGAGCAGCATTTTGAGCGGTATTTTCCCGGGATGTCTCACAAGCGAACATGGCAGGTGGCAGTTAACCCTCTCCCGTTGCGAGGCGACTGCAAGTTGCAGGGTGGCGTGTTCCGTTCACCGCTGAATCTCGGAACGCGCAAGCGCCACCGTTGTTTTTAAAGACATTGTTACTCACCGTGGAGAACCGTAGCAACACGACTGCACTCGACGAATGCCGGCGCCGAACTGTGCCACATGCCCTCCCGCATGGCCTTGTGGGAGCTTCAGTACCGATAAAGTAAATTATATTTTTCTTCCGGTTACATTCCAGTGACGTACACGTACGTACACATACGTCACCAGGACGGGACAGGGTTAAGTGTTGTATATACGATTCTGCAGAATAAAGGCTGCGCATGATGGGACGTGTGTGCAGGATGGGCGTAGGGGCCGTTACAGAGAGAGGCATTGGCGTGGTCGCTACGAGCCCGGCCATCCTCGGGAAAATCAGACGGCAGACGGCGAGATACCATGGAAGTCGCGCATCTACTGCGCAACAGCTGTGGCATCTGGCGGAGCGGAAGGAAGCGTCGGTGGTGGCACCATCGGCTTCGGCCGTGATATCTTGATCTTGATGCCGACCAAAAAAAAAAAACAAGATGTTTCTGGCAGTGATTCACGCCTTCTCTCCCCGAACGTCCAACCTGTAAATAACGATGCGACCGAACAGATCCGTGGAGCTGCAGAGAATCAGCTTGAGCTTGTGGATGGGTTCACTTGGGGGCACTTGGAACACGTGGATGAGAGACTGTTAAGTCAAAAAGAAACAGTGAAGTTGACCGCACACGAGTTCAGAAACAACTGCATCGTATGCACACAACACAAAGATCCCCCGTACAGCTTTTAAAAGACTGTTGGGGCAAGTGCTGTTAGCGAGCACCTATGAAGGCCGGCACGGCACACAAGGGGAAGGGTTGCCAGCATCACACACGGCCAGCTTTGTCTCCCCAGTGGCAATGTTTACACACCGCACCAGGTACTCATTTGAGGCCGAGTCAACCTAGGGGAGGCCCAGAACCGGTTCAGATAATCGTCACTGGTGTTGGCCGTTAGCGGGAATCGAACTCGGTTCACCGCAGTTCTTAGCGCAGCGTGCCCAACTGCTACACTACTGCTCCCCACACACACACAATCACACATACAACTGCCATTCAACACTAAAATGGCTATGATATCACCACAGTGCTTGTGCCAGGGTCATTTGCACCTTTACGGTCACATGAATGGTGAAGGGTCACAAGCATGAGGTCACGTGACACGCCCAGGTGTTATGGATGAGATGACGGGAAAATGCCCCACTGTGCCACCTTTCTGTATTGCAGTGGCCCGGTTTTATGCTCATTGTTGTTCCTCCGTCTCCCAATAGAGGGCGACTGCTTCCAACTGCCCGGTAGCGTCCTTCACGAGCTTCATCCACAGAGGCCGATCTTGACGCCACTGGTACCAGTTGTCGGCAAGTCCACTCAGTACCAAGTCATCCTGTAGCACATCAGCCCATTTCTTCCCTAGGCCCATGACGCACCGGGCTAACGAAGGCTGGACACGTGGGCTACAATAAACAACCAATGCATCCTCACCTGCTGTAGGATATCAGTGTCCAGATGTCTAAAGTATCTCCGAGCTACTCGCATAATCCGTCCTGGTTAAATGTAGGTTGGATTGAAGTTATGACCAACATCAAAGTCAAAGACCCCCCAATTAGCCGTATTTATATGAGTTAAGTGTTGTTGGCGAGCGTCCATGGAAAACTGGCGCGGCAAAGTGGACGGTGTGGCCAGCACAACGCGTGGCTGCCTTCGACTCCCCAGGGCTGATGTTCACAGGGTACAACGATAGCAAAGAAGTGTGCAAACCACTGCATCACCTCTCCACACACTCTCACGTGTCCATCGTAAATGTATGGAGAGTAGAAACGTTGGACGATCTGATACACGGTATGCAAGGATATTTGCGTAGAATTGACGTCTTCCGGGTAAAACTCCATCAGGGTCTTTGACGGGTCGTCTTTAACAAAACCTGCAAGCGATGCAGACAAACGATCGATATCACGGGGTCAATCACAGCCAACACCTACTGCTGATGCCAACTTTGCAGCCTTGCTTGTACAATGTGAGACTATTAAACTTTTTTTATTCTATCAGGTATGGGCCCACTGAGCTATACAGCTCTTTTTTATCCTGGCCACATATGACAGCTCAACTTAGTGGTTTATCACGTAGACATTGCTAGCACTCAAATCACGTTGATTTTAAATGTGGAGGGACCGGGAGAAAAATCCACGTGACCATGGGTAAAGAGACATGAAAACTCCAAATATACATGCATCAGGGTCGGGATTGAACCCACGATCTCCTGTATACCAGGCGAGGTAGTTAACATCTCACCACCGTGGGGCCCTTCATTATCTGCCATTTATTTTCACTGGGTGTTATGACGACTATTCCGCCAGCAAATCTGAGATGGTTGACGTTTTCTTTATATTTAAAAAAATGTTTACGCGTTCGTTTCGTTTCTGCAGTCCAATTTTTACGTAGCATATTCTCATGTTGCTGCGAACAGCCTTGGCGACAGCATACATCTTCCCAGCCAAACTCCTCTTGTGATTTCTATTGTCACTTCGTGCAACCTCGGTGGTGTAGTGATCACACGTTCACAAGTGGTTCTTGGGCATTTATATATTTATGAACACAAAAATATGCGTGCACTGCAGTTTTTAACGCCTTTCAACGGACCTAAAAAGCATTGTTTTTATACTTCAGCTCCGGTTAGCCATGAAGCCGTGGAAGAAAGGACTATAAATCTGGTAAAGATGATCCAATACAAACTAAACTTTTGCACAACATCGTTTCAATATTGGGTGCCATTGGTTACTCGCCCTTTAGGAAATCGGCCAAATTGACCAAAGGGCTGCCCAAAACTTTGGAGACACAAAGCAGAGCAAAAATAAAATTGATGGGTGTGCTAAGATGCAGAAAATCAACATGAGCTTGTGGATGGGGTTCACTTGGGGGCAATTTGGCCCGTCCGCACCATCCATATTAGCACGGCTGGTCACGTACTGCCCGAAAGAAGTTAAACGTACGTACACGCATCTAACTTGCTGCATCGATGTGCTATGAAGGGCCATTGCCTAAAGCGCTACCTATTATATATGTGTGTGTATGCAGTCTGTTCTATAACACCGCGTGTTTTCATAACGCGAATTGGATATAACGCGATTGAGTGAAAGGGACTACATCGTGCGAGTAGGAATGAGCGGTCGTACGGCTGCCTCGGCGTAGCATCACATAAGGCGGGATGCTGCTGGATGCTTCCAGACGCTACCCACTGCGACTCAAGTTTTTGTTCGGCCTGTGTATGCATCTCGCGTGTTTTCCCAGACTCCGCTTTACCCTATATTATTTATTATAAAGCGATTTTTCCCATGACGCGGTGTTCTTCCGGAACGCAACCACCACCGCGTTACAGGAGAACAGAGTGTATAACCCCTCTAACGGCAGTGTCACTGACCAATCTGGTAGCGTTTTAGTCATCTTGAAGCGGGCATTGTTTAGTTACCGTGAAGCAGGCATTGTTTTTAGTTACCTTGAAGCAGGCATTGTTTTAGTTACCTTGAAGCAGGCATTGTTTTAGTTACCTTGAAGCAGGCATTGTTTTAGTTACCTTGAAGCAGGCATTGTTTTAGTTACCTTGAAGCAGGCATTGTTTTAGTTACCTTGAAGCAGGCATTGTTTTAGTTACCTTGAAGCAGGCATTGTTTTAGTTACCTTGAAGCAGGCATTGTTTTAGTTACCTTGAAGCAGGCATTGTTTTAGTTACCTTGAAGCAGGCATTGTTTAGTTACCTTGAAGCAGGCATTGTTTTAGTTACCTTGAAGCAGGCATTGTTTAGTTACCTTGAAGCAGGCATTGTTTTAGTTACCTTGAAGCAGGCATTGTTTTAGTTACCTTGAAGCAGGCAATGTTTTAGTTACCTTGAAGCAGGCAATGTTTTCCAGAGAAACCACCCTGGAACTGAACGTGGAGCTCGCTCACTCGCACAGGCTGCGGGAAGTCCACGCTCACCCACTGGGGGGCACCCTTGTTCAACACAAAGACAAAGATCCCCCGTATAGCCTTAACCAGACTGTTGGGGCAAGTGCTGTTAGTGAGCACCTATGAAGGTCGGCACGGCACACGCCCGGCCGCATATTTCTCCACAGTGGCGATGTTTACACACCGCACCAGGTACTCATTTGAGGCTGAATCGACCTAGGGGAGGCCTCGGACCGGTTCGGATAATCGTCACTGGTGTTGGCCGTGAGCGGAAATCGAACTCGGATTGCTGGGGTTTGTAGCGCAGTGCGCTAACCGCTGCACACACATTCCTCCCTCTTATTCACAAACAAGGCAATCAATGTACACAACATAATCCTAAGCGTCATCACGGAGAATATAAGTAACACAATATACAATATGCCTCCTTTCGTTATGCGTTCCTCAACATACAAACATTTTTTTCCTACACATCCCATGTGTTATTCAACTTTTTTTTAACAAATGTCAATTAGGGGCAGGAAGGTCAGAAAGTTTCAACACTTGTATATTCTTGGTTCTTTCGGGAAAGTCACGTAGAAGGGGAACAATAAAATAATAAAAATATATTTCTGATTATTAAAAATATGTTTTTATTTTATTTTGTATTATTAAAAATATATTTTTTATTAATTTATTGTTTCCCTTCTACGTGACTTTACCGAAAGAACCAAGAATATGAGTCCCTGCAGTCACGAAAGCTTTAAATCAAAACACTTGTATACTTGGATTATATTATAGAGGCGAGGGCGGGTGACCTCTGTGATATTGTAACCTTAATAACGTTCGTTGTGGTGTCAATTGGTGGGGGGGATGAGCTGTCACATTAAAACAGTTGAGAACCATTGCTCTAGCTCAGAGGTTGGCAACCAAGATAACAATAAGGGCCATTTTTTTTATTTGGTAAAAAAAAACCTCAATATTTCTAGAGCCGCAATGCACTGTGGTGAATGCGAGACGGTGGTCCTTGATAAATAACATGACAAAGCGGTCGTTTATGAGCCGCATGCGGCTCTGGAGCCCCAGGTTGCTGACCCCTGCCCATGGTGAACTGGACTCCCATGGTGAACTGGACTCCCATCATGAACTGGACTCCCATGGTGAACTGGACTCCCATGGTGAACTGGACTCCCATGGTGAACTGAACTCTCATGGTGAACTGGACTCCCATGGTGAACTGGATTCCCATGGTGAACTGGACTCCCATCATGAACTGGTCTCCCATGGTGAACTGGACTCCCATGGTGAACTGAACTCTCATGGTGAACTGGACTCCCATGGTGAAATGGACTCCCATGGTGAATTGGTCTTCCATGGTGAACTGTACTCCCATGGTGAACTGGACTCCCATGGTGAACTGGACTCCCATGGTGAACTGGACTCCCATGGTGAACTGGACTCCCATGGTAAACTGGACATCCATGGTGAACTGGACTCCCAAGGCAAACTGTACTCCCATGGTGAACTGGACTCCCATGGTCAGGGGTGGGCAACCAACATAACAAGAAGATACTTTTTTTTCTCGAATTTCAAGAGCCCGCACCGCAGTCCTTAAAGGAGCCGGCGGGTTTCCGACCGCTGGCTCTCGCTGCTCCAGCGAGTGCAGTGTCGACGCATGGTCGTGGTGCAGTGATTTGTGAAGACCTGGTCCGAGTTCCAGCACGTTTCTTCGTTGCCGTCGAACAGATGCTTCTTGCCGAACTGTTTCCCGTCTCGATTCAGGACGGAGCTCACCCTGATTAGGGACACAGAGACAAAGATCCCCCAACACCCCACCGTATAGCCTTCAACGGATGTCGGGGCAAGTGCAGTTGGCGAGCGCATACGAAGAACCGTGCGTAACGGCACACGAGGGGGGGGGGAGGTAGCTTAGGGTTTAGCAGCAACGCCCGGCCGCCTTTGTCTCCTGAGTGTTGATATTTACACACCGCGCCAGGTACTAATTTAAGTCTGAGTCGACCTAGGGGAGGCCCAGCATTGGTTAATGGGATAGATTTTCTATGCCACCCTAATGATCACAAGTCCTAATGCACTAATAGAAAATACAGTGGCCCTCAAAGGAACAATATAAACAGGCGGATTAATAGCAAAAGTGAAACCTTCCTGATTATACATGCCAGTTCACAACTTTATATTTTAATGGTTTCCCCTTACCTGTTTATGAAGTTCATAGTTCCGTTTGCTAAAGCCTCGTAATTTTTACCCGTACAGAATTACAGCCTTTGTCAATCCACTCCATCCAAAAGTTCTGCGCAAAATGTTCGACCACGTACCAACAACGTTGGCTCAACGTTGGCATGAAGGGAAGGCATGGGAACAGGACTGGTTTAGGACATTATTCGCCAATGATGACAGCCATGGCTTGGAATCGAACTCTGGTTGCCTGGGTTCACAGCGCAGTGCGCTAAGCCCGCACCTCCGATGAGCACAGTTGGCTAAGGTATGGTGCGAAAGAAGCTCAACATACGGTACATAACATAAATCATTGCGAGATCGCAACAACAATGTAGTAAAACATTATGTAGCAGAATAACAAAGTTGTACGGCAGTCAAAACGTTAATATCACTGTCAATGTGCAACTCAAGTCGCATATATTTTAAAGTTCAAATGTCCCCATGCTTAAACCGCCGGGGACCTTGAGCCAGTGGTGGAAATTCCACATCCCTATGGCAGGGGCCAGTTTAGACCGTCATCGCACACTCACGCGGATTACCGGGCGATTTGGTGTATATAGTTGCTCGTTTTAATAAACATGCTGCGATACAATTAATAAAAGAAAACCGCGCGTGTATTTATTAATTTATGTATTACCGGCACGATGTGCTTTCGCAAACCAGTGAAGCCGTCATGCCAGCCACGTGCAGTTGTACCCGGGCGCGCTTCCGCGATCATTAACATAATTTATGTTAGTTACATGCTAATGAGGGGGGAGTCGCGGTGCAAAAGCATTGCAGCTCGCGACGCTCTTTATGTTAATCATATGATAACTAATTCATAATACGAGCGCGCACGTTACGTACGCGCGCTCGACCAATGAGAAGCCACCCCCTCTCCGATCTGTTGTACACATTCTAAAGCCGCGATCCCTGTACCATCTATGAAATGTGATACGTACAGTTAATTAAACCTTAATGATATAGCCCTGTCTTTATTTATGAACTGTGCGTTTTAACAGCGGGTACCGCATCGCCGTGACGGGCTTTGCGATGTTAACACACTAACATTTAACGAAGGCACATTTGATGAGTGTAAAGTATCACGAATTGCAACATTAATTGTTGTAATTAATGATATTTACATGCGTTGTCATTTATACCGTACTGACGACAATGCCAAGTGAATTTTGTAGCACTGTAAAATACTCTACAGCAGTACTTGGTGTACTGTAGTGGAACATGTTAACAGCTACTGATGTAGGAAATGTATTTGACCTTTTTTTTCCTCTTGCATGAAAAACATGTCACGCGAATTAAAAATATATATTTAACATCAATTTGCGGCCGGCCCAGTATACATTGATAAAACGTCGTTAACATAAAATCGCGTGGGTTTGCGAGAAACGTATTAACAACGTTTGCACGCTGCCGAAGGCTGCCGACAATATTACCGTTTATTATGAATGAATTACCGTTGTCAAACGTAGGTTAAATTGCCTCTTTGCCGGCTAAACACATTGCTCTCGTCACGGCGAGAACAACAACAACAACCCTGTTCATCTAGGAACGGCGAAACACCACCCCACACCACCCACCCACCGTCCAATTTAAACGCCGACGATTCCGACCTCCCTCAACCCCGCCCTTGTCGGATATTTCCCACAAAAACTCCGAGCAATCACGGGCGGCGACGTTCGAAGAAGTCGTCGCCGAGAGAGAAAGGCGATTTACCATAAAAAAAAAATTTGACGCGCCGCCGCCGCTTGCCTATCCGCTCTGCGCATTGCAATCGCACGGAGAGCCCGGTGCCTATCGGCGGTGGGAAATGCAACCGCGGCGTTCGTATTGAGTTAACGTCGGAGCTGGCCGCGCTGGGTGGGTTTCAAGACGCAATCTTTATAATTTTTTTGTGTGCATCGTTCGTTATTGCGAACACACACACAAAAAAAATAATGTTTAAACAACAAAAAAACGGTCAAGTAATTACTTATTTGATCGCGTCCCCCTTTTTAAAGAGGGGCTCCGTCCGCCGACTGTCGTGTTCCAAGTCCGGTGAGTGTGTGTTTTAAATGTCACGATATATATCATCATGCCCTGTAACAACCACGCATAGACACGATGCATCGGTGGGGTTTGCCTTGTGCGATGTGCCATTGTTATCGTGGCAATGTTGTATGGTGATGTTACGCTTGCGTTTATAATGTTAATTTAGAAACGCTCCGCTTGAGTGGAACACCGGTTTTTATTTAAATTTCAATTTTCTTAGAAAATATAACAGGCTTTTGTTTGAACGTAATCGAAACGGGTTTACATGTAAACGTTACAGCGCTCGTGAATTGACCTACGTTACAGCGTATATATGATTGTGCCAAGCGTGTACACCGATGGGTTCACTCTGTATAGTCACATTGTATGGTTGTTGTTGTTATTATAGTGTACGTGCAGACAGAGCTCTATCCACTGTTGGATGAGAACCCGCACGCACGTGGACGCTGATTTTTGGGCCATCACCACGCGGATCGGGGGCAGCGTAGATTTGGGAGCGGTGCAGTACAACAGGGATTATTCTGAGCTGTACGGTTATAGTATCGTAGTGTGTTTGAAACGTACAAAACGATTGAATCGCGTATATATAGAATATGATAAAAATGTAAATACATTGTGTGTATTGAAGTGGCTTGGTATCCACAGCTGTACACAAGACACTATCACCATAACACGTGCAAGCCTTTGTATAAATCCACTGCTGGATGAAAGTCTCCGCATTACATTTGAGTCGTGGGGATTAGTTTGAACCATACTTCACCAGAGATGATTGTACATACTGTACAGGCAGGTACCCCCTCCCCGCCATAGTAATGTGGAATGTTCAGCTTATTAGATGACGTAACTTGGTTATTTACAATTTATACTGGCCCCATACTATATGTGGTAGAGTATTATTAAGACGGTACAGTACCGTATAGAATATGTACGTATAGAGTGCTTATTTCAGCACACTAATGTGTGCGGTTAACAGTGGCGTTTGAAGGTTTATAGTTGGAATAGTTATTGCTGTAATTATTATTATCACGTTTGGTAACATGTTTCACAATACTTACACGTGAATACACGTTCTACATAATTAAACTGTAGGCGTCCTATGGGCGGGATTGGCACTGCCATAGTAATGTGGAATTTCCAGAGCTAGCTCATGGCCGGCAATGTAATCAATGCCACCCTCATGAAATCCTTTGAGCAGGGAAACTAATCTTAACACACACGTAACTTGTGTATCCTATAAGCGATTACGAGTATTACCAAGTCTAATAGGTAAATTAACAGAAACTCAACACATGAATCCGTAACATTGCCATATTTTTAAAAATATATAAGTAGGCGACGTTTCGGGCAATGACCCTTCATCACAGCACATAAATAGCGAGGCCAGAGAGATGGAGTGAATGAGGGTTGGAGGATTAACTTAACACCATTGGGGACTAATGAGTTACGTTTAAAAATAATGTATATATATTTTCTGATAACCCAGTTTTTAATATATATGCATGAATACTTTAGTTACCTAATAGTAGCTGTTGAGTAACGGACAGACGCATCAACGATCAAAAAGTATCACTACCAAATGCAGCAATTTATACGAGAAGTTACATTATTAAAACGTTTGTTGGTACCGTTGAATTGTGGGAAGGTAATTTCCCGTGAGTTACTGTGCCCAATACGTCTCTGCGATGGGGTTGTGTGTTAATGCCACCATGTTACACCATCACTTCCTTCTGCCAGATCCCACAGATGTTTCACAGTTGACTCCCACTGTTACAGTCCCATCGTCATCCCACGCCGCCATCTGCCTTTAGCTCTTCTCCTTGTGACATTTGTCAACGCGTCCTTCAAGGATCTCACTCTCACAGTCTCATTATAATCTCCACCATCTGGATTTTATGTCTTGCCCTTCGTCACCGACGCGTGGGTGCCGCCACTCCAGTGCCCGTCTCGATCACCTGCCGTCCTCCGCCCTGCACACGAGGCCCCACCAATCGTAAACCTTCTCTACCCCCCTGGTTACATCTTCATTGCAAGGGCCTCGCGGTCCACCGGTGGCCCCTGGTGGCCTTTAGCGTGGCCCCAGACGTGCGGCCCCTGACAATCCACAATATGTGAAGACCCCCCCCCTCCCCCCATCATCATCATCGTGCTGCTGTCATACCCAACAATCGTTTAAAATGTGTGGAGGCCCACACAGACTGATGATGTCTAATTGGCGAAAGTGGCCCACCCTCTGAAAATTAGTGAAGAACACTGCTCTCATGCGCTTTCCTCTCAAGCCCTTTTCCAAGTTTCCAAGTCTTTTTTTTTACACTGTCGTTCAGTCTATAAATAAGTGGAAACAAGACAGAGTAGTTCACAAACTGGCATGGAAATTGGGCCATCTCCAGTTCATAGACCTGAGGCCTGCGGTGGAAATTCCCCGTTCCCGTTAGTGGGGTTCGAGTCGCTGGCTTATGACATCTACCGTACAACGTCGCGTATCTGACCGTCGAACATCCTCCCTGGGCCAACGAACCGGCCACACTTAATGCATTATATGTGCGTGGTGTGTAACTAATTTTCTCAAATCTGACCTTTTCGCAAACGGTAATTTGATCTTATAATCGCCTATATTTGCCTCCTTTTAAAGCACAGTGAAGCAATGTCCCACGTGTAAAATAGTTTTTGCTTTTATTTTGTCCTGTAACCTATTTGTGCACGGTGCTTGTAACTCATTGTCTATAGAAGTTCACATATCTGACCCTTTCAACTGTCCGCCTATACCTAAGTCACTAGGGAGTTGGATATACAGTTAGGGAAAAAAGTATTTGATACCCTGCTGATCTTGTACGTTTGCCCTCTGACAAAGAAATGATCAGTCTATAATTTTAATGGTAGGTTTATTTGAACAGTGAGAGACAGAATAACAATGAAAAAATCCAGAAAAACGCATGTCAAAAATGTTATAAATTGATTTGCATTTTAATGAGGGAAATAAGTATTTGACCCTTCTGAAAAACATGACTTAGTACTTGGTGGAAAAACCCTTGTTGGCAATCACAGAGGTCAGACATTTCTTGTAGTTGGCCACCAGGCTTGCACACATCTCAGGAGGGATTTTGTCCCACTCCTCTTTGCAGATCTTCTCCAAGTCATTAAGGTTTCGAGGCTGACGTTTGGCAACTCGAACCTTCAGCTCCCTCAGATTTTCTATGGGATTAAGATCTGGAGACTGGCTAGGCGACTCCAGGACCTTAATGTGCTTCTTCTTGAGCCACTCCTTTGTTGCCTTGGCCATGTGTTTTGGGTCATTGTCATGCTGGAATACCCATCCACGACCTATTTTCAATGCCCTGGCTGAAGGAAGGAGGTTCTCACCCAAGATTTGACGGGACATGGCCCCGTCCATCGTCCCTTTGATGCAGTGAAGTTGTCCTGTCCCCTGAGCAGAAAAACACCCCCAAAGCATAATGTTTCTACCTCCATGTTTGACGGTGGGGATGGTGTTCTTGGGGTCATAGGCAGCATTCCTCCTCCAAACACGGCGGGTTGAGTTGATGCCAAAGAGCTCCATTTTGATCTCATCTGACCACAACACTTTCACCCAGTTGTCCTCTGAATCATTCAGATGTTCATTGGCAATATTCAGACGGGCATGTATATGTGCTTTCTTGAGCAGGGGGACCTTGCGGGCGCTGCAGTATTTCAGTCCTTCACGGCGTAGTGTGTTACCAAATGTTTTCTTGGTGACTATGATCCCAGCTGCCTTAAGATCATTGACAAGATCCTCCCGTGTAGTTCTGGGCTGATTCCTCATCGTTCTCATGATCATTGCAACTCCACGAGGTGAGATCTTGCATGGGGCCCCAGGCCGAGGGAGATTGACAGTTCTTTTGTGTTTCTTCCATTTGCGAATAATCGCACCAACTGTTGTCACCTTCTCACCAAGCTGCTTGGCAATGGTCTTGTAGCCCATTCCAGCCTTGTGTAGGTCTACAATCTTGTCCCTGCCATCCTTGGAGAGCTCTTTGGTCTTGGCCATGGTGGAGAGTTTGGAATTTGATTGATTGCTTCTGTGGACAGGTGTCTTTTATACAGGTAAAGAGCTGAGATTAGGAGCACTCCCTTTAAGTGTGTGCTCCTAATCTCAGCTCGTTACCTGTATAAAAGACACCTGGGAGCCATAAATCTTTCTGATTGAGAGGGAGTCAAATACTTATTTCCCTCATTAAAATGCAAATCAATTTATAACATTTTTGACATGCGTTTTTCTGGATTTTTTTTTGTTATTCTGTCTCTCACTGTTCAAATAAACGTACCATTAAAATTATAGACTGATAATTTATTTGTCAGTGGGCAAACGTACAAAATCAGCAGGGGATCAAATACTTTTTTCCCTCACTGTATACGATGTCGTACTGTACAAGCAAGCAGTCAGTTCAAAAAATACGGAGGGCCATTGTGCTTGTATGAATGGCTACCGCTATCCTACTTGCATGGGTCAGCTGTCGTTAATACCCGTAGCGTATGCATTTTATTAAATAAGAGCTGCACTTGAAAACCCAGTGGCTAGGCGAGGAATTTTACAGCTTGTCAATGTTTCATAAGCCGGTTTTGAAAACAGTAACTTAACAGCGTCCATAAACCTACAGTAAGAAGAACTCGTTGGTACGAAATTTGTGAGTTGTCACGAACTAGGATGCGCTTAAACTGTAGCACAACATCATCATCGTCATGTTTGATTTATTCACTGCTAGATGAAGGCATTTCAATTTCACCCCCGTCTCAACTATTTACTCTTATCTCTTGCACAGTGGCCGATTTCATCTCTGCATCGCCGCTCGTGGTAGATGTCAATTTGTTTGTAAGTCCAACTTTTACGCCTACCGATTCCAAACAGCGCAGTCTTCGAGAGAGTCTGGTCCCTTCAACTGATGAAGGCCGCTTGTGTTGTGGCCGAAACGTCGTGATTTTTGTTGTTTTATTTTTTACCTACGTGACTTTACCGAATAGAACCAAAGAGTATG